GGGTGGCCACTCAAATCAGATTTCAAATTTCCCTGATTTTTCCAGGTTTTCCAGATAAAAATCTTAAAATTTCCAGGTTTTTGTTTCTTTTTTCTTATAAAGTATAGGATGTGTACAAGAAAAGTGTCTACATTATAAAATATTTTATTCAAAATGTTATTTTTTTAACATATCATCTTGAAAAAATTATTTATTTTGACAATTTCGCAAGATTTTTATTTATTTTTTAATGTTTTGGTACAAAATTTTGAATCAAAAATCATATATTGACCAACAAAAGAGTAAAATTAAATATTAATATATAGTTGGTTCTTAAAAAAACCTTTTTTTTAAATTAAAATATGTTATAAAAGGTTAAAATGAAATAGAAAAAATTAGCATTAATGCAACAATTGTAACAATTTGTCGATAAACATTGCTGTTAGCGATTGTAAAAAAAAAAATGCGTGATTGGTTGGTTTGCTGAGAAAAAATAACTCACAGATTTCTTTTAATGGGAATACAAAAGCTTTCAGAAAAAGAGTGCAATATAAAATCTATTATTATTATTAAATTTTAACCAACTAATTTTTGGAGAATTTCATAAAGTTAAAAATACAAAAACATTTTGTCAAAATGGAAAAAAATTACCACTAAAGCATTAGAACAAACTTAAGCCATAAATGGAGTCAGCCCAAGGACAGAATTTAAAAACAGAAGCTAATATCCTAATCCCTTCTTCCACCTCCCCCACAATCTTTCCTAAATTCCATTCGTTTAGCAACAGTGGGAGAATTTTATGTGGCATTCTAGCTTAACAGAGCTGTAATGGAGCAAATTTTGATGCTAGCAAAGTATTGCTAAGTTGATGATATTTCAACTGGAGATACATTTCCGTCCAAAAAAAAGTGGGTATAATGGATAAAATAATTTAAATTAAGAAAATTAGTAAAAAAAGTGAATTAGTGAAATTAAAAAAAATTCCAGCTTTTCTTTACAATTCCCTGATTTTTCCAGGTTTGCACAAGAGATTAAGGAAAATATTAGTGTAGCGAAAACGTCTATTGTTAATATTTAATCCCTTTTATCATTTTTAACAATAGAAATGATCGTGCTGTTCTCAGTATACCCAACACTGACGCTTTAAGGCAAATGCCATGATATGACACTCGTTTTAATGCGTTCGGACGTAAGGTATAAATGAAGCACAAGAATAATGAATAGCTCTTCCTTGTTTATGCTTCTTAAGGGTTTTCATATCTTCCGGCATGTGGTTTAATTACTAAGTTGGCTTACATCTAAAATAATCAGATATCAAAAATCTTCTTTCTTGTATCAAAAATAATCAGAGCAGATAAATTTGACTTTCCTATAATTTCAATAATAATTTTTAGTTACTAGGCGTTTAATATAATTTAACGATTAAAACTCTCTGGTTAAACCACTTCGAAGCTGAACAATTTTCCGAAGGATAACAAAGAAGAGCATTCAAAAAGAGGACTTTAAAACTTTTAAACACACGAATAAAGAAGTGCAATAACAACAGGTGGATATCAAATAGAATTCACATATTTTTCAAGATTTAGTCTATAAAATGAACACCTCAGTAAAAAGGAGAAAATGTTTTACCTTCTCGAGGGACTTCAAAAATGGATTGCCCAAGCTGAGGAGATGATCCTTCAGAGCTGCTCTTTGGAGTTGTTATAAGGAAGTACTGACTATAATCGTATACATGGTGAGATGGCTCGGGAGATGGATCTAGGCAACCAAAGTCGAATGGCGCATCAGACATGTTAAGCTCCTTTAATGTCACTTTAGATTTGCTAAGAAAGAAATAGTTCATCTTTGAATGAATGAATAACCATGTCTCAAAATCTGAGGCTTGATCGACAGATAATGCATGTTTCAATTAAATGATTGAATAAAAATTTTATTATATAAGGCAGGGTCCTCGCAGTTTTTAAAATCAAAAAGGGACCAAAGCACCCAAAAATGGAACTAAAACAATAAAAAGGAGACCAGTGTTTGATAAACGGGACCAAATAATAATCTTATTAAAATTCTTAGAAGCTATTTAAAATTACAAAAAAATATAAATTAATTTTAGATGCTGAAAATATTACATAGTTTAGGCTTTGCCGAGATTCAAAATAAAAACCAAAGTAAAATCAGGGCATTTATTGGTACAATACATATATACTAAGCTATTTAAGATAGGGGAACAAAGAGCTAAAAAAAATAGTGTAATTTGTAACTTTGTAAACTTTGTTTTGTATGGCACGTCTTAACTTATTACTTCAGACTTACGTCTTAACTTATTACTTAACTTATTACAGAATCTTTAAAAATAAAAATAAAAAGCAATTACTAAACATTTTTAAATAAAAATTTCAGATAGCAACAAGTTGATCAGAAATAAATTTAAAAATGGTGTGCTTTTGCACACGCATACACACAGTGAAAAATCTCAAGAAACAGAGTTTTCTTGAGATTGCGCAATATGAAAATATATCAAAATAAGTTTTTTTAAAAATTTATAATTATATATATTTCTACACAGAAATAAACTAAATCAAAACAAAATAGTATATAATCTAAATACTAAAGAATGAATGGGGATGTAATGAATATTCGGTTCTTTTGCCGAATACTCAGTTGGCCAGAGAGTTATTTTTTGGATGGGTGGGGGATTTGAATATATTTAATAAAGAATAATCTAAAATCTTCTACTATACACTAAAAATAGTTTAAAGAAAAGAAGCAAAGAATATAATGCTTGATAACTTTATCACAAAACCTGTATTCTGCCATGCAATAAAAAAAATGCATGCAAGTAAAAAAAATATTCAACCTTGAGATTTTTATACATTTAGCATTTTTGTATAAGCTGAATGTTTTTGTACAAGCTGAATATGTTTGTTTTTTTCCAAAAATCTTTTTTTTTAATCAGCTTTCTGAAATTTTAATTTAGCATTGTAGTATTACCAAGGAAAATAGTTGTCAAGTCACTTTTCTCCTCAATATCTTTCGTAAAACACGTTTTTTCCAATTGAATGGCAGAATTTATCTAGCCAAGTTAATAATAGCTGATTAAGTATAAAACCTAATAGTGCAAGAACTAGAAGCAGCTGCATCAGTAGCAATATTGGCATAATACTCAATTTAACCCACTGACAGTTCCACACGTAAAAAGTCGCGGTTTATCATGCAGTCTTCTCCGCATAACAATGTTCCATGTTAATAGATAGGGGAATAGCGCATTAGGGAGAAGCATTCTTCAATTTGGCCAACCGCCAGTGGGTTACTGAAATGAAATATTTGTAACAAATGAAAAAATAAAATGTATAAATAAGTAAATTGAAGGAGGAAATATCATAAGCATGCTTTGGGGTTGACGGACACATATTAATTTGAAAACAAACTGGTAAAAGACTAACGGAAAAAGCTACCAATGACTAAAGAATGAATAGCTACTAAATAATGAATTCCTTTTATGTTAATAAAAGGAGTACAAAAATGACATTAAAAAATTGCAATTTATAAATGTTTCATCTCAGCTTACTTAAAGATCTGTAGAAAAAGCTTAATTTTTATACAATTTTTAAAACAAAGGTTCCATAAATGCTTAAAATTCCAAAATAAGAATTGGACTAAAATTTTTGATTTAAAATAAAATATGTGAATAACTGTTCCTCTTTGACATTTTCTTTAACACAGTTATAATGGTTTTCTTTTTCTCTTTTTCTTTGGTTTGGTGTTCCTTTTAATTAACAAAACTTGAAAAGCAACCGCTTATTTCGTTCAATTCTTGGCATAAACAGAGTGTTCCACAGTAGAAACATTTTAAAACCTTTTTTATTATTTTGAAATGTCTGGTAAATCAAAAAAGAAAATATAACACTGTTATTAACAAAGCTTATACAGATTATTTCTCGCTTAAGAGTGACATTTCAATTTATTTGTTTCAATTCTTCAATTGCTACTTTTTCATGCAGTTTATTTTAGGAAAAGATAACAAAGCTCGTTTTTTGATCATTCAAAAACTTTTGGGCTTCACATTGTGAACAGAAGTTTTATTTTTTTTATTAGGATTGATGATGATGCAAAATAAGTAGCAGGAATCCACACACAAAAATCCACTTATTTCTCCTCTTAGTTGAAAAAAAATTTCAGAAAATTTGTTATCTGGGAAGACAAACATGAAAAAACTTTTAAAAAGTTGCATATTACGTTTTTAAGAAATAAATTAATTGTTCAGTAGTTTTTAGAGGTGAATAAGTTACTTACGTAAATTTAGAGAAAGAGTTCATAATTTTATTTTTTAATATTCACTATAGTTTCACTTAATACACTTATTACTTTAGTCACCAACAGTCTTAGGTATAACGACTGAAGTTGACAGGTCTGATGTTTTGAGAACCTTTGTTAAAAATCAAATAAAAAATTTCAAAACGGGATCGCAAATAAATATATAAAACTGGAAAAAAAAGAACATTATCGCAATGTGATGAGTAGACAGTGGATAATATGCAATTGCATATGTGCATATGCAATTGCATATTTTAGCACTTTTTGCCATTTGTGCATATAAATGCATAAAAAGGTATATTTGCTCTCATAAATGCATATTTTCAGCATTTTATGGCTTTTCCCTCCTAAAATCATATCACTATTCTTTTTATGTTAGTTTTGTCGTTCTTTATCACCTGAAAGGGTGAGCTGGATTGATGTTGCTGGGGGTGATTGCAATCACGTGAAAAAGATGAAGAAATTAGATGTGTGTCGGGAAGGGGGTACAAAGGGCCCACCCAAACAGACATTCGTTATAGAAACCTCAAAAAGGGATGGTCAGATATTCTGTGAAGAGATGTCTTTTCTTGGAATAAATAATAATTGTCAATCTGTGTGGGGAAAATAAGGCTTCTGTGGTAGGTAGAAAATGACCTCCCTTTCCTGTGATTGATTAGTTAAAAGGTGGAGTGAATACATTTTCAGAGCGAGCTGCTATTCTAACATGTTTCGATAGTCCATCCGATAGATAGATAGTTTCGACATCCGTCAATTGAATATGTAGTTAGTGAAGCTTCGAACGTGATTTTTGACTGCTGAATTTTATAATATGCCAAAAATTAAGTCGGCTAAATCAAATTTAATGAAGACATGGATTTCGGACTATGGGAAGGACTTTACGACCGATAGGAAAATAGTATTTTGTGTGATTTGTCAAAAGCACATTTCCTGTGAAAAAAAGTGCCAAATCGATCAACATATAAAGACTAATGCTCACTCCGCGAAGAAAAAGCAGAATACAAAAGGATTTGTTCAAAGTTTATTAACTATTCCTGTTCAAGCAGCTAAAAAGGAAAGTGATTTTTCTAGTGATTTATGCAAAGCCTTAGTAAGCAGCAATATTCCTTTAAAAAAGTTAAATAATCCAAACTTAAGACAGTTTTTAAAAAAATATTGTACCAATCAGATCATTCCCGATGAATCGACTTTAAGAAAGAACTACCTTCAACCGATATATAACGAAGTACTGGATGATATTCGACGAGATATTGGAGATGGCCCTATATGGATTGAAGTCGATGAGACGACAGATAAGTGCGGTCGCTATATTGCTCATTTTATTTGTGGAAAAATGGATAATATTCCTACTCGACCACATCTTCTAGCAAGCAAAGCCCTTGAAAAAGTCAATCATTCAACCATAGCATGGTTTGTCAATGATTCTATCAGATTATTATGGCCTGATAGAGATGGTTCTGAAGATGTTTTGATTTTTGTCAGTGATGCCGCTCCGTATATGGTCAAATCTGCAGCAGCACTGGAAATTTTTGTACAAGCACTGAATAGCACTGGAATTGTACAAGTTTTGTCCAATAACATCGGTTGACGTGGAGAGGTCATTTTCTACTTTCAAAATGATCTTAAATGACCGACGACATCAATTCACCCTTGAAAATTTGGAAAAACACTTAGTTGTGTATTGCAACAAAAATTATTCAGTTTAATAAAATCTTTCCCGAAAATGCGATGATTTTTCTTCTCTCATTTATCATACTTCAGTTTTAGGCTTTTTCTTCAGAAATGTGTAGATTCAAGTAAGAAATATTTTGATTTTCTTCCTTTTAACAAAAAAATGTTTTAGCTGTGTTTGTTGGAAAAAGTAAGTAGTAGTATTTAAATAAGTTGAACTTTTAATTTCTATTTTAAATGCATATTTCTAGTTTTAAGAGCATATATTCAAGTTTTTTGGTGCATATTTGCATGCACATTTTGTCCGTTTTTTAGTGCATACAATCCACTGTCTACTGATGAGGATTAAAGAGAAACGCGAGAAAAAATCTAAAATATACTAGCCTGATCATTTCTTAAAAAAATGAAGAGGAGGAAGATGATTATTAAAAACACCTTCAAATTTTAAAAGGCAACGGAATTGACTTAAATATCTTCTTGATTAATAGTCACATCTCCATTTTTGGTTTTTCCTTTTTCAGAAAATACTTTAATCCAGGGTTTGAAAAAACCCGGGGATNCCGGGCGGGTTTTTTCAAAGTGGGCCCACTTGGCGAACCCTGCTTTAATCAGTTAATTTTATAATTCATTTTTAACAAGAATTTTAAAAAATAAGTAATAAAGGTAGTGATAATGGAGAACCCTACTATGTTAAAAAATATAATAGTCCATATATTTTTGATTACGACAGGAAAACTCACAAAAGCAGGTCTTGAACTCACGGTAACTCCTAAATTCTTGCAATCGAAAAATATGAAACTTCTTTTTATTAAACTCTAGGCACGTAAACTAAATCAGAAGTAAAATAAGCCAAAATTTAATCAATTAGTTTTTCAAATTTATTATAATTATTTAGTTTTAGAATATCAGAAAAAGCATGAAAAGAAAACATTGTATTTTTCAATAGGCACTATTTTAAGAGCATATTATAACAACTATCACAAATGCTATCTTCTGTTGAGGGGTTAATTCTGAATAAGCTCACTACTTTTTGCAACTGATATTTTAAGTTACAAAACTTAACTTCTTCCAAAAAAACCTAACTTTTTTATTCAATGTATTTTGACTCTTGAAATTAGGGGGAGTGGCCCACAAATTTAAAAATATTTTATTCATTCAAACTTAATTCCATGCAAAAAATAATTTTTCATAAAAATTCATTAATTTTTATTACTTTATAAGTGATAAACAAATTTTGATTCGCAAGGCATAATATTTTTTACATAACTTTGAACAATGTAATTTTATTTCACAAAGACAAAATTCACATGCAATCAGTAAAATAGTTCTTCAAATATGAAATTTTAAAAATAAGACTGTTTATAAATATCCTCATTTATAAAAAATGTTACCAATTCTACTTGAATTTCAGGTTTTAAAATTACACAGTTTAAAATAGGGTAAAAATATTTATATTAAGTAACAATTCAAAAACATTTTGACCATTACTAAGTAATTAAAAAAATAATCTTAAAAAATTTAATTTTGTATTAAATAAGCAAGCAGCTTATTCATATTGACAATGAATAATCTAGTTAGCTAGAAATTCTAGTCTAGAATCTAATAAAACAGATTAATTATTTTAAGAAAATAACAAATCTTTCATTATCTTTGAAAAAACAACTAAAAGCAGTCACACATTACTTACTTTAATGTCCTATTTAAATCAATAGAAGGTAGTTTCGAATCACTCAATTTAAAAACAATAGCTTTCAAGTCCTCTGAAAATATAGAATAGAAGAAAGTTTGATATGAAATTCTTTAAAATTCACTTTTAACTAATGTTTTCAAATTTTATAATATTGTACAATTAACTTTTTTCAAAATTATACTATTTCAAATTGCACGAACTTTTTCAATATGAAAAAAAGTAATCAGCATTAACAAGATTTTTCAATTACAAATAAATATTCAGCACAAAAAATGAAATACAGTACTAAGTCCCATATCTGTACATCTATTTACCACTAAGAGTCTATTTTACGGACACTTTTTAACAATCAAAATAAACAAAGCTATTCTCCCTTTTCAATGGAAAAAAAAGGAATTTTTTTTTTTAATCCTCTGCTTTTTCACTATTATCCGCTTCTTTATGATTTCTCCCAGACTTCCGATTTTCTTTAATTTCAATCCGATTTCCAAAAAATGTAAAACAATGTGGACATCACACAGGGTATCTGCTACATTTTAGATTTTCAAATTCATGACTTTTCATGATTTTCCATGACTATTTCCAAGAGTTTTTCATGACTTAACAAAGTTACTATTTTCTCGGACAAAAATGCAACAATAAATTAAAAAAAGCATTATAATAACATTAATTGAAATTATAGGTATAACCAAAACTGCTATACTCTGCATTTTCATATTTAGATTTTAAATTTAAAAAACAGAGTAAAGAAAGAGTTGAAACAATAAAATAGCTGAAAAAATACAAAAGCAAATAATTTTTTTTCCCTGTAGAATTATATTCTAAAGAAACTTTTCTTGCTCATCTNAAAAATTTTTACATCAATTGTTTTAAATCAAATCTTTATGAGATGAATTAAATTATTTTTGAATGACAAATCTGAAAAACTTAAGATTTATTTGCTGCTTTAAAAATTCTGAAAGCCCCTCTCTTCATACTTATTTAAAATCTTGCCTCTAAATATTATTAAGTTTTTCCTAAAACAAAATAAGAGCACTGAAAATTTTGAAAGTAATATAATAACACTATAATAAAATGCAATAAGTAAAAAAAAAAAAAATATTAGTAAAAGAAAAGTAATAAAGTATAAATAAATGTTTACAAGCAATTTGCAATTAGTGGATGGTCCCTCAGATAAAAATTTACGTTTAAGGAACTCAATTAATTCTATCTTTATTATTTAAATGAATAAAAGGGAGATGGAAATTTGAGGTTTTGAAGCTTTGTGATTCTGGACTGCTCCGAGGATCAACATGAAAACATGTACTTAGTGAATGGTCCCCAAGTCAATTCCAAGATCATGGGTACTATTCTATAAATAGAATAGAGCAAGAAGGCCATTAGCTTGCCATTGATGAAGACGATAGCACTTCAATAACGATGAAATTAACAAGAGAAGTAAAATTTTCTTTTGCTATTAAAATTTGGCAATGTTTAGCTGGTCCCCGAAAATTCGTGGGAAATCTCGGTTCCAATTCAGAGAGTGAAAAATGAAATCTGAAATTGAGAATATCTTGCAAAATGAAGCAGAGTTGCACATGAGAGAGCAAGAATCCTTCCCACTGAATCCAGAGCAACCCCCCACATGGCAGTAGCTGGATTGCCGCAAAATTGTGACTTGGCGATACCCAGGGGAAAATATCCCTTTCGGCACAGAGCGGCGCAATTTAAGCCTACTACTTCAATTTGGAGCATGTAGGCGCAGGTTTTCACAATTGGCACGGATCGACGCAGCACTTGTAACACTGGGAAACCTAAATCCATGACTTTCCATGATTTTTTCAAAAAAATAGCAAAAATCATGACATTTCATGACAAATTTTGTTCAATACTGAAATTCATGACTTTCCATGATTTTTCATGACTTTCCAGGTGCGCGGATACCCTGATCACAGAAATCAAAGTTGGAAAAAAAATCAGATATTTTTTTCTCATGGCGATGCATTAAAGGATTATTACCACTAAAAATCACACGCTCAATTTCATAATGTGCAAAAATTTTACAATTTTGAAAAAATTGAGGATCTGAGATTAAATTGTCACAACTGAAGCAGGTCATTAAGAGATTCTCCCAAAGAGTGATTCGATTGTAATTTTATTATATTAAAAATGAAATCAAAATTTTAAAAACTATGTGGAAATCTTTAACTGCTGAAAATGCAATTGATAAAAACCATGCGGACAATAAAATCGGCATCTCCGGTAAAATTTTTAAAAAATATAAAAAATTGGATATCACATCACATAATTGAAAATCGGCATTTCACTACAATGCAAAAAATAAATAAATCGTGTGAGACAATGAAGAAAATTAGTAAAAATTGAAAAATCATGACAATCAAAGCTGACGTCATCAGGGAGTACCAGCTTCGAATTTTCATAAAATGCAAAACTTTTTCTATCAAGAAAGCTGAGACAAAAGTCAAAAAATCGCTTTCTCTGTACCACAAAAGTTTTGCTCAAGTCCATGGAAAAAATATATAAAATACAAGAAGAAATAGGTATTTACAATACAATAACAATTGTATTGTATTACAATTACAACAATGCAATTGTATTACAAAAATATTACAACAATACAATTGTATTACAAAAATATTACAACAATACAATTGTACAGCAATACAATTGTATTGTATTACAAATTCTACTATTTTTTCTTGTATTTTATACATTTTTCCCCTGGACTTCAGCAAAACTTTTGGGGTACAGAGAAAGCAATTTTTTGACTTTTGTCTTAGCTTTCTTGATAGAAAAAGTTTTGCATTTTATGAAAATTCATTTTATGACGTCAGCTTGTCATGTTTTTTTCAATTTTTACTAATTTTCTTCATTGTCTCATTTGTTTAATTCCTCTAAGGTTTCTTTGCTGCTAAGCGCATTTTTCCATTTGGATGTTTTATTCATTTTTAATTTTATACATTTTTTTCATTAATATTTGGAATCTTTTTTTAAATAAATCATGTATTTTTTCTCTTCGTTTTGCATAAAAAGAATATTACCGCCAAGAATCGCAATCTCAATTTCAGATTGCACAAAAATTTCACATCTTAAAAAAAATGTGGATTTAAAATAAAGTCATCAACACTAAAGAGAGTCATTACGTGATTCTTTAAAAGTACAATTCAGAACTTGCAGATTGTAATAGAATTACATTAAAAACGAAATCAAAAGTTTAAAAACTATGTAGAAATCCTAAAACAGCTGAAAATGCTGTCAACAAAACCACGTGACCATAAAATGGTCACAAAACGAGTTTTGTAAATAACTCCACAAATACATAACTCCATAAAAATAACTCCACAAATGCGTGATTCGAATTATGCATCATTGCATATTAGCATTAAACAACTTTGAAAATCGGTATCACTAACTGTTAAAAATCCCATCTTAAATTCACATGGGATTGCAGGTGAATCCTCAATGATTGAGTGTGAAATGCGTGATTGGAAGTTCGCCAAACGAAATAATATCGTAATAAAACATTAAGATTTCAAAAACCAAGTTTAAAATCCCTTCAATAACTACCGATAGAACGATTGGCAAAACTACACGGATTCGCCGCTAATCCAATGGATTAGCTGCATGATTTGTGATTAAATCCGTGATTCAGAATTTGTGGTATATTATAATGGCATATAAAAATATTGAGATTTTAAAAACCATGTGGAAATCTGTAACGGAAGCTGCGAAAATAACACAACCGAGCAAACTGTACATATTTACTCGTTATTGATTCAGATTGACAATAATCATCATTTGTTTGTTATTTTTTTATTGAAGAAGGATGTTTTGATGTTTGTTTACCTTAAAGAGCTATTATACTTAAAAATCTATTTTCTGGACTTGCCCAAGTCCCGATGATTCCGGATGTGGGAATCTCCACTATACTACAAAATTAATACTCTATGATCATGTTCTCTACAGGAGGTTTAAATTGGGAAAGAAAAAAACAAGATTTAGCACATTAAATATTCAAATATATTGATTTTTTAAAAAGCCAGAATTTTTTGTCTATTACTTATGATTGCTTGTTAAAAAATTACTTGAAACATTTCTAAAAAATAATTACACAAAGAATAATAATTACGCAATTATGAAAGGCAATCTAAGTGTTTAAAATTAAGTTATGACTTTTTTTGAGTTTTTAGAGAAGTATGAGTTGTTTAAAGGCTTTTTAAAGCAGTGGAAATAGTATTTAAGACAAAAACATATAAAAACAAAACTAAAAATATATGAAAGATAACCCAATTCATTATAAGTTTCAATTTCAAAATTTATTATAATATTAGTTTAATTTAAGTATTAACTTTATTTCAAAACCTGAAAAAATACCTCAAATAGAGTTTTCTTTTTTTAATTTAAAAAAAATTACGAAAGGTGAAAGTTCTCAAGCTATTTCAATTTTAATACATCTTTATTAATATAATACATCACATTTTTCATCATACACAAGAAAAAATCTCAGCAGCTGCTTGATTTTTCGAAAAAATGTAACGAACACAAAAAAGGAATAAAAATAAATTAAAATCCTAAATTTTGGCTACAGACAACACAACTTTTGTAAAATTAGTTTTATCCTGTGTGAAATTAAAAGATTGTTTTAATTTCACACAGTTTGCAATAAATTAAATGAATAATTGCATGAAATTAATATTTAAACTCAGTTTAAATATTAAATTACATACTGGTAAAATTATTTGTGTTTATAGATTTCGTTCTGATTACTATTACAAATATTAAATTTTTTATGATTACTCTCAACTGGTTAAATTTTTGTGTCTTTTTTTCAGGGTATATTAATAAATTTAGAAATGACTTTAAATTTCAAAATGTTTTAAATAAATACCATTAAGGGTGAATTTTTTTTAAAAAATGCACCTTCAAATGTTTATTTTTTCAAAATTTTTAGTTTAAATAATAGAAAAAAAACTTTCAAGTGTTTATCAATTAATAATTGCTTTCTCTTGAAAAAATTTATGCTTAGAGATTGTTTTCTAGCATAAATTGTTTTCATGTCACTTGAGTTATATTTTTATAAACTACAAATTTTTTGCTTGTTTTGATTATGTGTTAAAATTACTTTTTGAAATATACACATAAAATAGTATAGGAAGGTAATTTGTTAATTGTTGAGAATCAAATTCAGTTATTACAAAACATTAAGCAATTTGATAAATTTGTACGGGATTAAGTGAGTTCAAAGAACCCTCTTCTATGATTAAGAGCCCTTTTTTATTCCTAAGGAGAACTCTACAAATATACCTATTTATTTTTATATTTATTGAAATAGATATGCTTTTAAAACTTATGAAAGTGTAAATCAATAATGAGTAATTAATATATTTCAACAATGGAGAAAAACTTGTTTTACCCACAGTAACTCAAAATAATTTTTTCAGTAATATTTTCTGACCTTTCATTTATATTCATTGGATATTTAATTGACAAATTTCCTTTAAAACTTATGAGTTTGAACAAAATTAACTATTTTACTTATTGAGTGATTACTTTGTAACAATTATACAAGAATGTTAACCATTTTATTAAGAAATATTTACAACTTTATTTAGAAATATTGTTTTTTAAATAATATTAAAAGTTATCAGAACATTTTATTAGATAATTTGACTGGTAAAGATTTGCATAAATCAAAAGATAATTTTAAAAATAAAAAAATCATGCTTAGCTAACAATTCAGAGTAATGAATTTTTCATAAAGATACTAAACAAAAATAACTATTAAACTTTATTACAGCTCTTGATCCATTATTTAGTTCATTGGAGTTATTAAATTAGGTTGAAAAATTAAACTATCTAAAAAACAAAAAATAGTAGTCATAGGTGTCAACTTTCTACACTAGTTATCAGTAAGGCCCGGATTTTGATGACATTTGCATTTTTGGACATTTTTTGTCTTTTAGAGCATTTTTTTCGATTTATATGGCATATTTTTTGAAATTTTGGGGCGTATTTTGCATTTTAATGCATTTTTTAAAGTTTTCTGTTAATTTTTTACAATTTTTATTATTTTTTATCAATTTTCATTATTACACTGGCTTCCAAACAATAAAGAAAATCTGTTGGATATTAACAGGTGAAGCAACATCTTTTCAAATTGAAGAAGAATTGTCAGTAAGTACGACCGTCTTTTTCAAGTACGCACCTATAACATCAGTAGACGTTGAAAGAAGCTTTTGCGGGGATGAAAATTTACTTTCAGACAAGAGACGCTCGTTTACATTTCAAAGTATCGAAAAACATTTAATAATCCAATGTAATTCTGATATTTAGTAATATTATGAGATGGAAGTTGTTATATCCATTAAAGTTTCTATACAAAATAAAAATATTTTGGTGTCAATATATTTTCCTTTTTTTTTGTTATTTTAGGATATAAAACATATGTTTCAAGCTTTAATGAGCGTAGAACAAGTATTGCATTGCTTTATATCTTTTAAATGACTCATAATAATTTTAAAGAGCAAAACAGTTTTTTAATTCAATATTTTTACTTTAGTTAAGGCATTTTTTGCATTTTTAAGGGCATTTTTTGCACTTTTTAAGGGCATTTGTTGAGATTTTTTAGGTCATCAAAATCCGGGCTCTAGTTATCAGTAATCAGAAGTACAATAATACATATAGAGAAAACGAAATTCAAATTATAACAATTTTAAGTTTTTTACTATGCAATTCTATACAGGTAAATAGAAAATTACTATTACATATACAGGGGTGACTGTAGCCCAACTCAAAAATTCAGAAAATTTTGTGTGTAAAATCATTAATGACGCATTTTGAAAAATTAATGCCTTTATAAACTTAAATCATTGATATATTCAAAACATGAAATTCTAAATAAATTATATGCAGCATAATTTAAATGAATAATTTTGAATAAGTTTACTTTTATCTCTAATCATATTTATTATTTTATCAGAAAAATTATTTTCAAATGAAAGCTCTTTCTAGATGCCAAGAAGTATAAATTCTAGTTCCAATATTTCTAAATAAAATATAGAAGAATTTTTATACACAAATGTGATCGATGATTTCTTGAAACTTCTGGACCTTAGACTTCCAGATCGCAGTTAGGAAAAATCTGGATTTTTTGCGAAGCACAATCATCCCTGCATATAAAAAGCAACACTTACTCAAGTGTTACTTTTTTCAAATATTCACAGCAAACAACAAAATTTAATAGCTCTTAGTGGTTAGGAAGGGAAAAGTTTCACTTTTAGCTGATTATTACAAACATTTTAGAAAACCATAATTTTTTAGATCCCCTAATCTTGCTTCAGAAAATTTAATAAAATTGCAAATATTATAATTAGAATCTCTGTTTACATAAAAATAATCAATTATCCACTCATTTCATAGCAAAATATTCATGGAGAAAACACAAAAAGTAATTTTTAAAACAATTTATAGATTACCTAATAAATATCTGGTCTGCATGTCAGCGATATAAATTAATCCACTTACTAGCTGAGAGGACAGATAGAGGGAGAAATAGACTTTTCTAGTCATCCCAGCTAGATTGTGCGTGTTTATCACATTGATTATATCTTCACTATAAAGAAAATACAGAAATTTAATTAAAATAACATCAATAAAACACACACAAAAATCTACCTATAAAAAAATTAATTTGAGAAAATGTTACTAAATGAAAAATTGACAGCATGAACAATGTTGTTGTTTGAAATATTGGTGTATTCTAAAACTTATTCAATACAAAGTTTCATATCCAGATGTCCATCTGCCGGAAACTTCCATCTTTCTGACAATTTTTAACTATCAAAATAAGCAAAACTTCCGCAATCATATAATGGATATAAGAAATCTGGCAAAATGAATAAAAAATAATTAAGTATTACAGAAAGCATAGTAAACAATTTTTTTGATTAGAACTATAAACTAGCAAACGTTACTAAAGTTATCTTTAAAGTATTTGGCAAAATTGAATCGCTTATAGTTTATTTTAAAAACAATGGCTTTAGACAAGCCAAAGAGAAAATTTCATTTTTTTAAATTCTTCTGAATTTAAAATATAATTAAAAAATCAAAAATTAAGCTTCAAAATCCATTTACAATTGTACTCATTTAGCTCCATCAGGGTTGGGTTTTTGACGTCAAAAAGTGGTTTTTGACATGACAAGGGTATAATANTGACGGTTTAAACCATGGTTTAAACTGTCAAAAACTGTCACATGTCAAAAACCTGCCAACCCTGAGCTCCATGTTGAATGACGTATTTTTAGAGCTTACGATATACCCAGAACATACAAATTCTTTACTTTATTACATGTATAGATAATTCCAGGGGCAGAATTATTTTGAGCTATCCGCGACAAAATTCTCTGGAGCTTATATCTTTCTGCAAGATACTTTTAATAATAACAAGCATACATGTTACTCATTTAAAATAACAAAAGCGGTGTTTACAAAATATATATATATATATAATTTTTTATTCTAATATTATGGGTGATATTCTCAAATTTTATCGAGGGGGGGGGGCACAAATTATTTCCCTCTTCGTATTTTGTAAATAATCATCGTAATAAAAAAAAAAATCATGAAATTGCCAAAAAAGGATCGACGACGAATCGGGCTCCTCAAATGCGTGTTTCGTTTTGAGATTAAGCTGTTTTAATAAATAATATGGTATAAAAAATATGGAGAAATCAATAATAAATAACAGCCAAACATTCCACAGAATTATTGCCTTAAAAAGCAAACATTCAAATGCACGATTTGAATTTTTCAAATTGTTTGAAAAACATCGGGACATTTAAAATCCACATGAAAATCAATATCAATAATTGCCAGAAATACAATTGAAACAATACATTGATTTACAATACTATCAGCGTAAATTGAGAGTGGCAAAAAAATAATTATCTAAATGCATGATACAAATATTGTGTGTAAATTTCTGCAGAAGAGAAAATAAAATTTTTTTTTACTTTTCAAAAGAAAATCTTTTTGCAAAAAATCTAACGTTCTAGGACAATGTGGCTGTGATTCGGCTACTGGATAGATAATATCATATTATTTTAAGTTTTTTCTTGTTTTGTTAATAATAAATAATACTAACAAATTTCATGTAATTGTGAAAAACTATTAGCAAACAGTGATCGTGCATATTATACACATCAGTTCATCATTAATATAAAATAGTTGCAAACAAAACTTTTACTCCAACTAGTATCTCCAAAATTGAATTTTTATGCTGCGTACTAAGCATTCTTTTTAAAGACCATTTAACTTATAAGAAAATGTTGTACGATATTGAATGCTGATTGTCTGTTATTTTTTAATTAAATAATGTATGTTTTGATGTTCGTTTACATTAAAGGCCAATTATCGGAAAAAATCAGTTTTTCAAACTTGCCGATAATATAGTACTTTCCACTATATTACACAATTAAAAAAAAAACATAACTTTAAAAATTAAATGGAAACTCTTTGTCATAGTAATTTCCCTTCATTAACTAACTAAATAGCATTTATAATAAAAATTTTACTGTGCAAAAAAATTATACAATTTTTGTCTGTGCAATTAATAAAAAAATTGACATAACAACCTGGCTTCTACAATGTCCACAGAGCATATTTGTCTTCTGTGCAATCTTTTTGCTTTAGTAGAAGCTAGCCTAAAAGTAAGAATGGAAAAAGTTAAATAAAATACACACGGATATATATAATTGAAATTCAGTTTCACACTTAAAGTTTTGCCCAAAAAGATATGCAGATATAGGATTGTGTGGCTAAGACCACATTTCAGGACTAATAGTCAACTTAAAATATTATAAGAGCAAAATTAAATAAATATTTTAGTGACTCTGCTTATGTGTCATGACCAAGGTGGTGGATTCGCTAAAAACACTCTCACTCTAGTTTTCAGTGGACGATTTGAAATCGAAATTAAATTAAAGTGAAAAATATTTAATGACAAACTGATTTGAATTTTATTATTTATGGACTACACATATTAATAAATATTTTGCTTTTCTCCTTATTTTATCTACGCATTAATAAATAAATCAAGAAAAAATAAATAAGTTTGTTAGACAGTAAGAACTTGTGGGTAGATACGAGTAGAATAGATGATGAGGAAATAGGGTTTGTGCGGCCCTTCTGAGATATAAGTGCAGGAGAAAGTAGCTTGATTGTAGTAAATTTAATAAATTTTGAGTTATCTAAAGCAGCAGCATTATACCAGAATCATACTGATTACAGTTAAATCTTCATTTAGATGGAATAAACGAATAAGTATGTGTTTTGCTTAAGTCTAGTAATATAAAGCAACTGAGGAAGCTACAAATAATAATAAATATTTTTTAAAAAAATGGAATTATTTTAGATTTTTCATTTGTGTTGGTATTTGTCTTACAGTTTGTTCCATGCATGATTTTGTAGTGTTGCCCAGTACAGATTCTTCCCTTTTCACTCAGCATAAAAAATAAATATTCAGCTAGTTTTTAATAAAATCTTAACTTTTCTAAACATTTGGTTTATTTTAAAGCAAGAATTTATGCATTTTCCGGGTGCCTGTTGATATAAGGTTGGGCATCACTGTTGTAATGAATCAGGACTTTTGAGAAAACAAACCAAAGTTAGTCACTAACTGAGAATATAACTGAATAGAGTAAAAAAATAAAATAAAAAAGATGGGTTCTCTTACCATATGACTCCAAACTTTCCTCTTTTCTTGAGAATGTCACTGGGATAAAACATAATGATATGGAAGCTTTTTCACCTATAATATTAAATAAATACTTAAGATTTTCAGTATTAAGTTAACAAACCATAACTGAGAAAAAAGAAATTATAAAACTTTTTTCGTACAGATGTATTTTGATGTTATGCTATTGGATCACATATGACTCCATTATTACTGGACTATATTAATGGACAATGTTATGTTAATGGACACAAAAAATCATGAATACATAAAAAAAAAATTAAAGACCTGAGAAAAACTTTTCTTAAAAAAAATTTGTTTTTTTTTAAAGTTATTAAAAATTTATCAATGATGGGCAAGTTCCGTAATACAAAACCAATGGATGCACTCAAAATATTTCAATTTTCAAATTCAGGAGAAAACTATTTATGTGATGAAATGGTGCATCCAGATTTCATAAATATCTAGAGTGATCTGGAGTAACACGACCAGAGTTGCCAATACATATTTTGATGCATATTTTCTACATCAGATTGGAGTTTCACTCTTCAAAAATGTTTTTGGAGGTGAAAATAATCCTTATTAAATTTTTGTCAATACTAATTAGATTTTTTTCAAGCTGTTAGAAAAGGGAATCTCTTCAAAAATCAGCAGATTGTATCATTCTTCATTAATAGATGAAGATAGTAGTCTAAAAAAATCATAGAAACTTACATTAATTGAAGTCAGGTAGTCAATGAAAAATAATACTGATCAGTATTCTAAAATTTAACATTTTGTTCTAGCGGTATTTTTCTTAACCTGTATGATATGGTCTATATAAGTAAACACAATATGGTCTGGTATACGTAAAATTAGTATCTTAAAAATAAAATAAAAAACATTGGAGCTTAAAACAATAATACCTTTACGCATAATATCACAAATATTCAAAAATTGTAAATGCTGTAAACAATAAAAATTCCCAGATATCAAAATTAAATCAAACTAATAACTGAGTCGACATTTTGAAAATTAGATATATATTTATTTTAAAAAACTATGTTTTACAGAAGTCATTCTGTATCCTCATCTTTTTTTAATACATCCCCAATTGTCTTAGCCTACTTTAATTTTTCTAATTCTTTCCAATCACCATAAATAGAAATAATATTATATATTAATATTAAACACAGAAATTTAATTTTGAATAAGTCATATTTTTAAAATTCGGTTTCTCAGGAACTATTTGAAAGATTTTGCTTAAATTCTGTATTTTGCCCTGTAAAATTATGTTCTTTAAAATGATGTAAAATTTTTTATACTTTACAATTCAAAAATGTTTCAACCATTCTTAATTAAAATAATAAATATTACTCAAGCTATTTTTTGCACAAAATTAACTTTGCATAAACGATTTTTTTAATTGAATGTAAAAAAAATTTTAATTCGCTTAAAAAATACTTGAGAAATAGCAAAATACACAAAAAGTAAAATTGAAATTAAGGGATCTAAACATTGGAGCACTCTCCTGACCAAACTATGGGGACCCCCTATTATTTTGGGGGTCAGAAATTTAAATCAATGGTATCAAAAACAAGGCATGTTTATTCAGTATGTTTATTAAATCCAAAAAGGGAATGTTTATTCAGAGAAAGTATGCTTTAGTGTCCAATTTCGTAACTTATCGTCTGGACTAAATAATTAGCATATTTGAGGTTATCCCTTTGAGTCATTCAGATTGAGTTCAAGAACATGAAAAGCTGATCATTAGATCAGAAGTTATTCAGGGTTGTCTATTTCTTTTTCTTCTTTTTTTGTCTTACTGTACATACACAAGTATTTAACTACATTAAATGCAGAGTGCACAAGAGAACAAACATATTGTACACATTCTTTGCATAAAAAGGTCACAAGGGCTGATCAGGGTTAATTGCCAGTGGTGACCCTACCCTTTAAAATTTTTCCTCAATATTTAACTTCAGGCTGAATGTTGCAGATGGATAATCATAATATAAATCACAAATCAATATAAATCAATCACAAGTCAAAAATCACAATATATGGCGGGATATTGAAGGGATACTGGCCAAATTTCTGCAGCATTCCTAATCACATCCTATAAAAATGAAATACATTGAAACCTGAAAAAATAGCCAAAATATAAAGGTATCTAAAATCAAGCAATAGAACAAAAATAACTTAGTTTTTTTTTTTTTAAATATACAATTTAAAAGCAGTAAAAACAAAAAATGAAATACAAATATGTTTATACTTTATCATATCTTTCAAGGCAGTATTATAAAAAGAAAGTGATTTCATTTTTAATGGAAAATTTACAAAATAAAATACTGAATACAAAATTAAACATAGAAAATAGATTAGTATATTTTCGTCCTCAGAAATTAGAATAAATGAAGAAACCTTAAATAATCTTTGATGAATACAATAGCTATTTGTAAGACTTAAATAATTAAATTAAAAAAAAATTTAACAAAAGACTTTTAATTAAAAATTCTTTAAAAAAGATACTTACTTTCCCTTAGAATACATAGAGGACGGAATTCCCAAGAGGTAGAACAATGGCTATTGTCAATTCTAATACAACTGTTCTGATTCATTTTTGCACCTGCCTTTTTTTCTTTATTTTTATTCAACAAAAATTTAAAAGAATATTGTTCTTTATTAAAAACCAATTAAAAGATTTGGATATCAGAAGCGCGAAATTACAACGGTGCTAATTGGTAGTTTTCTTAGTATACAACTTTAAAGAGTTGTTTTAAACAAGCATATAGCTTACTTTAAACTTTTTAAGGGCTTTTTCCACTGATAATAATTCACGCACTTCCGATCGCTTTGAGAGAGTCTTAACGATCAGACCCGCAGTGGACTGATCGTTAAGACACGGTTCCCAGCAGATCACCGAAGTCAAGAATCACTGTCTGCGGTAAGTGTGCGGGTGGGTGACCACTTGGATCAGTCTGCGTAGGGACCGAGAGTGTGCGGTATTGGTCCTCGTTAAACTGGTCTACCATAAAGTGTTCAACATCGAGTGCAGGTCGCCGGGCTACCGAAGCGGGGGTGCCATCCCCTCTGCAGAAGATCAAAATTGTGTTGGCATGTCTTCGGATCATCCTCAGGGATGTTTCCCAGACCGTCGCCAATAGCCCATTGTGCAACTCTAGAGCGACGAATGAACTACTACAACAACAACAAAAACATTTCATCTCCTGGAATTTTTTTGTTTCCCTCCCCCCTCTAAATATTCATGCTTAAGCACGGGAAAATAAATAACTTTGTCGCTTTTGCAAATGCAGTGGGTACTCGCATGTGCANTTTAACAATCAAGCAATATTATCAAATTTTTAATAATATAATGTTAATATTCAGCAATAAAAAATACGACAGTTTACTTTAGGTGTATAGAAATAGAATTGAACTTAAAAGGGCCCCATCATTTTCAGTAGCTTAGGGCCCCGCCAAGCTTAAATCCGGCCCTGGCTGGGAACCGTGTCTTAACAGTCCACTGCGGGACGAAATGATTTTGTAATTTTCAATTAATGATCCATTATTGAAAAATTAATAAAACTAAAAAATTATTTTAAACTGAAAAAAATGTAACTCATACAATCAACATTGTCAATTTTCAAGTATTCAGTAACTTTTGTATTGAAGGAAGTGAAGTGTTGCCATAGGTAAAGAATTCTGCTCTACGCCACCTATAGCCCATTTCGATCACCAACATTGATTTATAGCACCATCTGTGTTTAGTTTTGTAAAAGATTATCCATCTGAATCCATCCATTATCGTTGCTACGACCGTGACTGCGCGCTTTCATGATGAGCAGTAGCAATGCTGTAGCATGTATTTAACAATGTAATTTATGCTTAATTAAGTAACAGCTTTTGTTAAATAATGGCTCCCACTGTAGAAAATGAAGTTGTCGAGAACCAAAATGAAAATGTTCCTGATAGTGCACCATCGAGGCCGACTATTGGAATTATTTATCCTCCACCCGAATTGAGGAGTATCCTTATGATAAAAATTTTTTAAATTGAAGATTTGTTAGACGCAGCGTTTTAGGACGAACAAACTACAGTATTCGCTGATAAACAAACCATTTAATAAGACACATATAAAAATGTGCAGCGGAAATTATACTTTCAGTTTACTTTATCATTATACGACATGCATTATTTTTACAAACAAGTATCACATAAAAGTTTTTAAAATATTTATTCTGTATTAAACAACTTATTAATAATTATTTTTATAACAATATTTGTAAGAAAAGGTAGTAATTCGTTTAGGAAACAAATTACAAATCCTGTTAAATTGCTAATTTTTTTATTTTACTCTTTTGTGGCCCCTGGTATTGCCGTTTAATAATGGCTGTAAAGCATAATTTAATTTAAACAAGCTTATAGTTTTTGATGGTGCGAATTTCGCTTACGAAAATGTGTTTGCTGTAGACAACAAAAGGTTACTCGTTATTGCTTAAGAAGCGATGGTAGATTTACATCCCAGGCTAATGGGGAGATTTCTGTATCATAGAATAATTGCCCCAAGTCTTGGCAAACTTCCGGATAGCGGCGTGTAAGAAATTTAAAAAAACATAACTGAAAGGGATCAACTAGAAGGGTATATCTTCTGGGCAAACCTTTACATGTTTTTTTAAAATCTTTATGTTAAAATTCAATTTGGTAATTATACTTGTATTAGATCACAATTCAGAAATATCACCCTAACTTACTAAGTGAGTAATTGAACTATTTTTTTTCTTTAATTGATTTTTTTTATTTAAAGATGGATGCATGAAAAGGAAGCTAGTTCTTCTGTAGACATAATGTTATTTTAATGTCCATTAGATTGCCACTTAACTGTTCATTTCATTAAAGTGACCGAAATTTGGAATCATTTTCAAGGAAAATGATTTAAATCTTTTCCTTTGATGCCTGTCATCCCACAATAAATTTGAAACACTTCGAATTATCTTGAAATGAAGGAAGAGTGACATGACCTTTCTAACAGAGTTCCCACTGACCTTGAAAATATTTAAAAGTAGCAAAAATAAAGCAAATGTCGATATTTTAATTTCTGTGTAACCACATTAAAAATGTTTTCCAATGAAAGTATATATGCATGAAAATTGCGGCTTGCTGAATGTCTTATTGATAAAGTGGTATATTAAGATAAGTGCTATTAACCACTACTAAAATTTTTCAAGGACTGCGGTAACTCTACCTAAACTCTTATCCTAATTTATAAGTGGTCATAATAAATGTTAATTTTTAATCGTTGTAACTTTTTTTTTCATGTTATACAATAAATTTACCAATCATACTTGGGATGTTTTCTCGAACATTCCCAGAGGTCTGTCTAGGTTTTTCTGAGAAGTACCTATTTTGTGAAAATTATGACATAATTTGTGAAAAATTATATTAAAAAAATCAACACAAAAATATGGATTTATCGCTTCTTAAGGGATACAAAAATAAAATTTTAAGAAAAAGTATTTTGTGAAACTACCGTTTATCCCAAAATTGAATTTGTAAACTACCGTTTTTCCTAAAGTTGAATTTGTGAAGGTACCGCTAAACGGTAGTAAATTCGGCCTGGACAGACCCCTGCATATACAAAAAAATATTCAAAAAAATTTATGCCTTTATTGCAGAAAATATAACTATTATTTTATCTTAATTTTTAAAATAAAACTAAAAATTCAAACTTATATTATATTAACTTAATATTATACTAATATTTATATTTTTGAATGAAATGTACGGATCAATTTTTATAAATTGGCTTTTACTTTGCTAGTTTAAAAAAAAAAAACATNATGAAAATTGCGGCTTGCTGAATGTCTTATTGATAAAGTGGTATATTAAGATAAGTGCTATTAACCACTACTAAAATTTTTCAAGGACTGCGGTAACTCTGCCTAAACTCTTATCCTAATTTATAAGTGGTCGTAATAAATGTTAATTTTTAATCGTTGTAACTTTTTTTTCGATGTTATACAATAAATTTACCAATCATACTTGGCATGTTTTCTCGAACATTCCCAGAGGTCTGTCTAGGTTTTTCTGAGAAGTACCTATTTTGTGAAAATTATGACATAATTTGTGAAAAATTCTATTAAAAAAATCAACACAAATATATGGATTTATCGCTTCTTAAGGGATACAAAAATAAAATTTTTAAGAAAAAGTATTTTGTGAAACTACCGTTTATCCTAAAATTGAATTTGTGAACTGCCGTTTTTCCTAAAGTTGAATTTGTGAAGGTACTGCTAAACGGTAGTAAATTCGGTCTGGACAGACCCCTGGTTACCAATAGCCAATTGTGCAGCTCTAGCAAGCAAACCAATCATACTTTTCTTATTTGATTATTGTATGTAATCATTTTTTGAATTGTCAGTCCATTTGTGTGATTTCAAATTAAAACATATTGTATCCGTTTCTATCTTGATACGTTTTTGTTATTTATCAAAAATAACTAGTTCCCCAAGTTTGTCCCCCCCCCCCCCCAATTTTTTTTTTCAGATTGGGCCAACTTGAATAAAAAATAAAAAAAACCATCTTTATACCCAAAAAGAAAGAACTGAGTTTTTAAGATCAAAAACCTGTGACAATTTTCTCTGTCTTTGGAGACATTTTATTACAATACTTGCATTATAGTTATGATTCATAATATCATGTTTAAAAAATATAACAAAAATTATTGGTGCTATTTTTTTCCTATTAATTAATCCAAAAATTTAATCAATTAGGTGTTACATTATGAATATTTAATATAGTTATTGGAAGAAAGTGTCTTAAAAGAAGTTAATTTTAGTATGTTATCTATAACAGTTTTGGTACATGCAGTTCACCATCAATCAAAAAAATATTTTAGAATTTTGGCCTTATTTATTCAGAACTGAATTTATTATACATATAGAAGTAAAAAAATGAAGTAAATATTCTCGTAATCTTGGTAGCAGTGTTTAAAAGGAGAATCTGCAGCACTGCCTTCATTGATCTAAATTAGTCTGCTACCTCAACTCAAATTGAGACAATTATAAAAATGTTACTTTAATTTGAAGAACACATGTAACAAAATTTACAAACATGAAGTCTGAAAATAATACATAAAAACTTCATGTTTAAATTTAAGTTGAATTTTAAGCACTTATTCTAAAAAAAATGAAATAATCCTGTATACAGTTAAGCTTGTAATCAAGTGACAGTTTTTTTTTCTTCTCAATTTAATCTTTTAATTTTTATTTGAAACACCTTAATATATTTCTTAAAACAGGAATCTCAGCAATATTAACCCATTTATTTATTTATTTTTAAATTAAGAAGAAAGCACATGAAAAATAAGTAATATTTTTGCATGGAAATTTAAAGTTATTGAATTAAAAGATCCTTAAATTATGTCTTAAAGTTTGCTTAACTTAGACTTATGTAAATTTTATTTCCTAAGAACTGATAGCTATGAAGTAAATTGATATTAATTGTAGTTTAAATCTGTATAAATTGTCTAGATTTGCAAAAAATGTCAAATTTATAACATTGAAAATTAAGAAAATGTAAGGAAATTTTGATTATTAAAAACGTTCTACTTAATAGTTATAAATTGAAAAATATGCACAAGGTTTTACCAACCCCACAACAATGTGTCCTTCCTAAGAACAGATTATGAATTTTCCTATCCCAATTAAAAGCACACTTGCATTGTTGAATGTATTTTAATTTATATATCAAATTAACTTAGCTAAATTATTTAATAAAAACTAAATTATCAAGTTAATTTATCATCAGTTTTTTGGAGTAAAATCTATTTATCTAGTAAATTTTTGAGAAAATCAGGGTATATTTAAGCATGCTAACCCATAAAATCCTTGGTGGATATTTTTAGGCTGGGCCTACTTTGGCGAACGCCGACACAAATTATTGTTGATTGTTCTTTCACTAAAATATTTTTGTGAAAAGCTAAGTTTCTTAATCATCTCAGATTCAGTTTGAGGCAAATTTTTTGGTATTTCTTAAATGAAATCTAATAAATCAATTATGTAGCAATCCTGTATAGTTTTGCCCAGAGTTGAAGCATTTTATTCAGAATAATTTTTGATGATTTCTATACAACCCTTGTTCTTTGTCTTCACATGAATATTTGTTCAGTACCTTAACATTTTATAGATATTGTTGATAAGACTGCTAGTTTTGTTGCCAGAAATGGTATGTATTGCATTTCATATTATACTTTTCTATTTTAAATTGACTGTATAACTGACTAAAATATTCTTTGTGATTTGTTCACCTTTAGCAAAGTACTCATTATTGAAAATATGTGTTTCTGTAAAAATAATAGAATGTTCTGTTTTTTTAAGTTGCATTCTAATTAGATTTGTTTTTATCTTGATTGTTTATATTAATGAATAACTATAATTTAAAAGTAATATTCCATTCTTACATGTTCTTTAAAATGCAATTCTCTTTAAAATGCAATTCTCTTTACTATTCAAATTTATTAAATACATTGACTACTTCTTTGTTTTTCCTGAATATTCATATACTCAAAGTTCAAATCTATGCCTGAATCACAATGTAAATCTTAAACTATGCCTAAATCACAGTGTTTTTGAAGTGAGAAAATCATTTACTGCATACTTGGCGAACAAAGAGCACGGGGCTAGCTTATATGATCAGAAAGTCTCTTCCCCAGTCGTGGTTGCCGTGAGAAAAGTGTTGAACCAAGCAGACTCTTCAATTCTCCTTTTAACATGTAAAGTCTATAGCGGGCTTGTCATACTTTGAATCGATTTTTCTTGTTTAAGAATCGGAGTGATAAATTTAAAAAAAAAAAATACTAATAATTTTTTCAATCTTTCCTATCCACGAAAATTTAGGTCAATTTTTTTTTAATCTTTATTACTTTTTGTAATATTGCCTTTGAAACTCAAGTCACTTTCTACTTTTGAGAAAGAAGGAAGCAACTTCCACCCCCAAGTTCGTTCTCCAAGAGATGATTGCGGTCTAATCTTCTCCGTAGGTGGCCTTGCTCCCTTCCTCCCAAATACTTTTACTGTGTTCAACTCTTTTTAAAAATCTAAGAACTGATATGGGGAGCATTTTGAAAACCGATAGCTTACTTTTTATTTATAAACTTGTAATTTATTATGAAAATTATATTCGCTGATAATTCGTTCACTCTATATACATTTTATTTAATCGAAGGTTAATTTAGTTTATTCAAATCGCGAAATTCAAATATTTAAGTCTAAATCAAATTTACATAGTAAGCAACCATATTTGCTTAAACAATGGATTAAATGTCAATATAGTTTTTTAAAGTGGTAGAATCTAATTAGTTTCAGAACGGTGTTACAATCTTTAAAAAAAAAATTTTTAAATTAAAAAAAATGGTTGTGAAAAATATTCGAATTGTAATTGAAAGAAAAAAATTTAATAAGTAATAAAATAAAATCTTGAACTCAAGATTTTACTTGAACATAAAAAGTTTTACAAATTAACAAATCAGTTTTAAAAAAATTAACAAACTTTATTTGATTTATAGAGAAAACATAAATTTATTTTTAATGTAGTTACTTTATATGAATTACTTTCATATGACTACATAGTAAAATTTTATAAATTTAAATACGCTGGTTATTTAATTAGTTCTCTAAATAATCAAATCAAAATAATAAAAAATTCAAGATATAATTCGAAAAATTCCATGTTAAATAAAATGATAAAACCATTTTGAAAATAAAGCCAATTTTAGAGTTAAAAAAAATATTTTTAAAGTTTTTCTTAGAACGAGAAAAAGCATAATATAAGATGTAGAGTGAGTTTCTTCTGATATCTTTTGAAAGCTAGTTGACCCCCTTAGGTTGCTATCTCCCTTTTCTGTGACAGTGGTTAGTCAATTAGTTTCGGGTTATTTAACACCCCAGGAAGTATACACGTACCCCCACCAAAAATGTAGGGGATACAGTGGAACGGGTTTTGGAGGTGTTCTATATTTCAGGCCGAACTCTTACTGAAGGTTAGAAGGGAAATGAAAAGGCCTTCTCACGTGTCCTTTGGCCAAGATTGCATACATATAATGGGTCATTCTCCCAAAAGCTTATTTTCATATCCCCAATATACTTTATGATATATATATATATATAGTTCTGTATTAATAAATTTAAAAAAGTAAAATTATTAAATTCTTCAACTAGAATTTGACTGATTTAATTACCTTTTTTTATTATATTTATTTCAGATTGCCATAATAATTAAGTAATTCTAGTTTAAATCAGCCATTTTAGAATTTTTCATTAAATCTCTTGTTCTTGAAATTAAATTTAAGTCTCATTTTGCTTTAAAAAATTTGGTATATCGCTACAAAAAAAAACCAAAAAAAAAATATTAATCAGAGTTCTGTCAGAAAAGCTTGCAAATCAGCGGTTTTGTGATTCATAGATTTTTACGAAGTAGGGGGAAAATCACATGCCTGTTCCAACATTGCTAAAAGTTGCTGATTTCCATTTTAAGAGTTACAGAGTATCACGAAAGTTTCTTTCTCCTCCCTTACTCAATAAAAACATCTGGAAATAATTCTAAGAAAAAAAAGTTTTCTGGAGAACAACTTTTCTAACAGCAAAACTTATACTGAAAACAAAACCAAAATTTTTTCATCCTGAATCAAAAATAATTCTATGACACTCTTGCAATGTTGCTGAGATTCTCCCATGAGATTGTAGCTTCTTTTAACTTGGGCTCATTATAATTATTGTTATTATTTTTTTCCTACAAAAATTTATTCCGATAGCTCTTGTCTTTATCCAATCGTTATTTATATCTCTCATTTTTTAAAATCTTAATGTGGAGCTAAACTAAAATCTAGCGGCGCGACAGCCCTAGAGGGCCAAGGCCTACTGTGCCCATCTCAGTTTTCTTGACCTTGGGATCTGGGGTGCAGAAGCGTTAATGTGGAGCTATCTAAGTGATATAATTTTTGTTTCAAAAGGAATAATAAAAAACAAATTGATGTTCATTAGCCTGTTCTCAATTTAAAATTATGGTCAGATAGATATTGTTTGCATGTCATTTGTATTCTCTTGGATTACAATGTTTGGTGGTAAACAATGCCTTCAACAATACTATTTGCCTATAGCTCATATCCAATTAAATATCATTTCAGGTCCTGAATTTGAAGCCAGAATCAGACAGAATGAGATTAATAATAAAAAGTTCAATTTTCTGAATGTTGGAGATCCTTACAATGCTTATTATCAACATAAAGTCAAAGAGTTTAAAGAAGGAAAAGGAGGTATTCTATTTTTATACTGTATGTTTTGATATGTTATGTTTATTCAGAGTTTCTGCTACACACGTATGCATTATACTGCTACACACCTATGCACTATACACAAACGTGTGAGCGTTGTTTGCTGAAAATTTGCCATGCCTAAAACTTTAAATGACTCATTATTGTAGAAAAGACAAACTCATTATAGTTTAGACATCTTTTGAATTATAAAAATAACCATTTTTGCAACAAGAATAAAATTTATTTAAAAGAAATAAAAATTGTAAACACAAAGACTACACTTAACAAATTATACATCACTATACCCAGAACAGAAGAGACTAAAACACTTCCTCCAAGCACAAGAGGAAGTAATACAACAGAGGGGAAGAAATCATCCATATATTTGTTGAGACTTATCCATATATTTGTTAGAAAAATATCCTTCAATAATTATTACTTATTAAAATCTAACAGTTCAGTTATACATAGACAACTAATTGTGTTATTCAATTATATATTAGCTTTCATTTAAAAATACTACTTAATTTTAAGGTCTCATAAAATTATAACGTATTTTCATGTGTTTGCTCTGAGAGTTCTCAACTTCAGATTTAAAACGAAAATCAATCGCAGCACTATTATCACAAAACATGTTTCATTTGTTTTTTTATCCGTTATCACATTTTTAGACCACTCTAACTTCTTGGCTGACTTGCATGGCATCTTAATAGAAGTTAAAACACTTTTCTGTTTAATTTTTTTTTTATTTCTCTGTTAAAAAATTTTCTGATTATTATGAATATTTTATTATCTTCTGAAAATTACTTAAGTTCACGCTTGTTACCTTTTTTTTTTCTTTCGGTTTTAGAAACTTTGTAATGTTTACCATATTATGAGAAATGCTTTAGATAAAAATGCATTTCATTATCATCCAGTTTTTTTAATCGTTTAAAAAAATGGCCAAGAAACTTTTGAAAATTCTTGAAATGCTACAACTAGCCACGACCAGTAGCAAACTTCCTAACTTTGCCTTTTACCTTGAAACATAATTTTTTGCTACTTTTGAAGTTTTTTTAAGTATATATATTGCGAAGGAATGTGCAAAATTTTTTAGATATGTTTGGCTCTGATTCTTTTAATGAGTTTATTACATGATACAAGGCTTCTATTTGATTTGCATTAAGTATTTAGCAATGACAATAGTTCCACACAGTAGTATTTACAGCTAGAATAAACTTCCTTGATAAAAAAAAAAATTATTAATTTTTTTATTTTTTTAATTCAATTGCAGAATTTTTTTTTTCTTTTTAATTTAGAAGTTGCATATATGTTTCAATAAAAAAAATATTGATATTTATTTTATGACTTATGTATTACTTAATCTCATTAACAAGCAAGTTTGCTGCCTGAATATTATCGAAATCCCTTGCAGTTTTGGTTCGTTCTTAAGCGCATCGCTTAAACAAGAACGCTAGGCTACTGTATTTTAACGTTTCATGAATATGCTTTGGTCCTATCGAATTCAACCGGAAAGGATTTGCAACAACTGTTCTGAGGGTGAAATAACCACATTGAGAAGGGGCAGTAGATTCTTAGCGATTTTTTTAAATTAAAAATTTTATTGGCTTATAATGCATTAAAATTTTCCATTTTTAAAGTTTTTATTTTTTAATAATTTTTATATTTTACTTTTAATAATTGCATTATAAATTGCCTTTTTCTATTCAAGTACAAACTAATTTTTTCCCCCTTTTATATTTTCAGTTTCAGATGGTGGTATTCCAGCTCCTACTGCAAAAGTATGTAGCAATATCTTCATTACCTTATTTTGGGTATAGTTTATAATCTTTCTGCAATCAAATGTATGGTTCGCAAAAAAAAATTAAACCTTAAAGAGAGTTTCAAAATTTTAAAATTTCTCCCAATTTGCATTTTCTGTGCAAATTTTGCTTTTTTTTTTTTTTTTCAAAATGAAACAATTTAACTTGAAAAAAATAAAAAAAATATGTAGTGAAGAAATAAAAGCATTCTTTTATTCTTCTTTTAATACTTGAGAATTCAATTACTAGATTAAAAGTTATTTAAGTATTATACTTTTTATTTTATTTTGCATACTATATTGTAACTAAGTGCAAGTAAATTCAATTGTTCTATTTTTAAGTGACGTTTTTTTTAAATGAATAAATAAAAAAGCAAAATCAATTCTTGTAAAGCAAAATTGTCAATGTTCCTGAACAATCCTCAAATTCGTAATGTTTGTTTTCTTTTCTCTTAAATTAAACTTATTTTATTTTTGTAGGCTACATCGGTGTCTAAACCAGACTTACAAAAGATAGCTGAGCTTCTTAGTGTTCCTAAAGAGCCACCTCCTGAGTATGAGTTCATTGTAGACCCTCCCTCCATTTCTGCATTTGATTTGTAAGTATTTCATTCATCCCTCCTCCCATTTCTGTGTCACAAACCTTGATGCTGTATAAGTCTGTTATAACAACATTTCATAATAAGAGGTGAAATTGTCGTCTTTAGCAAATAAACACACTTAATGTAAAAAAACTGTAAAAAAATTAGGAAATGAATTGAACGTATTTACTTTTTAATTTGAAGAACAACTACTTTTACTTAAAATACACATGGGCAGCAATTGCATGGTGGTTGACGTTACATTTTGATAGGTTTTCATATATTTTAGTTTTGTTTCCTAAATATTTAATAATTTATTTTTTAAAAAATTATATGGACTGCTATTGAATAGCCCAATATTATTATTCATATAAGAGAAAAGAATGAAAATTGTAAGTGTTTTATATAGAAAAAAGAATGTATAATATGACTAATGTTACACAGAAAAGGCATGGACTAAAATATATTTTTATTTTGAAATTCTTCTATTATGAACAATAATGGGATTAGTTTTTTTAAAAAATTATTTAATGAAGAACTACTAACTAGCAGAGAATTTTGAAAGTGCATATGAAATAACATAGAAAGTGGCAAACAAACAAAAAAAGTTTTTCTCATCGATGTTACAAATATGTTTTTCTTTTTATAAAAAAAAAAAATTACACCCTCCATCGTCTTCTCAGACATAAGGCATCTTGCAGTCCAATACAACACTGAAGTAGCTCCAGAAGGTGAGAGGGCACAAAAGTCATCACAGGAATGAATGTCAAGAAGAGAGGGGCAATCAAATAGATGCTCCCCAGTCATAGGCAAAGTGTTACAGAGCACACAAAGAGGTGAATTGACCAGGTTAATTTTAAATAGATAGGCCTGCAAGTAGTCATGTCCAGTAATTATTTCAAGGCAAGCAACTCTCTCGACTCTGGGAAGGAGGGAAAGGTGACAGCGCTGCTGGTCATCAAGAAGGCTAGCCCAGGACTTTCCATCAGCTAAGTCCCTAAGAGTAGATATTGTTCTGTGCCTGAATTTGCTCTTAAGAAGCCGCCTTGCATTTCTAAGGGGAACTGGATGAGAAAATGGATGCAATGCTGAAGCCTCTCTAGCCAACATGTCAGCCCGTTCATTTCCGTAAATGCCACAATGGCCAGGGATCCACTGGAGGACCACCTCTCTTCCAGAACAAAGAAGAGAGTCAATGCATTGTTTACACTTAAATTCAAGTTCAGAGGGGTATAAATTATATTCAGAAATGGTCTGAATAGCAGCCTGAGAATCGACAAAGATAACAATGTTTTGTTCAGATGATTCACCAATAGCTTTAATAGCGATAAGGATTGCAAACATTTCTCCATCAAAATTGTCTGCCCAAGTGTCAAGAGGTTCTCTAAGGCTGAAATATTTGGAATGAGTACCGGCTCCAGCTCTACCAGTTGAAAGAGTGGCGGATCCATCAGTAAAAACCTGCAGCCATTGCTGGTAAGAGTATCTCTCGTGTGTAGTGGCCAGAGCAATGCCAAGACAACTCGGTCTGGTGGAAGTCCGATTTCCGAACAGGCAGTACCAAGTCAAATATAAACTGTATTGAACTTTTATAAAATAATGTTACAACTATAAACTATATTGAACTTTTAATAAACCTATTACTATTATTACAAAATACTTAAAAACAACTATTTTTTAAAATTTTATGTCTAAAATAATTAATAAAGTAACCAAAAAATTTGTTAATGGAGTTATGCTATTATATAAGGTCTTGAGAAGTATTTTTGGAGGAATTCAAAAAAATAGTGTGAAATCAAAATAAAGTAAAACCTGTGCATTTTTTTTAGTCCAGCTTTTACTGAATTAGGAAAAAGGGTTTTTAACTAAAATAGTGTCATTTTACGCAAGACAACATGTCTTTTTAGCTGAGACAATTGGTTTTTGCACATGCATCCCTGTATCAAAGTTTTAAAAAAAAATTATTGCAAAATTACCTTACTTTGTATAATTTAAATTTTTTACTTTAAATATTCTATTTCAGAGATATAGTCAAATTAACTGCACAATTTGTGGCCCGGAATGGTCGGCAATTCTTGACAAACTTAATGAATCGTGAACAAAGAAACTACCAGTTTGATTTCTTACGACCTCAACACAGTTTGTTCAATTATTTCACTAAACTTTTGGAGCAATATACTAAGGTAAAAACTTTTTTGTCTTTTTAAAATAATCCGTAGTAATGTAACCTGATTAAATCAACTATTCATTATTTGGTTCCATTCACCTAGTACGTGCAGTGCACTATTTGTATAGTATTTAGTTTTATCTTTATTTCACCACTTATAATTTCAGCCAAAATTTTGAATTTAATTCCTACTTCTGAGCTATAAGTCTTTGACTGTTATGAGTTATTATGAGCCATGATTTTTTTAATATGAGCTATGATTTTATATACAATTTACAAACCATTGAAATTAAGTTCTAGAGAAATTTTGAAATCTAAAATAATTATAATTGCCTTCATAAAAATAATTTTTTAGGACTTTTTGTAATCAGTGGAACTTGGAATTTTCAGAGAATTTGAATATACCAATTGGGCAAACTTGGAATTTGCAATTTACTCGTTAAATTACTAAACTGTAAGCAATGTGCAGCTTTGTACTTATAATCAGAAAGATCATAGCTGCAAAGCTGCCAATCAGTATAAATATAATGAAACACTGCTACTGTGTTTCATCTATTTTATTCTCACATTACAGTTTTATACTTTTAAAAATTCATCAAGTAGTATCATTATATTCAATTATATAATAATATGAAAATGGGACAACCAAAGCTAAGATCAGGTTGAGAAAGACTGATAAAAATGAAAATAAACTGGAAAAAGAAATCTGGAGAGAGAAGCATGGAACTCTATTGTAGTTCTGGAAAAGCTTATCATTTAATTCCTTGACGTCCATTGTTATTTTAATAAATGAGTTCTGTGATATAAATAGTTCAAATTAATTATGTTGACTTTCTATGAAACAGGAATTTCTTATATGAAAATTAAACTTCATAAACCATTGGAATGTTGAACATTTTATTCTTTAAAATCAATTCATTCCTATTTATCTTGAGCTTATTGAAGTTAATAATAATTTTTTTTGAGACAGATTTTTTAAAATGTGAAATAGTGATAAAACTTTTAAAAAAAAATGAAATCTAAAATTTTGTTCTGGAAATCTCGTAAAATTTGGTTTTGTTTGAAGATTGGCAACTGCATTTTTATTAAACTTTAGAATTAGAGCTATAATAATAACATCTAACTTATTGTATAATGAACATAGGTAATGAAAAGTTTTAGTAGTCTTATGAGCAGTTTTATAATAATTTTGGCATTCATATACATACTCTTAATGTCGGCACACCAGGCCCGGACTGGCCAGTAGGCAGACCGGGCAAATGCCCGGTCATCTAACCGGATAATCTAACCTTTCATCTAACCCGGTCATCTAACCTTTTAAGATGTCTAAACCGGGCAAATGCCCGGTTTAGACATCTTAAAAGCTTTTGGAATGGTATCACAAACGTGTTCAGAACTAAAAAAAAAAGTGAGAGATTTTGAAGGTGTACAAAAAGTTACAGATGATTTCCTTATTTGCGCAAATAAGGAGCTTGAAGAAACAGAAATTCAAACAAAGTTTCCATAAAAAAGATTGAAGAAAAGAAAATTGATGCCGAGTGAGACAGCGTCGAATGAAACAGTTTTTGATGATGAAGCCACTGCATTTAAGATAAAAGTCCATAACATTATTTTCAGCACAGTTGTAGCATCAATGGAACGCCGATTTCCAGCAAATGGAAAATTGTATGCCGATTTTTCTATATAGATCCGAAACGTTTCCCTGAAAAACGTTTTAACAAGCTTCAATCTGGCGAACTAAATGAGTTAAGCAAACTCTTGCTAAAATTTGACGAAACAGCTATAGGTGAAAATTTACGGATTGAACTAAGAAATTTAGCTTTATATTGGGAAAAACTGAAAAATTCAGACTTAGAAGATTATAAAATAATCAGAGAAGATCATTCAAATGAAGATAATAACGACTTTACTTTGGAAACAGAAGAAGTAAGTCTAAAATGTGAGACACGCAGTGCGTGCAAAAATTGTGTTATTTGTTGCTACAAGATGTTACAGACCAATTCTTACAATTTAATTAGTCTAGCATTAAAATTTTTCAAACATTGTCAAAAAGTCAGGTGACTGGTGAAAGATCATTCTCCACATTAAGAGTAATTAAAAATCGAATGAGGAGTACTTGCTCTCATGGTAATGGCAATAGAAAAAGATCTATTAATGGAATTAGATAGCCACGACATAATCGATAAAGTGACAAAAAATAGTGAGCCTCGCGCGCACGCGGTGTTTAGGTGAAGTAGAGGGCCGATATCTCTGAAATGCCTGGGCCGGCTTTAGATCCCAGTCCGGGCCTGCGGCACACATTTGGTTTTTCAAAAAAATATTGATTTGTGATATGGAATGATGTAAAATTTATAATTTAAAATTCTGTTAATCAAGCAATAGTTTGCTAATATTTTTAGACTTTTCTGTTAATTAAATATTCATGTTAAATCAAAATATCAAATGTAAAAAATATATATATAAATGAAGCGATTCAGCTTTTATTATGTTTGCGAAATTTAGCTTTCAAACTAATTCTTCCCTAAGTGTAGATATACAGGGTTATAAAATTAGCCTCTTTATAATATCAGAAATGAGCAGCAGCCACTGTACTTAGCAACTGATGTACGTTTGATGTTATTTATTTTTTATAATATTGATTGTACTATACATAGTTGTATGTTTCAAATTTAATTAGTTATATTTGCATATTTAAGATATTAATTCCACCTAAAGATCTGATGAATAAACTAAGGAAAGAATCTGAAACTCCTAAAGCTGTAAGTCAAAAATTTTCATTAAAGTGTAAATTTTCTATCAAATATAATTTTTCAGTTTTTCTTTGATTGTGAAATTGAGTATGTTTGTGTGTTATAGGTTTTGGATCAAGTACGATACAGAGTAGAATATACACGTCAACAAGAAGCTATCAAAAGGCGTGAGGAAGAAGAAGCTGAAAGAGAGAGGGGTAATTTTTTTCTCTTTTGAATTATGTTTAATTGGCAGGCTTGAGTTGGAGTAATTGAAAAATGCATTTTACGAGCAGTTATATATTTTATCATGTCCTGATTTTTCAAAAACTGATATTTGATACGACAGCTGGTACATAGTAAAATCTGTAATTCATTTTTTTTCCACTAAAATCTGTCATCAATAAACCTATTTTTTTCTTTATATTATGATGTAGCCGACAATTTTTTTAATTTTATTAAATACAGCGCACTATAAAAACCATCCCGAATAACTTTTAATCTAATGATTGGATTTGCACGCACTGGAACTCAACGGTTTGACGGGGCAACCTCACGTAAGTGATATTTTAAGTTACGAAATCGGACACTGAACATACTTTCTCTGAATGAACATAACTTTCGTTTGACAAACTCAAATTTCTGACCACCAATATATGGTCCCAATACAGGGTCGCCACAGGCTACTAAAATGCAACTATTTGCTACTATATTCAGCTTTAGGCGACTATGGCGACTTTTTTCAGGGTTGCCACTCCACAGGGAAAACCTGGAAAATACAGGGAATTTAAAAATCACCTAAAATAAGAGGGAAAATGCAGAGAATTTTGATTTTTTCTTTGCAAACTGGGAAAATACAGGGAATTTTGTTTCTTATTTTCATCTTTTAAATAATGCTGACCACTCAAAGCGTAATCTATAACTATTTCATTTACTATAATAAACTATTTAATTTACTATGGCATTATTTAAGTATGTTCAACTGTTTTTCCAGCGATAAAAACTAATAAATATAGTTAGCCCCATAAAGCTCACACGAGAGCACAGTAATTGTTGCTTCCTCTTAATATATTGTGTATAATATGTACAGGGAAAACACGGGAAGTTTTTTTTCCAGATTTTAGTGGCAACCCTGTTTTTTGCCTGAAAAGGCTAAAAAAAGCAACTATTTTCAGGAAAAGGCGACTATTAGGAGACTTTTTTTACTCTTGGCAAAGTTTTTTCGCAAAAATGAACGTTACTTTTCAGAACATTAACAAAAGAAATCAAACTTTTATTACAATCATTTATGTCCTAAGAGCCAAAAATTTAAATTTCCATTGGATTTAATAAAGTACTTGTTATATTTTCTCTCTGAGGGGCAGTTTTGTTACTTTTAATTGTTTTTTCCTTCTACTAACATTCATATTTTGTTGTAATCCAACTTTTATTTAGGTACCTATTTTCTAATATGTATACCTTTTATATTTGTACAAAACTTTTTTTTGATTGGAGCATAGTTAGGACTGGGCGATGAATCGATGTATCGCGAAATATCGATTTAATGCATATATCAGTAGGCCAATGTAGTGACTTTCGTTTTAGCCGATGCATCATAATCTGATTTAAGCCGCTGGAATAAGATTACAGTTGCGGTTTAACAATTTAATACGCAAGGATCCTTGACCAGGCTAACGCTGTTACCACACTAACGAAGACTATTTTGATTTCTTCTAGCTGCAGAGATCTAGATAGTGTTTTGCTATTAAGATGATGTTAGTTTCGTGATGTTGAATGACGAAGAGCGAATTGAATCAGAACTCCCGGTTTCCTGCGAGGATCATCGTTGTAATATAGAACTCAATGCATGGTTTCTTTATGTCCATTTTTGTCTTTGGTATTTTGCGTTTTTTGAAGATTATTTTCAATGGGACTTAAGTCATTTTGCGATCGTTGTGCATTTTATTTCGTCAGAAATAATTGTCTGGTTTCTTGTAAATTATTTTCAGTGAGACTTTTGCAGCGATCGTTTCAATCTGCATTATTTCATAACGATTCTTGTCAATTACTTTTAGTAGACCTACTGTTACTTTGCGATTGCTGCACAATGGCTGTTATCTTAAATTTTCGTTCTGAACTCAATCGATCAAATCATTGTGTTTTTTCAATTATTGTTTTTTATTTTAAGCGGTACAATTTAATAGGGGTATTTTGTATTTAACTTTATTATAAAAAGTTAGTTTTTTAAAATTTATTGAATGTAGATAATTATAATAATTTGATTGTTTTTCAACCAATAAATGCTCAGTCGTTTTTAATTATAACAAAATTGAAACAAAGCTTACCTTTATTTAATTTGCTTTTATTTTTGAGAAAATGAAAACAAAGTTTTAAAAAAATTTCGCTATTAGTTAAAACAATTTTTTTTTAATTAAATAAAAAGTTTAGTAATGTTTTGACGTAATTCAACATTAATAATTTAACATTAGTACTTAAAGTATTTTTTTAAAGCTTTTATTAAAATTCTTTCAATACTTGTTTGTTTTATAATTTGTTAGATAGTCAGTATCATTTTTAAACAAATAAATCTTTAGTCGATTTTATTTTCAAAAATGAAAATAATAATAAATAAGTAAAAATATTTTTACATTTATTAAGTACAGAATTTGACCATTAGTTAATACTACTTTTTATTATTTTAAATAAGTAAATAAAAAAGGGTCTAATGATGTTTCAAAAGCATGTTTTTTTTTCAACAAATAATAAATAAATAAAAAAAATAAATTCTAAGGTGAACATTTCTTTGGTTTGTTTTCCACTTTCGTTTTTTTTTCTTTTAATTTTTAATGCATGTATGTAAAATAATTTGTTACAGTATTATTATTTTTAAACCAATAAATCTTAAATCATTTTTAATTTAAGAAAAATGAAATAAAGCTTGGGTTTGCTTTTACTTTGACTTCTTTATTAATTTAATTGAAAAAGTTAGGAAATGATATTGATGTCATATGTTTAGAATTAATATTTTCTTTTGTAATAGATTTATTCCTTTTTTTTATTTATTTTTGATTGATTTAAAGATCTCCCATAGGTAATTTTTGGACATATGCTAAATTGCGCTACATTACTATATCATGATGAAAATTTGAATTTCATTCATCATTGTTGTTAGATTGATGTAGAATCATATAACTTTTACTAATGAGAGGTAAATTATCTTTTTGACGTATCAAGTAGAGGGCTATACCAATTAATTAAAAAGTGTCCATTAAAAAATTTCCATCAATGTCCACTCTGATTTTCAAAAAAAAGGAGGGGGGAGTCAGAATTTATAATGGTGAGAAATATCACAAAGAGAAGGTTCCTGCATCCTTTGTTTAAATTTCAAGCGTTTGTTTGATTCTCTAAATGTAATGAAGACCAAATTATGAATATTTTCCTTTAATTTTATCCATTTATTTCTGTCAATGATTGTATGATTATGAATTTCTTCAAAGAAACTCAAATACTGATATGGTTCAATAAAAAGAAAATTTTTGATTTTATTATATTTAAATGATAAGATTTTCTATTTCTGACTGCCTTCTGTAGGCGATTTGTTTTTATTTATTCACATAATCAGCTGCCTTTTTTTTTCTCCCAAGTTTTTTATTATATACATCCAATTTCATTTTCCTCCTCCAATTTCTGAATAAAGTAAAAAATAAAAAAGTGACACTTTGATGTAGAGATCAACTAATCCGAAGATACTTACGTGTGTGTAAAATTTCTTTTCCTTCAAAACAACAGAATTCAGTCACATTTTTCTGAGATCTTATAAATATTAACTTGGTATTCTGAAATTCAAGTTTTTTTTTAATTTTGGATACTATTTATTTATTTATTTTTTCATAAAATAGCTGCATGGAATACTAATTGTGTATTATCTTTTTAGTACAATATGCACAAATTGATTGGCATGATTTTGTTGTGGTGGAAACTGTGGATTATCAACCTAACGAACAAGGTAGGTTCGTGTCAATGAATACTTTTCCGTATGCATGTTTTGAATGTTGTTCTGAATCTGATAAATGTTGTTTTAGGATTATTTCCTCCTCCTACTACTCCTGATGAAGTTGGAAGTCGAGTGTTACAACAACAACGATTGGATGAACATGGGGTAAATATATTAATATTTTATCACTTTAAGCAGGATTGATATGAATCATATTTCTTTTTTTATTATTATTATTTATTTTGCATACATAAGGTTCGTGCTCACCTTAAAGGTGCTTGATTTTGCTTCACAAAAATTAAGGAATAGAGTGTTTGCCTTCCGGCGAGGGGTACTGGGATTGAATCCAGGAATGACTGGTCGATAAGAATTCCGCATCTGGCTTCTACGGACCACAGTGCTGACGTAAAATATCCTCAGTTGACGACAGATCAAGGGTTTAAGTCCCCTAGTTGCCACGCTAACCATGGGAGATTTTGTGAAGGCAAATTTCCCCCCATGCTTGATCTGGGAGTTCGCTTGTCTTCTGGATTGGGTCGGCTGTTCAACGACGGTTATGTATTACTTTCTCTTAAAAGGAAAAAGTGTGAAAGAAAGTTGATTATTATATTTCAAAGCAAAAGCTCCTATTTTTTAATACGACTCTATAATGATGTACTAATTTTGAATTAGACTAATCACTTTTTATTACGTTTGTTTCCTGATGATATTATTAGCTTTTCAAGTCGTTGAGTAATAGTTTTCTTCACAATTATTTATAATTTCTTCAGCCCTTTCCACATGGATTTTCAAGTAATTGTGATATTTGTAACACAATGTTGTAACATGCAAATTTCAAATTTAAGTTAGCATTTTTTGACACTCGATTTCTTTGTTAATCTAATTTTGCTTTATTTTTAATTTTTTCCCCCCAGACATTTCCACAGGAGTTTTTAATTAGTACAATATTATTGCAACACATGTATATATGAATAATAGATTTAAAAAGTGATTATATGTTAACAATTTTTTCGATTCATTTAGCACATCCAATTCTACAGTTGTAATTATAAATAAGTCATTGACTGATAGTTTTCTTGACTCTTTCTACTTTTTTTCTGTATCATTACGTTGTTATTATAATGCAGGAGTATCAACTTAGTTATCTCAATTTGATGCTCTAGATTAGCGATATTTTGTGGTTAATCCTTGTTGTTTTTCTATAAATTTTTTTTGATAGTTGATAGCCTTTTCACATTTATTTTCAGATGATTACATTATTGCAAAATCTGTGTCAAAAAATGACTCAAATTTAAATTGCAACAGGGGGATTTCAAATTTGAGTAATTTTTTTACTCAACTTTGAATATAGACTATTTTTTGGCGGCTTATACCAAAATCACTTTTGAGCTAGTTAGAATTCCATCCTCATTTTATGTAATTTTCGGTCATTCCCCTATGTTATGCTTTTTTTTAATGGAACTGATTACTAATTTTAAAACAGTAATATGAAATAGTAATAAAAAAATTGACCAGCTTTACTTAAAAAATCATCAATGTCCACACAGAGGAGAATAGATTTAAATGAAGTCAAAGCATGTAGTTTTGGTAGTAAACACTCTCTACTTAAAATTAAACCTCTACTTAAAATTATCAGAAACAAAATAATTGAACAAATGGATCTGGATATTAAAAAAAAAACTGTAATGTAAACAATTGAAAAAAAGTGAAAATTATAATTAGTTAGTTATCAACTTAGCTCTCAAAAAGAAAAATTTTCAAACACACTCTTGAAAAAAATAGATAAATAAAAACTTTGATCTCTAGAACTGTTTTGAAAAGAAATCTCAGTTTAAAAGAAGTTATAAAATAACAATGCATATTAATCGGAACAAATAAATACTTTTAGCTTATAATATTGCTGACAAGTGTTTTATCAGAAGAGGAGTGAAGCAGATATCTGAATTCTAAAAAGAAGAAAACCGAACATTTATATTTGGAAAAATTCTGTTAATTACGATACTTGATAATTCGCTTAGTTATTAAAATCAATTTCATCTTATATTGAATATAATGAATTAAAAATGAAAAAAAAAATTATCCGCCCTTCTAAAAATTCAATGATTCTATAATAGATTCTTTGGTGTCATAATTTATAAATGGGGTCTGAGAATCTTGAAATAGAGTGTTTTGCAAGCTATTTTGCCAGAAATAAAGTATAATTAATAATAAACTACAAATATAATAACAAATTCTTTTGCCATAAAAAAGACATGAAAGGTTTTTATTTTAAAGGAATCAATGCTCTGGGGAATGCAGACACGTAAAATTCTTTTAAATTATTATGTGATAAAATTATTCAATATTATATTATCAATTTAATTTTTTAAAAAAATGGTAGGTTGGTATCTGGAATTTACAGATTTGATTTTTTAAATGTGTTTAAGGTAATTTTTCTTCAACCATAGTCTTCTTGACACTCTGTTAAGATTTAAGATAAAATTATCACTTTATATTATCTTAATTTAAAATTTTCTGTTTGATACAAAGTTACTTTAATTTTTAGAAATATTTTGTTTCAGATTTTAAAACTGTGTTGTTTTTATTCTATCTGAATAAAGGATGATTAGTTTTATCTTCTATTGATGTTACAGGTGGAAGATGTGGAGATGGAAGTAGAATCAGATGATGATGGAAGTGACAAAGAACCAGGAAGAGAAAAAGTTAGCAAGGATAAGGTAAAATCTTTTTAAACATCATTAAATTCATATTTATAATTGAAATGTTGAAAAATATATATATAATTTTTTAGACTACAAATTACATTATTCAGAGTTTTCAGTTCTCTTTTTTAATTTTTCTGGTGTGGTTTTTTTTTTTTTTTGATTTCCTGATCAGTCTCAATCAGTCAACTTAAAGAAGAAAAAAACTACGCAGTATTACGCATTTTGTTCTAAATAATCAAACAAAAAATCATATCTTCGAAACATACCATTATTGGTTACTCTGGAAATCAAAAATCTAAGAGAACTGAAACAAGAGGAATTTTGAGGTTCTGTAAATTATGTAAGAAGTAATAAATTAAAAAATTAACATTTTGCTCATTTGAAGTTCAATGCATTAAGGATATTGGGTTTAAAAAGCTCTCAACATAAGTGTATAAAAAGATGTGGATTTAGTAAACTTTTCAAAAATCTGAAAAAGTAAAGGATTTAAATGTTCAAATTTAGATTATCATATTTTGTCATTTTAAATTTCTTTGCAGGTTGCTGATGACAGTTCTTCCTCTTCAGACGAAGAAACTGATCGGGCAAGCCCTCCTCCATTACCCAGTGAAGATTCGACTCCCATGCTACCTCCTCTCCCTCCACAACCTGATCAGGTGGTCATCAGGAAGGATTACAACCCTAAAGGTAAAACAGTGATGTTTTATGGAATTAATGATAAGAGTTAATATATTAGCCTTTAAGTGATGTAATTTTTCTTTTAAATTCTGAATGCTTAGCAATAATGACATTCTTAATCCTGAAATTACGACTCTTTAAACATAGTCTCTGAAATTGACAAAAATCATGATTTAAAAAAAAAACTGATTTAGTTTAAACCAGATTTTTCACATTTATTAACCAAAGCATTTAATAAAACACATTATTAATGCTTACTATTATTTAAAAACAATATCATGGATAAAAAAGTTAATATTTCGTACTAGAGTGGGGGAGATGTTTTAATTACTGCAAATTAACCAATGAAAAATAAGATCATAGTTATTTTTGTTTTAGCTCAAAACTTTTGTGGATTTTAAAAACGGGAGGTAATTTCTCAACTAGATATCCGATAAAGAGTAAATTATTACTGATAAAAAATTATTGTAAATTACTCTGGACAGAACTAGGATTACGTTTATTTAATAAGTTTTAAAAGCATTTGAATTTAAAGAAACATGAAACTAGATGGATATAATTAAAATATGTTTATGATTTTCCATTAGCTATATGTAATTTAAAAGCTGGGCAATTCCATATGTGACGGAATGACATTTTGACTTGCAAAATAACAATTAATTGAAGTTTCTATGCATCTAATTTAAAATGAACATTGTTTTTTCTCATGCATATCATTATTATTGGCAAAATGCTATTCATAAACTTAAAAAAAAGGATTTTGAATTTTTTTTAATTTTATGAACTTTTTATTTGTGTGACGGAATTGGCAACCAAGTTTTTGGCATGCCGCTTAGAACTGGTAGTTTCTGTGAATTTTGCAGCTATTATTTTTCTGAACTATTTTTTACTTTTAGTATAATGTGTAAGCAATCTAAAATGTGAATTTGGAAAATTTACCTCAGGTTGGCTAGCAGTTATTAACATCTATTTGCTATGATGGAATGACCGTGACGGAATGACAAAAAGTTTAGTGGAAGAAAGTTTTTATTTAAAAAATATTTTATTAATATGTAAATGATAAACAGAATGTAACAGATAAACAGGATTAATATTTAAGTAAGAATTAGTAAAAATTTCAACAATTTGAAAATTAGGTAGTCTCTGAAGAGGTTTTATATCTAACTTTCCAATGTCACATCTTATCTTTGCTCTCAGGAAATTTTTGCATAAATGAATTTTTGTTCTCTCTTCTTTTTAGTGCTTTAACAGTTAAATCGTCTTTGTTTATCAAAGTAATTTGCGCCACATATAAATGTTCCTTTTTTTTTTGGCAGTATGGAACAATGATTAAAGAGCCGACCGCATACTCCCCAGTCATGCTTTCCATTTCCTCTTCACGGCAGTGGCTTTTCAAATCATACACTTGGTTTTGGTTAAAATTAGAAAGCATTCCAATTTTGATGATTCATTTCTCAACTACATGAACGTCTTTTGCACGTCTCTTGTCCCTGGCAATGCTGCTGTAACAAGTGTCTAGCTGAAGTCATTCCCTTTTGCCTTCTCTTAAATGGAATAGCTGGATAAAAACAAAACTTCAACGATTTGTTGCTTCGACTTTGTATATAATATGCAAAAGAATTTTATGATTTCATAATGCACAGTGCAAAGCAGACAACATCTTGTTTGGCCTTTTAGAACAAACTCACACTTACATGGTATATACAGGTTCATGTGTTGTGAGGTATTAATAAAATACACTTAACAAAATTGAGAATAAGACCAAAAATGAGATAAGACACACTTTACGTCATTATGTGCTTCTTTATGAAAAGCTTCTTTTAGTGCTATAAGCATATATTGCATCTGCACTCTTCGTTACTCTGTCAGAGTTGGTATTATGACTGAATCCTTCATACTTGGGGGCTTGTAACTAATATCATCTTAACAGTAAAATTTTTCAACCAAATTAAACAGCCCATCAACATTACTTTTCTCACTTAAACGAGTTTTCTTTTGAGTTTGATGTTAAATCCTTCTCATATAAAGACTGAATTATTAAGACTTAAATTTTTTTTACCTCTATTGGTGATTTTGGAAGTGAGTGTACAATTTTTTTTTTATGGTGAGTGTGCAATTTTTTTTATGGCTTTACCAAGACTCTGCCAGGATTTGTGTAGGGAATTAAAATTATTTGTATGTGAAGAGATTGGTAGAATTTGGTTTTTTTCTTTGTTTACACAATCTCTGCACAACAATGTTTCCACTTCTAAGTTTTTTAAGTCCAGCTTTTGTCACAGAAGCTTTCTTCTCTGCCTTTCTTTCTCTGTTTCTTTTTATCATATCATGGGGATCTTGTTCTTTTTTAGCATTCTATCTGTCTTTCGTCAGCTGTTTTAGCTATTAGGTTAATTGAAAAAGAAATAATTCCCTAGTTTTTGAAAAAGCTTCTCAAGGACTCGTTTTGTCATTCCATCATCGAGGATGTGTCATTCCGTCACACTAATTATTGGAAGTTAATGAACAAATACATAAAATTTTATAATTTCTCATTGATTCTTATGCCATATCTGCTTTATATTCCAAAATATATGCATTTTCATTTTGAAATGCAGTTGCTATCTAAAAAAAAGACTAAAACATGTGACGGAATGACACAAAAAAAATTTACTTTTATTTTATATATTAAACTTAAAACGACTTAAAGACTATGTTTTAAATGGTTAAATTTTGTACTATATGCATATTTTTATCAAAATATTGCAAAAGAAAGATACATTTCTTTTATTTTATAAGTATTTTTCAAGAAAACAATTTGAGCACAAATGTGGACAATTCACTTGTCAGCCATGTGATTACTTTAGAATGCTACCAGATTCAAAACAGTTAAAATTATCAGAAATGAAACAGTAATATGTAAACTTTGGCTATTTTTGAACATATTTTTGAAATTAAAATATGCAATTCATAAAAAAAAAATTTCACTTAAAAGTTGACACTTTCGTGGAATTGCCCAGCTTCCAATACTCTCATCCACTTTTAGTTATTATTTTTTTAGTTTATTTTAAAAACGTTCTCTTTATTGAAATGTTATTTTTTTTTTCAATTAAAAACAATTTAAATTGTTAAAAAGAAATAAAATCAAGTGATTTAAATTAATTTAACCCTGGTAGTTTCGACTTTTATTATTATTTTTTTTAAAAGACTCGTTTCAGATAGATCTTACTTAATCTGATGTTAAAGCAAACATTATAAAAGTCATATTTATCTTTGGATATTAGAGAACATTGATGATTAGGGTACAGGGCTCATTATTTACATTTATGTAGCACATCATCTTTTTCTTTCCTTTGAAATAATAATTCTGCAAATTTTCTTTTCTATTAATGTTTTTAGGTGTGCGTCCAAACCAGCCTGTGACTGAACAATTCCTAATATCTCCAATCACTGGTGAGAAAATTCCAGCTGATAAAATGCAAGAACACATGAGAATTGGTATGAACATTTATTTTACGTATTAAATTAATTATTTATTAAAATACAGTCAAACCCCGCTGTAGTGAACACGGTTTATAGTGAACTCCCGGATATAGTGAACCAAATGTTCGGTCCCGTGCCTTGCTATACACGCATAATGTTATTTTTTGTGGATAAAGTGAACCTAAAAAGTGAGGAAGAAGTTGGATATAATGAACTTTTTTCTGTCTTCGACTGACTTTTTTCTTAATTTTTTTGTAACAATTTTGAAATTTCTACTTCAAAATAAGTACAAAATCCGATTTTTAAAGAGATTTATAGAGGGGAATGAAGTGATAAGCATTTTTCCTTGTTTTCTTCTTTTATCTCACTTTCCCATCCCTAAACAAACCAAGCAGATGTTTCCAACCCAGGCAGATGATGCACCTGTAAGGTGTCACCGGGATCAATATGCGTTTTCCGTCAGATGGAATGAGTAATTATTTCATTATTGATCAAAGGGTTGTACACTAATATGTGTTGATAAGGTCCTCATTTCAACTCCGTTTTGCTTTGAATTCAGTTAAAAAAAAGCCTCTAAACTAGTGTCTCAAATTTAACTATGGCGAGCAGTAAATGTAAAACCTTCTCCTTTGATGATAAAATGGGCGTAATCAGAAAAATTGTAAATGGATGCAATCAAGCTGATATTTGCAGACAATATAAACCATCCAAATCTGAAGTTTGTAACATATGAAAAAATAGGCAATTAATAATTTATGCTCATGAAGAAAATTTAAATGTCAGAAAAAAGCGGATCACAAGAATGTTGAAAAAGCATTATTGAAGTGGTCCACCATTCGAAGAAGCCACAATCTTCCAGTATCTGGACAAATGTGGATAAATTTGCTAAGCAATTTTATGAGACTACTTTTATGCGCTCGAATGGTTGGTTAGACAGGTTTAAAAAACGGAATAACAGAAATTCTGGAAAAATTATCTGAGAGTTGGGAAGTGTTTCCATAACTGATGTTGAGGATTGCTCATCAGCTAAAGATTACTAATTTTTTTGTTCACAAGACGAAGAGTAATGAAAAATAACAAATTTTTTGCTACTACATAATATTTTCAGTCATTTATTTGAATAATGTGTAATAAAAGGGGGGAATTTGGGAACCATTAATTAAATTACCTGCGTAACGGATATAGTGAACACCCGGTTATAGTGAACCGAAATTTCGGTTCCTTGAAGGTTCACTATAGCGGGGTTTGACTGTATGTGCACACTATATATATATTCCATTTTTATTATGATTTATTTTTTGATGAGGTATCCTCTTGGGTAATTCTCAAAAAATAGAAAATTGAAGGGAATTTTTTTTTAAATTAAAATCTTCTATATAATTTTTTTAAGGAATATTCATTTAATTAATAACTCTAATACCTTATAGAGGGCAGTGCAGTTTACAATTATTTCCTTGCTCTTTTGTTTGACACTTTGGGTTATTGACAACTAGATTTTTTAAAAGAGCTCAGACGATATATAGTTTTTGGTGTTAATGATTTAGGGAAGCCAGGAAAATAACATAAAAACCTACTCCTTTTTATAATTGTAGGTATTTTGAGTTTGAAATTTGAGATTATTTTAATTGATAAAAACTTAAAAGCATGTTTCTAATCTAATTGTAAATCTAGTTCATTATTAAAATACATTAAAAGTTTCAATTATACTTTAATACCCTAACATAGCTACCAACTGTTCCAATTAAATCTTATTTGTTCTAATTGTTAATCTTGTTCCAAAAATACCATTTTAGGTCCAAAGTTTCCCATTTTTCAGTTTTTAGTGCCTTTTTACTTCTATGGTGGCAAACAACTGGTAAATTCGCAAAAACTAGTAAAAGTCTGGAAATTTTCTATTTCTGAAAAAGTCATGGAATTCAATCACTGGTCAGGAAATAAATAAAAAAGTACTCCTCAGTTTTTTCATTGAAATGGAAAGGAAACAGAAAATGTGCCTTTGTCAGTAATTTGCTCTCATAGATGTTTTTTTCCCCTCTTTTTTTTTTCTGGTGCCTCACAGTGCTTACTCTCGCTATCATAAAATCAAATATCCTTACTCATTATTTACCTAATTTAAAAGTCACACATTGCAATTCGCAGTTAGATGATTTAAAAAATACACATCGCAATTAATATTCAAGCAATTTAAAAATCAAAAATTGCAATATGTATTTGCTTGATTTATTTTAGAAAGTTTGCAGTAACTTATTCAATGAATAAACAGTTGAAAGGAGTCAGTTTTGTATCTAGCTTGCCATATCAAAGAAATGCATAAATTTCTTTTCATTTTTGTGAATTTTAATTACAAATTATTTTCTAAACTCGAAATATAACCAAAATCAATGAATATTGGCTCCCTACGTAAATTTTTTCCTACTAAAATATGTGTATATTTTTTTTAAATTTCATGTAGCTACTTACCCCTGTAATATTTATTACAGATTTGATTGTAGCTTCATGAAAAAATACCTGAATTTTTAGAAGAAAAAAGTTTTTATAGTTGCAGGACTTTTAATAGATTTTTTCTTAATAAAATTTCTTCTTTATTTGAAAAAAATATCCCCCTCTAATTTTTATGGTATTGCTAGTAAGAGTAATTTTTACAATTACATATTAATAAGCTTCGCATTCTTAGTCAAGAAATTCTGAGATAGAGAATCACTGCCCACCTTATAACTGGGTTTCTTTCAACCTTTCTCTCTCTGGAAAGATAAAACATGAGAGGCTTTCACACATTTCAATTCAATACAATTTCAATTTACAAATCACACATTGTGATACATGATTTACATAATCTTTGAGACTTACTTCACCTTTCTTATAATTTTGATTTATATATAGTATATCTAGAATTGTATAAATGCGATTTAAAAATTATGCTTAGTGAAAATTATGCATATTCACAAAATTTTAAAACTCACGCTTCACATTTTATGGATATATTTTAAAGAAAATAAAGCTTGTAAGTCTTAGTTAGTTTTCTGTAAAATATTGTACTACAATAGATTTTATTATGTTTGAAATGCATTACTCATTTTTTGAAGTAACAAAATATATAATTTGTTATTAAAATTGAAACAGATATGTTAAATGGATATATTTTGATATTTTATCTAATTATATACATTTCCTGTAACCTAAAATTTGATCTAACATATTAAAAAACTTATTTATATTTTAATAACTGTGCAATGACACGAACTTTATCAATTATAATATGCTTGTTTGATGTAATATGCATTATTCATTCACTCAATTTCATTAATTTACTTCATTAAATTTTTCAAGAAAAGTTTCACTGATGCTAGTTTTTAAATGTTGGCTAGTATCCTATGTCAATTGGATTTTTTTTTTTTTTTTTTTTTTTTTTTTTTTTTTGGAATTTTTCAAAGTGATTTGAAACAGCAATATAATTATCAACCATTTGTATTATTAGATGATAAATTTAATAAATAATTTAATTTTTTGTTGTCAAATAAGCACTGTGTTTTAAAAATATACAATTTCTGCTTCTACGTAATTGTAAAATCTAGTTGACATGTAATTTAGCATATAATTGTAATACTGAATAGGTCCTTGAAAAATGTCATCTTAGGTCCTTGAAAGTCATTGAATTTTTAAAAAAAAAATTGAATGGGAACCCTGCTAAAGTTAACAATTCACTTTGCAAAAATAGCAAGCAGGAATGGACCCCACCTTTAAGTTTCTCCAATTGAAGTTGACAATGACTCAGCTAAATCCAGGCTAATGCAAATTTGATATTCAGGACGGTGGAAAGTTTCTACAACAATAAATTTATTTTAAAAACATATTAATCTGGTAGGCATACTCTCACAAACAGAGGGACAAATGAGTAACGAAAAGAAAGAATGCAAAATAATCTTCTTCAACAGAAGCGTAAATACTCTTTAAACAGATAATGGATGACGTCGTGATCCATGCGAAAAGGACCAACAGCAAGCGGGGGGGGGAATGGCCGTTCCCCACACACCCTGGCATTACCGACGTAAGTTGAATGCATGAGATCGTCATCTTAAACGACTGACGAAGATCGACCCTATACCCTTTTTTTATGTTATTTAATCAATCGAAATAGAAAAAACTCTTTTAGCATTTATTTATCTAACAAGTTTGGAGAAAAGCCACAATTTTGTGAAAATGAAAAGCGTTTGTGGTTTAATGTTTTAATATTTAAAAACTTACTCCAATGCTGCATTGCCTGGGCTCATAAAAGTGAGCAATAACTGAGAATAAGGCAGTGATCTTGATAATTTCCATCTAGGTGAAAATATTTCCCTAAATTGGTGATTTTTAAAAAAGTTTAATAACTTTTAAACTTATATAAGTTATTTGTCTATTCTAAAGCCCATATAATTCTTCTTGGCGAGATTATCTATATATTTAAAATCATCGCATTGCTTCAAGTGTAAGCCACTTAAACTATGGCTTTTTTTATTTTCCTTGACGACAAGGCTTCGAAAAACGGTGTTAATACATACTGTCAGTTCAAATTACTTGTCAAGTTATGTTTTCCTATTTTTGTTTTTTACAAGTTGGCAGCTAAGTCCATACTGTTCAAAAGCAACTAAAATGACATTGTCATATTGCTTATAAGAACCGGAGAATTAGAAAATATTACTATTCTGAAAATAATCATTAAAAATAAATTAATTTGAGTTTGAAGTCCTGGTAAGTCAATTAATTTTGTAAAAATTTGTCTTATAACAAATATTTTTTTTAGAAATTGTTTATTTTCAACTCTAATATTAAATGTTAGTGTTTTGTAACATATTATATATGTAAGAATATGTTACAAATTGAAGAATTGGTTTTAAAATTAATACTCTCAACAACAAAAATTGGTGAAATCAATCTGGAAAATGTGAGGGAATTTTTTTCTGAGCCTTTGTAGCACTCGTATTTTACTTTTAATTTGTATTCATAAGTTTTAGTCTAGTTTGAGACAAGACTCAATAAAATAGAAACAAATTGCTTCATTTATTATATTTTCTATTGTCTAAAGGGAAATATGAAAACATCACATAACAATTCAAATAGGAGTCAATTTTAAATAGAGTTTAAATGAATTTGGTTTGAATAAAAAAGTTATATGGTAATAAATGTCTTATTTAATTGAACTCATTTAATTATGTATTGTCATTTAACCGCTTCCTTCTCGCTCCCGTGAAAATGACAGGCTGAGATTTCACCCACTATTTCTCGCTCCCTTGATATTGACGGGCTGGAGTGTTCACTAGTAAGCCGCCAATAAGAATAAAACTAATTCATTTCATTTGCCCGGGGAACATTTTATTTCTCATTTTACACACCTGATGGCAGTACCAGGATATTTTTAAGGTGATTGTAAATACTTAGTTTATTTTAAACTAGTTGCAGCACTAATGAAATACATAATACAAATACAAAATCCAAAAAAATATGCACTTTTATGACCCTTTTCTTGAAAATTAACATCGTTAAGGGGATAACTTTTTTTAGAACTCAGTTTAGACAAAATTCCTCATTTTTAATAGATTCTCTGTTCAGTTCAGGTTATTTTTATTTTCTTCTCTTTCCCATTATTTCCTTTTTTTTTTTACAGTCTTGAACTAAATGTGTTTCGTATGAAATACTAACACATTTAGTTCAAGACTAACACAATCGTAATAAATTACTTGTCTCAATTACTGACACGGTTTGTAAAAGTGTGCATTTCTTTTGCAGGTTTATTGGATCCAAGATGGGTAGAACAACGTGATAAAGCACTTCAAGAAAAGATGACTCAAGAAGAAGTTTATGCTCATGGTAAATAATATTTCCCTCTTCTTTTTTTTTTCTTTTTCCTTTTAGATTTTTTCAATAAAATGTAGTGTTAGACAATATTTGATTTTGTAAAATTATCTTACCATAAAATACGGATAAAGCCCTCCCCCCTAATTTTGATAAAAATCGTCATGATGTAGAGGGGGACAAATAAACGCTACTGAAGAAAATACGAAGTATAATTTTAAAAAATCATCTATATTTGATTGAGCATAATTAAATATGAATCACAAAAAAATAAGCCACTGAAGAAACTGCAGAGCATAATTTTAAAAAATCATCTATATTTGATTGAGCATAATTAAATATGAATCACAAAAAAATAAGCTACTGAAGAAAATGCAGAGCGTAATTTTAAAAAATCATTTATATTTGATTGAGCATAATTAAATAATCAAATATGAATCACAAAAAAATAAGCCACTGAAGAAAATGCAGAGCATAATTAAATATGAATCACAAAAAAAAAACCACTGAAGAAAATGCAGAGCATAATTTTAAAAAATCATCTATATTTGATTGAGCATAATTAAATATGAATCACAAAAAAATAAGCCACTGAAGAAAATGCAGAGCATAATTTTTAAAAATCGTCTATATTTGATTGACTATGAATCACAAAAAAATAAACAAAGTAAAATAAAAATAGATATAGCAAAAGGAAGCAAATATAAAGTTTAATTAGTAAATTTAACCTCATTTCTACAGCAATCCTTTATTCTTAAATCTTTGCTTAGTTGGGATGCATGAAAATAAGTGAAAAAATAAAAATTCAGTGAGAAAAATAAGTATAGAATATTAAATATTTCTTTAAAAAAAAAAAAGATAATTTATTTATGTACAATAATCAGAATGCGAAAATCCATCGAAAGAAATATCTAGTCTTCCTCCGAAAAAAGGTCGTGTACTCTTCATTTAATTCATCAGTATTATCATTGTCTATAGATTCAACATTAACTTTTGCAAATGAGAAATTATAAAGTCCATCTTTGCATTTCCAAGGCATTAGATGGAATCTAATGCGAATCTATGCTAATAATTTATTCATGTATCAAATAATTTATTTAAAGCGTTTGTAATGAGTATTCTTCCTGTGACTTTTTTTTTAGAAAAAATATAATGCTTTTTTTCCTCAAAAATATTCATAATAAAGCCTTGTTTAACTTATCTTTAGCTGTATTATATTTTAAGAGTTTATGTTTGAAAGTTATTTTGAAATGTAATAAAAACTAGAAGTATTGTATTAGCAAAAATAATTTTTAATCTTAAAAAAGGCAGACTAACAAACGTTGATATTATATTTCGTAAATTATGTGACTGTCTATTAGATAAGTTATTAATGATTGACTTATAATGTTTTTAACGGCAGAAAGATTGGTTTTTAACTTCTTTAAATGGTTGATTGATGTTTTCCTAATTAATATTAATTTTATGAGGGTTTATGTTATTTTTCCCCTAAATTATTTCGAAAGGAAATCTAACAGAAAGTTGTTTCTCTTATAGGAACATCCATTGAGAGCAGTCTCAAGCAGTTTGCTGAAAGAAGAACTGATATATTTGGATCTGGTGTTGAAGAGACTGCTATTGGTAAAAAGGTAACTATTGCCGCGAATTCAAAACGTATTTATGTTAAGAGGGCACTATACTATGGTAAAAACCTTTCATCTTGTTTTAAATCCATTGGTATTTTAAAATATAAAATTAAGAGAAAAATGTGTTCAGTTAAACCTAGATTAAACCATCAATTTTCAAATGCTGAAAAAATATTTTCAAATTGGAAACACATTATGGCATTCCACACTGCGTTATCTTAAGTAAATCTTCCCATCTTTACATTATGACATTTTGCCAAAAAAAATTTTGAAAACTTAAGAGTTACTCTAGGTTTACTTGAACTCACTTTTTTCTATACTTAAAATTTTAAATAACTTATCTAGGAAAAAGAATTAGGTTGAAATGTGCAGTAGAAAGGTTTTCTCCTGCGCATGTTTCCTCTCCATAAAGTCCTTTTAAACTTGCTTCATTTTTTTTGTGCCTGTTAAACGTTTACTACGGCATTTGAAATAAGTCATATGTTCATACCTTACAATAAAAATTTTCAATTTAAGAACAAAAGATTAGTTAATTTTATAACAATAGCATTTTGAATGAATTAAATTAACTGCAGACTTAGTTTCTATGCAATTTCTCCTTTTGTCACTGATTGAAAATTGTAATGCATTGTACCCTTGTAGCTATGGGCTCTGAAAGTACAATGATCTTATTTAGATGAAGACTCTCAAACTTTGGGTAGCACCAGAATGTCATTCTTCCTTTGAGAGGGGAGGAAGAAAAGTCGTCATTCTGGATTTGAAAATACATTGAATGTGTAATGCAATTAACCAACATGTGAAATTTCATAGCACTTGTTGGAAGTGTATATTCATTTAATTATAAATGAAAAAGAAATAAAAAAAAAATTTTTTAATCCTGTTAAACTGTTCAGCTTTTTGGATGCTTTTGTTTGAATAACATCAAGGGGAAAAAATTCTTTGCAGAAATGTATCCAGGTCCTAATCCAAACTAAATTTGTGGTTAACAGTTTAAAGATTAAGTGTTAAAATGTATATATACACATATATATAAAAGTATAAAGTCTGGCCGAGCTAGGAAATCAGAGCAGGCATAGGCCAGGGAAAAACACAATATTCTTAATTTTATAATTTTAATGAGGAGAAAGAAAATGAAAATCATTGTGTTCCATTATTTAATGTCAGGGAAAAGTTTCCCAAGTATTCCTCATTGTTTTCCAAGTCATATGAAAATAAGGGAAACACTATTAATTGTAATTCTCTCATGAGATAGGTTCAAAGGATTTCTTAGGTTCTCACACTTGCTTAACATGTTGACTGCCACGTCACCCATATTCAGGTAACAGCAAAACTTCTGATCGGGCCGCATCACCCGTATTGGGGTGGCGCTTATTTTACTACTCGCGAAGGATATTCGTTTTTATTTGAAAGCATATTTTACAGGAAGTAACAAAACTATTGAATTGTTATAAAAGTAATACGAAAATGATTTATTATGAGAATTATTGTGAGCCTCGTAAAAATTTAACTCACGAAGCTATTTGACTCACGAAGAAATAAGTTTTCCATTTTTCTTTTCAAAATTTCAATGAATAAGGGTAAAAATGTTTGGCTATACTCTTTACTGGGCAAAGATTCAAACTGATCGTGTGAAGTGGCAAGATGAGAAATAGGTGCGACACAACGGACAGAAATAAACAGACATGATACCATAGAAACAAATGGAGCGACATATTATTCTTGTGACCACCAGAGACTCTCAATATTAAAATATCTTTGGGAGTACTTTGTACAGTGGTACTCGTGGCCTGAAAAAGATTTCAGTGTAAATGTGTGCGGCAGTCAACGTGTTAAAGGGGGGGGGATTTACTTCTACAATCTATTTCTGGAAGAGGATGGGAATTACTAATTATATGAACAGCAAATTTTATTTTAAATAACGAATTAAGAAATAATATAGAAAGATTTGTTGGAACTTTTTATATTACACTCAGATATATATATATATTCTAGAATAAAATTAGCCACTCATTTGAAACCATGTGCTTCTCCATATTTACTGTAAATACATGACTAGCAATGCACTATCCTCTTTAATTTGCTTTCTCTTTAAATATATACCTCAAGTTTAGTTGTTTGAAGCAAGGAAAAAGATTCTGTTATGAACCCGTACCTCAAAACAGTTATTTGTTTAGATTTTGGTTGAAGTTAATTCAAATATGTATGTTTTGACTTAACTTTTCTATGTCGCAAAATAATAAAAAGATGATTAATTGTCTTTTCAAAGAAACAATTTCAGAAAGATTAAAACTATTCTTTTCAGATTGGTGAAGAAGAGAAGAAACGTCCAGAGAAAGTGACCTGGGATGGACACACTGCCAGCATGGAGGCTGCCACCAGAGCTGCACGTGCAAACATTACAATTGAGGAGCAGATTCAACAGATTCATAAAATCAAAGGATTGTTGTGAGTGTTTCTATTCTTTCTTTTCTTTTAGATAAATCTAATCAATGTTAAAAACATTTTTGCCACTGACATTGAGAACATGTTTCCATTGTTATTGCTTTTGACTCAAACTGTCATAAATAAATACTCTTCATGCTGTATAACTTAATTAATTTTCATCAAATCTTTTGACTCTAAAACCATGAAAAAATAAACTTACATATTTTTTAGTTAAAAAATAATTTTATATTTTTTCCAATGATATTACAAGGTAGGTTTAAACTTATGAATACAAAACTTAATTTTCTGATGCCTGATAATTCTTATAATGAGAATATTGATAAGCTGATATTTCTTACAGGCCTGATGAAGAGAAAGAAAGGATTGGACCGTCAAAGCCTCAAGATTCAACTCTGGGGCCATCTGCAGTATCCTCAGCTTCACTCGTGAAGATCATAACAATTCCTCCACAGAACACCACAGCTGCAACAACTTCATCTACTCCATCCACTAGTAATGTTACTACTACAACTACTACTCCTAAGCCACAACCACCGCCTATGCCACCTTCAACTGCAACTGCTACAGTGATGCCTCCTTTGCCACCCATGCCTTCTATACCCATGCCTCCAGTGTCTGCCATCTTGCCACCTCGACCCATGATTCCTCCTCCTCAGGGTTTGATATTGACTCCAATTCCACCTCCTGGACCTCCACCACCTCATCTTTTAGGTACAGCACTCTTCAAGTAGTTTTTTTTTTAAAGAAATTCATCTAAAGTTTTTCTAATTCTTGTGTAAAAAATTGGTAAGTTTCTTAATTTTGAGAACAGGGTGCCTCCTGATCAAGGAATTTAATCAATCTTGAAAAATCAGGGAAATGTTTAGAAGTTTAATTAAAACGCTTAAGGAGTCAGTAGATAAAAATATTTTGAGTTTGGTGTGCTGAGAAGTTCTAAGTTTTTTCAAAGAGAAATTCGTCTTGAAATAGAAAAAAAAGTTTTTTTTTATATTGTTTATTGCCAATTCTAATATGAAATGTAATTGTTTTGTTATTTTATTTATAAGAGTAAGGCATACTGAAAATAGTAAATTTGAGATGAAATCGTCACAACTAAAGCGGGTCATTAAGTAATTCTTCAAAAGTGCAATTCGGAATTTGCAGGCCGTAATAATATTTTATTAAAAATAAAAACAAAATTTTAAAGACTGTGGAAATCCTAGGCTGTTGAAAATTTTATTGAAATAAATTGCCACAAATCTAGTACATCAAAAAGTAATTCTACAAATTTGTGGTTCGAAATTCCCCGTGTATGAAAAAATATCATTAAATATTTATGAAAATTGGTAGCGCTAACTGACAAAAATCTGATCGTAAATCTTTGTCAGATCACGGGGAAATCGTCAATAATTGAGAGCGAAATGCATTTTTAGAAGTTGGTCAAACGAAATGATATATTAAAACATTGAGGTTTTAAAAACCAAGTGAAAATTTACTTTGACAAACACTGAAAAAACAATGGTCAAAACCACGTGGATTCACTGTGGTATCGTTCCTAATCGAATGGATCAAGAAATTATGTGTATGATTTGGAATTCGTGGGATGTCGTAATGGCATATTAAAATATCAATATTTTAAAAACCTTGTGAAAATCTGTAACTAAAGTTCCAAATATAAAGCAACCACATGCATTTTTACGTTGTTGATTTAAATTAATTATCGACTTACCGAAAGTCTGACGATTCCGGATATGAGACTTTCCACTGTAATAAATAAAATTGGTTTAGGCTTAAAGACTAATAATTGCAGAAGATCAATAAAATTTTATAATTTTGTTTTAGAAATCTTTTTTCTTTTCTGAATAAAATAACATTAGAAATCTAAACATTTTAAATTGCTCTCCAATTAAAGCTTCTGAAATTATTGCCGTATTTTGAGGGTCAAGAATCAAATCTTTTGCAAAAAACGAATTCCATTGTTTTTTAAGATATCCTCTCCAACAGTAGATTCATATTAAATATGCTTGTTAATTAGTTTCCTGATAAAATTAAGCGTTAGCTTTAATTTATTAAAAAATTAAAGTCTAAAAAAATACTAATTTTTTATTGAGTTCTATTTCTAATTTAAACTCTATTAATTTTATTGTAATGTCAAAAAGGGAATTATTATTAGCATATTTTTTATTCATAGAAATTATAATTTTGATTCATTAAAATAAGCTTCCATATTTTTCAAATTCTACATTGTACGTATGTGAGATCCCATATTTTTTTTCTTTTTGGATCATTGCTTATTTTATTCCATCCATTTTGAAATGTGATGCATTTCTAATTTGTGTTGAATTTGAATATAAGTAAAATTGCAATTAATTTACTTACTATGAATTGTAAAAAGGGAACTATTGTAGTAATAAAAATATTCTAATATAATAAAGGAAAAGTGAAAATTAAAAAAGATTTTAAAGAAAAGGGAAACTCTATTTATGCTATTCAAATATATTTTTTGTTATCTTGATTGGTTCCTTCCATTCTAGCTATCCCTCGGCCACCCATGCCCCCAGTTATTGGACCTCCTGGCACTCCATTTGTACCATCCATGCAAATCGTCGCTCCTCCCCCTCCCATTGCCACACAGCCTCTGATTGGGGGAAGCAGCTCTGCTACCCCCACATCCGAGGATGAGCCGCCCCAAAAGAAACAGAAGACTGAAGAATCTCTTCTGTCTGAAGAAGAGTTCTTAAAAAAGAATAAGGTAAAATATTTCCTGATTATTTGAAGAATATTAGAATATCTTTAACAGGGTGGCCACCCACCTTGAAAACCTGGAATTATCAGGGAATTTTTTTTATACTGGAAAAAACCTGGAAATATCAGGGAAATTTGGATAAAAGCCTGGAAAAATCAGGGAATTTTAAAGAAAAGCTGGAAATTTTTTCTTTGATAATTTTTTTAATTTCACTAATTTAAATTATTTACTAATTTTCTTTATTTAAATTATTTAATCCATTATACCCACTTTTTTTAAACAGAAATGTATCTCCAAACAGTTGAAATATCATCAACTTAGCAATACTTTGCTTGCATCAAAATTTGCTCCATTACAGCTCTGTTAAACTTGAATGTAACATAAAATGCTCTCACAGTTGCTAAACAAATGTAGAAATCTTTGATCGCTGTGGGACTGTGCAATTTAGGAAAGATTCTGGTGGAGGTGGAAAAGCAGATTAGGATATTAGTTTCTGTTTTTAAATTCTGTCCTTGGGCTGAATCCATTTATGGCTCAAGTTTTTTCCGATGCTTTGGTGGTAAATTTCTTTTTTCTATTTTGACAAAATGTTTTTGTATTTTTAACTTTATAAAATTCTTCAAAAATTAGTTGGTTATAATTGAATAATGATAGATTTTATAAAGAACCAACTATATATTATTATTTAATTTTACTCTTTTGTTGGTCAATATATGATTTCTGATTCAAAATTTTGTACCGAAGCATTAAAGAAGAAATAAAAAAATCTTGCCAAAATATCAAAATAAATTATTTTTTTCAAGATATGTTAAAAAAAATAGCATTTTGAATAAAATATTTTATAATATAGACACTTTTCTTGTACACATCCTATACTGTATAAGAAAAAAGAAGCAAAAACCTGGAAATTTTAAAAATTTTATCTGGAAAAATCAGAGAAATTTGAAATCTGATTGGAGTGGCCACCCTGTTTAATTTCAAAATCCTGAACATTAGAAGAATACATATGCAAGTGTTTAGAAAAATTATTGACGGCTATATGCTAGCAAAATAGGGCAATCATTTACGGTAGATGTGCTGCAGTCTATCTGTATTTACAAGTTAATTTATTTTGATGTGCGTCGTATTCGTAGTTTATGTCTACTAACAATGTATATGATTAGTAGACAGTCTCTGATTTCTATCAAATTTTGCAATTTCTACTAGCATTATTATTTCAAATAAAAATATTTGGCTCAAAAATGTAAGTATTTCAATTTTTTAAATTCATGTGTTTTTAGAAATTTGCATTCTTAAAAAATGGGGTGTTCATATACAAAAATTCAGGAATATCAAAACAAAAAGCTAAAAATCTGGACAAATTTTTTTTTTATCAAGGATATTAAACCTAGCAAGCAAATAAATTGGCGAGTACTTCCCTATTGTGCAAGCCCATCATGATTCGTTTAAATTTTGATGTTTTTAAAACTTTTTTTATCATATGAAACTTCACTATTTATTCTTTAATGAAATACAATAAAATTATTATGGTAAGCTTCTCTTATATTACTATTAGAACTGCTATGTATTTTATATTGCAGTGAACAGGGCAAAAGCTTGTAACCCAAAAACGATTGTATAAGTAGGCCATGACTGTATGTTGAGATTTAATATACGTAAACAATTGTACTGAAACTGCAAAAACAATTGATTGGGCCAAAACTGGGAATTTGCTCTACAAGGCAAAGACCTAGACATTCTTAAGTTGAACACGAAGCATTCGATCCAAAAGCTTCTTCTTACTCATTTTTGAAGCAAGGATGAAATTAAGACAGAAAAGAAGAAAAACTAGTTGCAAAACTATTTCATTTAGATTTAAAAGGATATAATTCTTCCTCGAATTTCCGCTTTTTTTTTCTTTCAGATTTTTCCCGCTAATTTCCGCAGAAAATTTTTTTAAACAAATTTAAATATTTTATGAGGAATTTAATTTTTTGTGGAGCGAAAGTGTTGAATTCCTCAATCCTACCTCTGAAGTTTTTCTAAAAAGCATTTTCTTGGGATAAAACTGGTTGACCTTAATACATGGATGAGATTTTTCCGCTTTTGCCTCTCAAATTTCAGCCTTTTTTATCAAAAACTCCGATTCTCTAAGAGCTTCTGATTTTTTATTTTCTTTTTTATAGATACCGCCCCCCTTTTTTTTATTTAGTCGTTGAAATTAAATAATTATGTTTATTTACGATTTTCAAAGATAAACAGAAAATGCAAACTACGTCCTAGCTGCTAACCCTTCTGCATTTTTACTTATTTTAGTTATTTTCTCTGCTTTTACGCACAGAAATAAGATTTTCCGCATTTTTATCCGTCCGCCAGATAGCTTGCATTTTCGTGGTGAAAATATTTATTTGCTCATTCAATTAGTCTTGTAAATTTTTATTTATTATGCCTAAGCAAAAGCAATACAAACAAGCCTTTTTGAAATCCCAAGTCCATGTTCTGCAAATATCTCGATTCTTATTTACGCGATTTTAATACCAATCATCGATTTTGGTATTTACCTGATTTAAAAGTTGTTCATTGCGATTCTTATTTACGCTATTTAAATATCATACATTATGATTCTTATTTACGAGATTTACAATTTCAGTATAGCGTTTTGTATTTATGCATTTCTAAAATCGCGATTTTATTATCAAAAATCGGTTTTTGTATTTACCTGATTAAAAAGTTTAATGTTGTGATTCTTATTCGGGCGATTTAAATAGCGTGCATTGTGATTCTTATTTACGAGATTTAAAAATCCAATATCGCGATTTGTTTTTACTCCCTTTTAAAACCCTATGTAGCGATTCATATTCATGCGAACTTAAAATCCAATGTCGGGATTCGTTTTTGCGGTTGTAATATCAAACATCGATTTTNTTCCTCTTTTTTACTTTCTGACTACTCTCATCCCTGGTATTTACGTGGTCTAAAAGTTACGCACATGATTTGTATTGTTGCGTTTTTTAAATTAGATATAGAGTTTCATATTCACGTGATTCAAAAGCTTCATATCAGGATTCATATTCCTATATTCATACAATTTTAAAATTAATCTTTGGGATTTATAATCACATGGTTTACAAGTTTAAAAATCGCAGTTTTTTGTCAAATTTGTGTGTGTGTGTGTATATATATATAATTCTTGAATTTCCTCTTTTTTACTTTCTGACTACTCTCATCCCTGAGATTTAGCTTTTGTGGAAAAACAGAAGCTATTACTATTTTTTATTGTAAAATATTCAGTATTTACTTTAGCTTGGGGAGAAAGAAAAACAGTACAATATATATGCTATAACTGTTAAAAAAAAAATTCTTGGTATTAAGTTTTACATAAAATTTCTTAATGTTTATTGTTATAAGATTTTTTTAATCATATTTAAAATGCATTTCGTCATCCTTCTAAAGGGAGCAGCTTATTATTTTGTGATTTTTCATTTTAAGGCCATACATGTTAATTTAAATGTATACATACGCACGATAATGTCTCTTCATAAAAATGCACATCTACAACAGAACATTACCACTTCTACGATAATTCTGGACCCAGTGTCATTGCAAATCTAGAATTATTGCTATAATAATTAAACATTAATTATTTATCTAAGCTTTTCTAAGTTGATTGATTTTGTTTATTTATTTATTTTTTTAAGTAGTGCTATTTGATTTTTGCTGCTGGCATAACAAAGAATAGTGAAATATATAATTTTGTTTTCACTTAAAATGTTAGTTTTTTTTTTTTTTCCCTTCAAATTAAGTTAGATACTTTTAGAAAAATCGAAACATTTAAAGGCATGCTAAAAAAAAAAAAAGACTAATTGTAGTTTAGCACTTCTACTTCGTTAAATAATTCTAAATATTTTAACACATTATATGATATTTTTTGTCTTATCTGTTTTTTGAGGGTATTTAAAAAAAACTTAGGAGTAGAGGGATGGTGTTAGCCTAATGTAAGTAAGCATTGTTTGTAATGTTTGTTGCACAAATGGTGCTACATGGATTGTATTTCGTAGAAACAAATGCTAGAGCTACTAAAAGGTGTTACCAACATATTTGCATACAATGTATTAAAATTTGTTTCTATTTATTCTAAAGAAAATGTTTCTCATAGTAAAACAATAGGCCTATCATTTTGTTTCAAATATTTAGCTAAACTTAATGCTTTATATTCTAATTGAATAAAATATTGAAGCCAAATATCTGTTGCAATTTATAAATATTAACCCTGTAACAAAGAACATTTACTCTTTTACTCTCTCTTATGTTGAATTTAATTCTTTATTGTAAAACATTTTAGGGTCCTGTTACATTCAGAGTTCAAGTTCCAATGGTTGCTGAGAAACCTGAATGGAAATTAAATGGTCAAGTTTTAGCATTCACTCTGCCGTTGACGGATATGGTAAATATACCTTTTCTATTTTCTTTATTCATAATTAGATTTGAGCCAACTTGGAGAGGAATTTATTTAGGTTATTACAGTACAGAAAAAACTAAAGAGAATGCACACACAGTACTAGGAAAAGTATCTTAATACCAAATTTTTTGTTAAAGCAAAAAATGTTTGCTAAAAATTTGGTGAAGAGATTTAGTAATAAATAAATTGACTTGCTTCATTTGGTATTAAAATAAGTAAAGAAATCAAGGGTGTCTACCATTTAAATTAAATGATTAAAATCACTAATTTTAATTTATTTGTATTTTTTTATATAAAAAATTATCTGGTTAAAAGCATTACAGTGAAAAATCATTGATTAAGAAAATATGTCTCGCTTCTTCAGAAGATTGAGAGTAGTGAGAACCAGAAATACAACCTTGTTACTTCTTCACTACTTTCACAAAAGAAAAAAAATCAGTGGAAAGTTAAGTTTGCAAGAAATTCCTATTACAGGTAATATGATGATGTTCTATACACCTTGCAGTTTGTATTTATCATCAAAATGCATTTACATAAAAACAGTAATTTTCTTTCTTTTTTGTTCCTTTTTTTGGAGCTCTAAAGTAGATGTTATAAATTATCAGGGTATTTTTTAATATTTGATGTTTTTCTTTATACACAATTTATATAATCTTTTAAGGAGATTGCTTTTATTTAAGATTAGAGGACTTAAGGGGATTGCCTTGCCTTTGAATTCTTTATGCCTGAGAGGTCATGGTTGGCTTTTTGCTGGCCGAAACTAAAAATACATCTATATTAGTTCTAGTAATTGCTTAATGACATTTTGTTTAAGTAAACTGAAAAATGTAACTCCATATAACTGTAACAAACTTTTTAATTCATTGTTTGTAAATATATATTATTTTGTTTATATTAATTATAAAGAGTGCAGTATATCAAATATTTATATAAAACAAATCGGACCCATTTCCTGAAACTTATTTTTCCTGTCAACTACCCCAGCTGCTACATGGTGGTCCGGTTTTAAAAAATATGCAATAGATGAAAGTTTCACAAATCATTCTTGTTCCTTGATGGCAATGCCTGCTAGTCCAATCTTCTCAAATTTCTTGTTCATAATTTTGTAAATAAAATGTACTTTGTTTAACATTTAATTGTTATCCATTGTATGTCAATCTCAGTACTTTTATGTCATTTTCTGAATTTCTGCCAGTTTCTGCCACAAATGTGGCAGATAAGGGTTTCTGCCATGCCTGTTTCTACCCGTGGTTTTAACCACTTCGGCAGAATCTTGCCAACCTTGTGAAAGGTACATGAAGTCGCAATCTCTGCCCTCCATCCTCTAGTGCAGTGAAGGTATAATGATTATTAATTGCATATTAGTTTCTAAGAGAAAAATAAAGGATTCAATAATTTAAAAAAAAACATTACTGCTAAATTTCTTTTACTTAGTAAATATAGTTTTTCTACATCCTGATCACTAAGTAAAGTAATGTTGCTTACTAATTTTTGATTGGACTAGAGTTAGGGGGGCAGTCACTTTCCTGATAATAACTTCATCATAATTGTCATTCGTCTTCATAAACATTTTTTTACATCACAGTTGACAGCTTGCGTCCCCTTTTCCGCATCCAAACATTCCCCTTATGATTCTGTTAAGATTTGTTAGTAAACATAAATAATTTTGCTTAAAAATGAAATGTAAAGATATATTTTTATTACAAACAGGGGTGATTGTATTCCGGGGATACCCCAGAATTCTGGGTTTTTCCTATCATTCTTCCGTGTCTAAAAACTAAAAGCCAGGGCATGCTATTTTTGCTCAAATATCGCTGAATTCCGTGTGTTTCAAGATCATTGGTTCGCAGACTCTCTTGAATCAAAATCTTATAATCCAAAAAATTTAGAGGGTTTTTCTAAATCTCATTAACAAGACTTTTACTTAAATTCTTTTGTCAATTACATGAAGAATTACGTCTTACGCGATTCTTTCACCAATTTCATTCTTTTGGTTTGGCAGGTTTTTTATATGTGGTACTGTGCTGGAATCTGCTAACATTGCAATTCTTATTCATGTTATTTTAGTATCAAACATCAATTTTTGGATTTACCTGATTTAAAACCTTTGTGTTGCGGTATGTATTCATGCAGTTTATAAATCATACATCACAATTCCTGTTTGTTATTTAAAAATCCAGCGTCACAATTTGTATTTACGCATTTCTAAAATCAAATATCGCAATTCGTATTCAGCTCAAAATCCAATGCCCAATTTCTGCTCATGCGAAAAATCCAATATCGCAATTCATATTTGCGTGACTTTAAAGTCCAACATCGTGATTCTTGTAAGACTTAAGTTTTTTTCTCGAATTAGTTACTCTAAAGGTGTCTGCATTAGTAGGTAATTTAATTATAAATGCTAGTTTAAAAAGTTATGTTAAATATGAAACATGTATGATATCTAAATTAATATCGATTTTTTGCACATAAAAATTTCAGGGTTTTCTACTCAATCCCACAATCACCCCTGAACAAATTTGATCACAAATTAAAATCACAACAGCAATGTAATGTTTTCACTTAAAAAAACAGGCTGATACATTTAATGCAATCTTTGCATGTATCACATTGGGCATGAAGTTAATTAAGTTCTTAATAATTTAACTATAATTATAATTAACTCTTTAACTGTAATTTCTAATAGTGTGTCATATTAATTGCACGAATTTAGTGGTTTTGTGCCATAAACTCAACCTATTATCAGATACATTGGTTACATCTGGTTCAACAATTGATGTGAACGGTCTTCCGATCAGGAAATGGCCTGGAGTGAGAATGCTCAAATCATTGGCATCTGAAAATAATGGGGTAAGCGGTTTTGAGTTTAAAACTGACTCAATTTGAATAGTTACAGTCAAAAAATCTTCATAAGTTAATTTTTTATCACCCACTACTCTTTTCAGATGATATTTGAAGGTTCTCACTCCAGCTTCCCAGAGCCCTCCAAAATTCGGACTCCTAGGTGGCAAAAATTTCCATTTGATATTTTCATGACTCATATAATTACATAAACTCTTATCAGGATTTTTAACTAAGCTAAATAATCGCTGTAACTCATTATTACTCCCAACGAAATTAGTCGCATTATCTGAGTACAGAATACTGCTTTTTCCTCTACGCGAAAAAAATCTCTTTAATGTAGCTATAAATGCTTGAGAGCTCAACTCTGTCACAAGCTCCAAATGAATCGCTTTTGTGACGAAACATACAAAAATCGCGACATAAATTTTTTGAAAAGTACCTTTCCGTTGGTTCTTGTATTTAATTGTAAATGGACCGCAAAAGTCCACACCTGAAATGGCAAATGGAAAGTTTTGACTCACACGACTTTTGGGTAGATCACCCATAAGTTGATCACAAGTTATTGGTTTAGCTTTAAAGCACGACAAACACTCACGAACTACTTTTCTACAAATAGATCTGCCATTGATTGGCCAAAATCTTTGCCTTATAATAAACAATAATGTTTGAGGTCCAACATGTAAATTCTTAATATGATTACTAATAATTATCAACTTTGTTAATTTATGTTTTTCTGGTAACAATAATGGGAATTTTTTGTCAAAGTGCAATTCACTATTGGACAAACGTCCACCTATTCTTATGAGACCTTCTTTATCAATGAAAGGACATAAATTTCTTACCTTACTCTGCTTTGAAACTTCACCTGTAATTTCTAATTTCCTTGCTGAACTCCCGTTTCTGCACTAAACTTACCAATTTCAGTTCAGCTCTTTTAAGTTCATCTGAAGACAAAGACCCAGTTGATGTGTCATAAGTGCTCCGACAATTATCGATGAACCTATATACAAAACTTAATACACGAATGAGTTTGCTATAATTATTACTAGTTTCCAGAAATTTATCAAGAAAATTACTATTATCACTAAAAAAACAATTGAAGTCACTAGATGGTTTAAATTCATTAGAAAATTCATCTTCAATAACTCTGGATGGAATGTCTCTATTTGGATGTTACACAAGAAATTTGGTCCTTCAAACCACAATCTACATTGTGAAAGTTTATCAGGATCAACATCTCTGGAGATGATGTCTGCCGGGTTCTCAGTTGATGGTACATATCTCTAACTGTCAATGTTACTTAAGTCTTGAGTAGAAATAAATGTAAACTCGCTCAATAAATAGAAAGAAGTGGACTGTAAATTATGCACAATATTTATTTAGTATTATTTGGAAGAGAGCTTTTTTTGTAGCTCGTTGCAGCTCTGCTTCCACACACACTCTCAGTGTTACAAGTTATACTAGGTGGCGCTACAAATCCGTGCGGATACAAGTGTGTAAAAGTTATTTGCACCAAGAGGCAATAATTTTAAAATGGTTAATAATGTTGGACATAGATTTCAATAAGTTTATCTTAAAATGTATCATAATAAGGTCATATCAAAGAATTGCATTGAACTCTTCATTAAGAAATCAAACAAATTAAATATTACAGTTTAATGGCTTTAAATTAAGGATACAAAAAAATTTTTATAGGAAAACAACACCTTTATGACTTTTATTAATTTTATGCTGCTGACAACAAAGAAAATTGATTTATATTTTATTAATGCTATGATTTTGTTTTTCATCAAGTGCATTTGTGTCGATTTTCTAAATCTTTTTTCTTTGGTTTTAGCCGTGTTATATATGAACAGTGTTTCTGACCTTTTTTTTATCATTATTATTTGTGATTGTTTATGTCTTTCTGTTATATGGTATATTTTACTATAAACAAAGTAACGAAAGATCTACACTCCTAATTTATCCGAAAAACATTTATGTAGTAATTTTAAGCAATAAATAATGCCTAACCATTTAAATTTTTTTTTTAATATTTTTTATTAAAAAAAATAATAGTGCACATCAATTGTATAAATATCTTTTATTCCTCATTGAAATAAAGATAAAAACAAAAAATGTGGAACCCTGTCACAAATCAGTTATTAAATTTGTTTATTTTTCTTTTGCATTGTAAATATTTTTGCCTTATGCACATATTTTTTAATTACAATACTTTATTATCGTAAATTTTGTTGAATTTCAAGTCCATTACTGCTTTATTACTTTTAAGGTCATTATTTAATATTTTATGCTGACCAGTATTCATCATTTTCCTGTACTTATCATTCACAATGAATGGTCCCATGAGAAATAATTGATTAAGTTTGTACTGAATGTAAATTTAATCATAGTTTGCTTTAGTGCTAAAATAAAATTGACTTTCTCTAAATTTACATTTGGCATCCTTTAAAAAGAAATCCAATATAGTATTAAATAGCATTAGGTTACCTAATGCTTAAAAAGTTAAACAAACAAAACGACAATTAAAAAGTATTAAACAGTTTGTCAATAAATTCAATTTTATAAAAACTTTAAATGTTTTGTCTAACTAGTCCTGAAGCTTATTACTGAAACAACGGGCTGTTGGGTTTTGCAGAGCATTGCTTTTTTATTACGATTTGAAAATAATAAAAATATGTGTTGTCTTTTTTAACGTGCACATGGAACAATAATATGCATTGAATCCTCGCAATTTGCAAATTATTTTGCAAATTTTATAAATAATGAGACTTTATTTGGGTGGCAGAAACTTAGCTTCTGTTTATTTTCTATCTCAGTGTTTGTTTTATAATGGATAAAAAATTCGTGACTAAACCTCTTTTCTATACTCATTTTTTTAACCATGTATTTTATCAATATCTGGTAGAGTTCTTAATTTCCTATGTTCTTTATATCTACCTTTATAATTGCAGGTGTCTGTTATCAAAGCTAAGGTTCATGAATCAATTGCAATGCCACCTGGTAAACAAAAGCTTCAACTTGAGGTGAGATCATATGCTGTTACTTAGAAAATTAATTCCTAAAATTCCCCTTTTCTTTTTCTCTTAAATGGGTGGCGAAAATTCATGAAGAGCCACTATTTCTCCTAAGCAATTTTTTCCTCTCTAAATTTTCTTTCAGACGTATAAGATTTTTATTCCAATTTAAAATAATGATTTGTAGCATATGTTCATTATTTTTTAAGTGTAATGAAATATAAATTTTAGTTTTTCAAAATTGTACTCTAATCAAGATTATTTTTGAATCATGAGTTTTGAACTATGTATAAATACAGTAGAGCGCCGATTATCCGAACTATCTCCGATTTTTTTTTTTTTTTTTTTTAAATTTTTAACTTATTGACAATATTTCTAAATTTAGAGGAATAACTAATATCCACAACATTTAAAGACCATATTTAATTTACAACCTTTTTTAGTAGTTTTCTTATAGTAGCCATACATACATGTATTGTTATACAGTAAAACCTACATACCCCTTTAACCCTCTTCAACTAAAAATTATCATCCAAGAATGCGAGCTTCATTTTGACAGTCTACAATGGTTGGAATGCAGAAGGAGTTTATGAATAGATAAGTGCTGAAGTTCTACAATTTGGGAATGGGTAGTTGTCACTTATGGTTAATGATTAGTGATTACAGTGCTTGGAATTTTAAATCTTGGAATAAAATTCTTAACAGAAAAGCAAACGAAACTGATGTTTCTGAACCAGTAGCTCTTCCGGATGAAAAGATGCCACATTATACAGCAGAGGAAATATTAGACTGTTGTCGAGACACAGAAAACTACCCAGGACTTTAAATGATGAAATTGTTACTGAAATTTTGAATGAAAATCACAGACAAAGAGGAAAAAGTAGGTGATCTAGTTCAAGATAGTGGACCTTTTCATTTAAAAGCATGCAATTCGCTAGATATTGACTAGAATGTCAAAATTATGTTGATCTAGTTCAGTTGATTTATTTAAAAAGAATAAGTGATATGGCTGCTCAAAAAAGAGCATCTTCTTTGAAACAAAAGTCTTTGCTGGATTTCTTTGGTAATGGAAAATAAAGAAAAATGTGGTAAAATCAGTAATTGACAAAAAAAATTAGGAAAAGCTGAAATATAATAAAAATAATTCAAAATGAAAAAAAAGTTTTAAAAAAATTAATAGAAAATATTTAAAATTGGAAAAAAAAATGTTTANAATGGGTAGTTGTCACTTATGGTTAATGATTAGTGATTACAGTGCTTGGAATCTTAAATCTTGGAATAAAATTCTTAACAGAAAAACAAACGAAACTGAAGTTTCTGAACCAGTAGATCTTCCGGATGAAAAGATGCCACATTATACGGCAGAGGAAATATTAGACTGTTGTCGAGACACTGAAAACTACCCAGGACTTTAAATGATGAAATTGTTACTGAAAATCACAGACAAAGAGGAAAAAGTAGGTGATCTAGTTCAAGATAGTGGACCTTTTCATTTAAAAGCATGCAATTCGCTAGATATTGACTAGAACGTCAAAATGATGTTGATCTAGTTCAGTTGATTTATTTAAAAAGAATAAGTGATATGGCTGCTCAAAAAAGAGCATCTTCTTTGGAACAAAAGTCTTTGCTGGATTTCTTTGGTAATGGAAAATAAAGAAAAATGTGGTAAAATCAGTAATTGACAAAAAAAATTAGAAAAAGCTGAAAAATAATTCAAAATGAAAAAAAATGTTTAAACACGCCAGAGCTATTTTAGATAGTATTGACAGTTTTAAGCCTAGAAAAAGTGTGAAGGGAAGTTAGTGCATAAATAATAATCNAATCCTGCTTATGCATAATTACTCAAAGTTATCTAAATTATTAAAAAAAAAAAAAATTTTATTCAAGATTTTATCTAAGAACATAATTACCATTTATTTATATTTATTTGAATAGATAATAATGTAATCATTATCAGATTGGCTATTGAATTCATATCATTTTTTCTTTTGCACGTTTAATACTACAGTTATAAACTTCCTCTTTTTTGTGTTTTTGTCAATCACATCACTGACTTATAACTATGTATAAATAAAACAAAATTTTTAATAGCGTATTGTCAGAAAATTTTATAATTTGGTTATAGCTTAAAATACAAGTTTAAAAAAATTAAATAAATCACAAAGTATGAAACGGGCTTTTTTTCATGTTAAAAAATGAACTTTGATACCTATGTTGCTTTCAAAAAGACACAAACTATATCAATGTTTCTATATATTTGTTCACAGGGTATGTTTATCAAGGATTCTAACTCTTTGGCATTTTACAACATCACCCCCAATTCAATTGTTTCTCTTCAAGTGAAAGAAAGAGGTGGACGCAAAAAGTAAATGACAATTTGCTGAACTGTAATTGTATTCAATTAGTTTTACTTTTAGCTTGAAATAAATTTATTAGATTTACAATGTGTTACTCGTTACTATATTTACATTCCTTTCTAAATTTAAAACAAACTAAATCTTACCAAATACAGGAGGAAGTAAAGTCTGGAAAAGCAAGAAAATTAAATCATAATATTTTTTACCCTATCAAATTTCGCAAAAAGCGTGGTATTTTGCGCTCTTGTTTGCAGCTGCTCAAAATAATATTAAAACATTAACCACCTTTCGAAACTATCTTGTACAACATATCAAATTTAATGGTAAACAAGCCAAATGCACACCAAAACTTCAACCCCTCCTCCAATCTTAGCTCCTTGATTAGCTTTAAGCATTATATTATCTAAATTTATTTTGCCCGCGATTTCAGTTTTCATTATTTTTAACAGATGTCCACGATATATCAATGAGTTGAATTGTATTATGTATTGAATTTCAATTGTTACTAAAAATCTGTCCTGCAGCCATTGAAATCACAATAGTAAGAATGAGTTTTGAACATTTCAGCGTATAGTAGGCAGAAGTATTAAAATTATTTCCGTCTCTAATAAGATAAAAATAAAATAAACTCATTCATCCCAATGCTGTACTACTTCATCTCTCAAACCATAACTTGAGTCTGTATAAAATATAAATTTATATGTTATTTCTCGAAAAAGGTAAGCTTCGTCACTAATAATTGGTGTGACAGTATGCGGCACCAATTTATGCTTAAAATTTCTATAGCCATTTTAGAACAGATTAAAAATAAATTAAGTAATTACTTTGACACTAAGTTTTTATTTCAATATAAATACAACATTATTCTAAAAGAAATATTTGACTTAACTAACCTGTTCAACACTTTAAATTATTACTTTAGACACCCTAACAAAGTGAATAATAACTATTATGTTCCTAACAAATAATAGAGTTTATGGTGCCACATAAGAGAAATATATATTTGGATAATAAAATGAATTCCCAAACAATCAAGCATTTAATAAATTATTGACTCTTCTTTTACCTTCATCTATCTAAATTAATAGAGTCCAGTATACAATTAGAAGACCAAACATCTGGTGTTGTCAGTAGGACTGGGCGATATTAGAAATTATATATCGTGATATATCGTCAGTTTTGCATCGCGATATAGNTTTTTTTTTTTTAATAATTGATAGTCTAGATTTGTTAAAATCGTATTTATGTAGTTTGTGTTTAAAATACTAACAAGTTTGGTAAAAAAATAAATTATAAAATATAATGTTAATCATAAAAAAAAACTTGCTTATGCAGATATCTCACACCCTAGCATTTAAAATACAGTGTAAATAGTATTTTAAAAATTTATAATAAAAGTACATAATATTGACACACAATTTTTGCAATTCGAATTCATACAAACTTTTTTGCTAGAGGAATAAAAATGTATTTACATACATCTATCTACATGTACTTGCTGAATACCCATTATTTCATAGGTAATTCAGTTATTAATATAAAATGTTAGGTGTTTTTCTCATAGATCCTAACCTGGTAGTAGAATTTACAAACTCAATATGCAGCACAACTTTCATTAGTTCAAATGTGTATACGACAGTAGCACAGTCATTGTAAATATTGTGCTTAATCTAACACATGTACAGCAAAATTAAAAATAGTATGCAAAAAAGAATATTAGTATTTTATTTTTTGAATTAGAAATTTTTTTTTACACTTTTAAATTAATAAAATAATTTAAAAGTTGAATAAGTCAATAAACAAGCAACTAGATTTTTCAAAAATTATGTATTTTTTCCCCCTCACTTTTTAAATTTTTTATCTTTTAAAATTCCAGTAAATTTAATAACATTGTTGGGAATTTTAGAAAGTCATAATTTTTCTTTGACTTATGTATAAATGCAGATTGGGAAACTAATTTGAGTACCTAAAACAAAAAGTAATTGAGTAAATTTAAAAATTATTTTTCTGTTTCTCTGGACAATATTTTTGTCTTTAAAAATAATAATAATAGTTGCTGCATATTATGATGGGTTATAAATAATAAGCTCTGATACTCTGCAGTACAAAATCAATTATAAAAGCAGTATAAGAAATAAAAAGAGAAGAGTGAAAATAATATTTAAAAATTTTACTGAGATTTCTGGTTTTTATTTTTCAGTAACAAACAGAATATGATACTATGTTTAATAAATTTCACTTTCAAACCTTATAAAAATATTCTTATTGATAAACATTATTTACATTTGTAATAACCATTAAATAAACGAGGAGGTGTGTTGGAGTATTATTAGTCATTGGATCTTTCCAAAAGTTTAAAAGAAAAAAATAATGTATCTGAAACCATAAACATTTGTTATAAGCATTTTCTTATACCAGCTCTTATAAACTATTTTAAAACACTGGAATAGAATCATTTGTCTTCTATGTCCTAAAAGTTTATTTTTAAGGCACTTGCACTGTTAGCCAACAGAGATTCAGCTTGATTTGAGTTCCACAGTTATTTTTAAAATATTGTAATGTAAGTTAATAAAGTTTATAGCGTATGTTCTTTATGTGGCATAATTTTAAATGAAAAAAATAAATATATAACAGTAAAGATTTATTGCTATTTACATGAGTAATATTTAATTACAAGTAAAATCAAAATGTATACAACTTGTAGTTATACTTATATCTCTTTCATTAAAATAAAGAAAATAGTGTACATCAATACAATAAAAAAAATTTTGTATAATAAATAACATATAATGGATATGATTAGGTGTTGTAGACATTAATTGGTTTTGAGCAGAGTTTCTTAAACTTCAATAATTAATTCTAATCAATAATTAATTCTTCAGCAGAAAAATCAAGTACATTTTTTTTAAATTAAAAGTTTGCTCATAGTATAATATGTGTATGAAAGATAATGTGATTTATAGTTAAGTCTTTTGTTAACTTTGAAAATTTAAATATGATTATTATTTATTAAAGAAATGAACCATAAAGACCAAGGGTACTAAAGCTATGTGGTTGGTATTGCCACCTTTACTTTTCAAGCAAATTGGTACCTATTGATCTGAAATTGAAGTCTTACAAAATGATAACTTTAATAACAAATAGTTTTCAGCTTAATCACTATTTAATTTATCATTTTGTTTTACATCTCTATTAAAATGTAAAAAACTAAATATATATTTTCTATAAGAAAATTTATTTTATTTTGCATCATTACAAAAAAAAATTCTGCAAATAATAGGCTCTTAGGCATGAGACTGGTGTATATATTATACCTTTAGGGCAAGGGTTGTGGAACCCCAGGGTTCTGTGAAAGTGTCCTACAGGTTCCAAGGTTTAAGACTTTTAATTGTTTTTGAAATTTATATTCAAGTAATTATATTTAAATTAAATGAATACGAGTAGTACAATTGAGATTGATACGAGTAATTATATTTAATCAATAATCCATTCATTTAATATTTCAGTTAATTTTATCAAAATGCAAAGATTTTTTTTTTTTTTTAAAGAGAGATTTTTTTTAATGTATTGAAAAATGATTTAAAGGATAATGCATTTCTAAAAAGTTGCATTTGTATTCCCAATCTAACTGTTCAATTCAAAATAAAATAAATAATTCAACAGTCTTGAAACATCTCACTGATAAATATTTTCAATGTTTGCAATAGTTCTTTACATTTTGTTAAAATTTTAACAAAAACCATAGTTCAGCTTATTTTATTCCTTTTCAATTTATACATACAACAAATTTAGAAGTAGATAAAAAGCTGCTCCTGACCTATGTCTGACATAAAACCCAATTTTTAAGACTATTACAGACTAAAAGTCAATTTTTGGTCAATATTTATTATGTCTGGGTTTCGCTAAAAGAGGCTAGATATTATTTATGGTTGCATAATTAAAACAATTGGGAAACGCTGCTTTCGTGTGTTCATCCATAAAAATAACTAAGTGCCCACCAATTTAGTTATTAATTTGTAAATTAGTAAAAAAATAATTAGTTAATTAATTAGTAAAAAAATTAATTTTTTTGAACGAGACTGTTGGCGGGAATAGAACCCTCAAGTGTCTGGTCAGCAATTAAGTGTTTTAGTACCTGGGCTGACACATCGTTGGCTAGGGGAGGTGTAATTTGCACATTAACTATGCTAAAATGGAATCACAATTGACAGTAAGTTTTTCTAGATTTGTTTTCATTTTATGCATCTGTTGAGGGACACATGATAATAGCTTTTGATGGAGATATTGCTTTGATACGACTGATGTTTATTCACTATAAGTTAGAAAAAGTTGTTTTACTCTTAATGCTACATTTCAAACGAAGAAACCTTTTTTTGGAGGAAATACTTCAGAGCTCATCAGACTTTTAGAATAGTGTAATCATTCACCTAACCAATGAAGCATATATCGTAATGAGCAGACTGGATCAACCAAATAGCTCTGTATAAAACACACAATGAAATTGAGAACCCTTTCTTGACTACGTGAAAGTATAAGCAATACCAGATGACTCTTTTCTGACTCCTAAAAGGCCATGACTGTCTGAGAGAACATCATTTACGTATATATGACCATCCTGGATGTGACTAAAGAATCTATAAATCCAAAATACCTCCATCACTGCAAGACACTACAGACTTGTATCCGCAAAATAGTGGCCTGTCAGAGAGCTTTCTTTGTTGTATTTGTTTAATTCCCATCCAAAGGAAATAAAAAACTTTTAGGAGAATTTATATCTCCAAGTTCGACAGCTATTGTGTACTATTATTTAAGTGTAAACAATTAAAGACATATTATTTTCACAATACAACTGTGCTTGATCAACAAAACCAGAAAAAAAGGAGAAATCCTTGATATCAGAACCCATAAAAAATAAATAAAATAAAAGGCACTAAAATAGTGCCTCTAAATTTTAGTTCATGTATATTTAGAAACTGTTGGTTACAGAGAAGAACTGATCATCCTTGGAAGTGAGCAAAACCTACAGATAATTTGCAAATTAACTTGTTTACATTTTATAGTGTTTAAACATCATATATTCCCACTTTACTAATATTTTATCAATATTTATTAATTATGGTTATAATTTTGATTTATCATTATTAATATATGCTATCAATAAACAAGAGAGCCTTTAAGAGCATTGCACACTTGAATTATCAACATAAATTTCATAATAAAGTTAAGAATAAATAAAAATTACACAAAAATGACAATCTTATATAGAATACTTTAAAAAAGGGAAATTTTTCACCCATTTTAAAACTTGGTTTCCACTTCTGATATATAGTCAAACGTTTATAAACCAATCATTGAGGGTGGGGGTGAGAATGTTTTTCATTTCAAAAATTCATCATCATTTTTCAATCATTGGTAACAAACGGAAAAAAAACAGGTAAATTACATCCCATTTGAAAAATTTTCTTTCAGAGATGAAATCGTCATGTTCTAAAAATAATTTATTGTGTTTTTGTATTAAGATGTAATCTTTTGAATTATCAATAACTTTTAGTAAGAAATATGTTTTATTATGCAGATTTCTGCTAAAATAGATTGTTACAGAATATCTACCGTTGATAATGATTTTCCAATTTATGGAATTTTCTATTTGATAAAAAGCCACAAAATTATTCTTTTATTAATTCAATTAAGTAAAAATAGTTTACTCTAACACATCGCCCCAGTAGCAAAAGTTACGGAGGGAGTCTGTAGCACTATCTTCATAAGTCCAAATTTGTCTGCAATCTCAACACAAACAGAGATTATTATTGTGAAACAATAAGTTTAATCTAACAAACATTAAGAAAATTTGCAAATATAAGATCCTTAAAAATGATGTATAAAAGCTATATATGTTGTTTGAATTTAAGTTGAATTTTATACAAAGATACTAAAAAATTGGATTAAATTCCAGTACAGTTAAGTCTGTAATCAAGTAACAGAAAATCTTTACTCTTTGTTTTTTGCTGCATCCGCAATTCAGCTTTTTAGTTTCGATCAGGAAAAGAGGATTCTCAATGCTTTTTTCACTTTTATTTGCTTGCCTTTTAAAAATAAAACTAAGATAAAAAATGATCGGCAGGTGCTGTAATAATCTGCTGCTGTGCTGGAGGGTTTCTGTTAACAGGCATATCACAACACTAATATTTTTATCATTTTAGAGAAAATAGAAGTGTTGCATAAGAGATGAGATGGGCTAAACGCGTCTCTAATGTTAACATGTCCCCAATCTCCCTCAGTTAACATATGAAAGTTTCAATGTAACCCTGACTTTATTCAACGTTGAACAACTTGAAAAAAATAAACAACAGCTCAGAAAGTTCTCGTTACAATTGATTGAAACTAAAAACAACTGAAAAGGTTTCTTTTGAACAAAAATGTTGGAATGCAAAATATTTTGCTGGTTACATGCAAACGCAAAGTCTTTCATCCATGTATGTTCGTCCATAAATTCGATCACATAAACGCTCATCGATAAGAAAAATTTGCTAATTGTGAATCAAGTATCCATAATGAGCCCAAAGAAATAGCAACAATAATCTGATATTATGAACAAAAAAAATTGACTGAAATAATACTCTAATTCTTATTTCAGTTTACAGGCCATAAAAAATATTTAACAAATATTTTAAATTACTTCAACATTACTTACCGTAATACAAAACTACATTTTCATCAAAAATTTATCAACGTTAGTTCGTAAATAATAAAAGTAAACTTTACATATCACAAATAATATTACACATTATCTGCTTTGGTATCTTCTTCCAAACCAGTCATTTCATTCGCACCAGGATCTTTTGGTTTAACATCAGAATGAGGCAACAAACTATTAATAGATCCATCACTTGAGGAGAGATTTGTTTCAAAAGGTAAGCATGTGGAATTCATGTCCTCATCTGTGGACTGTGTTTCGTTTGAAGGCAACTGCCAAGATGGAATGGTTGCTTTGATTGTTTGTGTTTGTGGCATGGCTGGAAACTGATGCCTGGAAAGGAAGGACATTTCGCTAATAACACATGAAGTGTCTATAAATGTTAAGCTCAATTTTCTTTACATATAACAATTAAGTATAATACAGTGGAAGATCTATGTAATGCAATTCTATAAACCACAATTTTTCATAACTTAAATTAATTTTGTGAGTCTACAATGAAAATTACGAAATTTTTGTAACTAAGCATGAACTGTTATCTTTTACATTATCCATTTAATTATGTGTTAAGAGGTTACTTTTCATAGCCTAAGCAAACCAAAATTGATAAACTTGTCAATTTTGGTTTGCTCAGGCAAATGCTCTAGAAAATTCAGATTTTTTTTTCAGGAAATAATAAATACTCGGAGTATATTTTTGCATTTTTAAGTATTAATGTCAAAAAACTATTTAAAAGCATTTAATGAATGACCTGTTCCAGATAAATATTGCTATCATGTTTAGTAGATAAGTTTAATAACTCGTAAAATGGTCTGCATAACAAAAAACTCCATATAATTCAAAGCCTCACGTTTCACTGTTTGTTGTGATAAAGATTTTCATTTTCTAAAAGAGATTTTATGCCATATATGAAGAAAAAAACGTATTTGCCCGATGAGAAACATCATGCTTGAGGCTTTTTAGTCCATTTTACTCTTGTCCAATTCAGATCGATCAAAATAAGGAGATGAAATTAATAGCTTTAATACTAGCAATTTTGAAATAATTCTATAGGAATGTGATTTTAAAATTACAGTGGTAATAAAAAAGAAAAAAAGCTCTTAACTTCCTACACTTATTTTGTGCGACACAAATTTGGCACGGGTAAAAAAAAAAAACACAATTTTTAAAAGCTTCTAGCCTGATCTTTAAAATTGTGAAAAAAATTTTACTTCTAAAATCTTCTAAAACATTTGCTTCTAAAAGAAAGATTGTTTTATAGAAGTATTTCCATATTTTTGTACAGCTTCTGAAGGTTATGTATAGTTAACAAGTAAAAATTACTTTACACTTCTTATTTTAACACATTATCTGGATTCCAAAGTATTATTTTCTTAGTGAACTTGAATATTTTTTAAATCCAAGTAATCATTTATTTAGCTGCGATTAACATATTAACAAAATGTACACAAAACTGTTTAACCAGTATAAACAAATTTTTTTTTAAATATATCGACTTTTAAGAATATTAAAGAACAGAGATGATTAAAAGGCAATTTGGTGAGAGGAACCTCCTAGAAAACTAAAATAATACTAAAAAACTTTTGTTATTAATGTAGAGTGTTGATAAATAATAATTACAACTAAAAACAATTTATTGCGCATAAACTAAACTAAAATAGGCGCAACCTACAATTATAATGTAAAAAATAAATAAATAAAGCTATTTAAACTTCCATTTTGCGAATTTCTCTAGTTTGTGATTTTTTTCAAGGAACCAAGAACATTTTGGAAATTTCTTCGGAAAATAACTTTCAAATAGTGAAGTGAATTTTCTATTTAACGATCTTTTCTTTGAGATCCACTTTCCCCATTACCCAAAATATTTTAAACTTATTGACGCATTTTAAGGGGAAATGACCTTGAATTGATTTTCGATGCCACTTAACTTTAAGAGAGCAGTAAAATCCCTTTATCTTTTCGTTTGCATTTCAAACGAAAAACTCAGACAAAATTAATGGATTTCATCAGTAGCAATTAAACTTAAAAACGCATGTGGTAATGTATGTTTAAAATTACTTTTATGATAAATACAGCTATAATTTTATACATAAATTTAGCTCTATTTTTAGTTAAAATTGTATGTAGCATGATAGTGTAACACTGAATAATGTTTTGCTCTATTCTTGCTTTCCATTCAAATTTCTTTTATGGTTAAGATTTATAAAATAAATGGTAAATACTAGTTTACAAGATAAAGGTGTATCAATTGCTATTTCAATTTTGTTTAGTGTTTATGAATTTATAACGTGTTTCGCGTTGTTTAAGTATTTCAAAAGGTGATTTTCTAATTAACGAATTTTCCATATAATGAAATTATTATCGGTATTTATCGACTTCTTTAAATAGAGGTCCGACTGTACTTAAATTCATTGAAAAATTGTTTGATTGTTCTTAAATTTTGTATCATTGAGTTCGAATTGTAACAAATTTTTTAAAAAAAATCTTTATGGCTTTTTAAGACAGCTTTCACATATAATTGATTACCATAAATTATTTTCGTTCAATTATATATCAATTATCGAAAATTCTTGATTTTTTAAGACTGTTAAACTTGTAAATTATAAAATATGTTGAAAGTTTTAGGATTTAAAAAACTAATAACTTTAAGCAATTTGGAAATTTAGGAAAGTTATTAAAGGGGTACATTTCCTTATGTCCTCCCCCCAGCGCCATGCCAATGATCATAGTTAAACATTGCGCAGAGTCTACCATTAAAGTCAAATTTTGAAACACCGCAAAGTGCCTTCTTCTGTACAGTTAGCATAAACTCCTTGACTAAAAAAAATTATCCTATTCGCAAAATATTATTCACAAAATTACTAAAGGGATTTTACTCTAAAAGGCGATACAAATTGATGTAAGAAAGAAAATTAGAATAATTTACAAAATGTAGCTTAACTTTCAAAAAGTAAATCTTAGCTAGGATGTAAATTAAGCAACTAGAAAGTACGGTGAAAATAAATAATTAATAAAACTGACTGCAATTAATATAAATGTGAGGATGGAAAGATTTTCTGCATAAATTTCGTGTAAATTATAAGATTAAAAGTGAAATATATTAGAAACAATTTTTTTTTTTTACAAGAGTCAAATTTGTTGTTTTAAATCATTTTAATAAATAAGTATTGATTTTATAGTTCACTCATTCATTCTGAACAATTTCACTAACTTATTTAATTTTTTTTTTTTTTTTAAGTTTTGAACATTCCTATCTCAACATTTTTGTTACCTCTCATTTAAAATCCAATTAATGAAAGGAAAACGATTATTTTTATTAGGCTGTTATTTAGTGGAACCTTGTGAAGTGCCTACATAGAAACAACACAAAAGAACAATTTGATCTAAACATTTTTCTCAAGAGAAAAATGAGGCTTATCCCTATATTGCCTGTAAACCACCAGAAAGAAAACTTCATTGAGATTATTTTAATGAACTTTTTTCCTTTCTTTTATAATTGTATTTTTTAAAAATTTGTAATTAAGAAAACAAACCTGCTAATGAGAATAGATTTTAGTGAGCTAACTTCCCGCTTCACATCTTCCAAGATCACAGGTGTAGGAGCATATCCACAGCCCTAACACACAAAAATATAAAATGTATAATGAACAGTACACATAATAAAAAACTGGAATACTCCGAATAATTTTTATCTATTAATTGCATACTAAGACTTCATCTTAATGGTTTAAATGGTGGGGGGGGCTTCAAATATGCTACTTAATTAGTGCAAGCAATATTTTATGTTAAGTTTGGATATCAGGCAGAAGAAAATATTTTTTTGAATAAACATATTTTTTTTTTTTTGACAGATTCAGATTCATGACTCTTGAAATATGGAGGACAGCTGGTATGTGGAAAATAGGGTCCCAATAGTTTGGTCAGGAGAGCTTGAAAGTTTGGACCCCTTAACCTTAGTTTTACTTTTTGTATATATCATCATATCTCAAAAGCCTTTTAAGTAAAACGAAGCATTTTCGCACCCAATTATAAACTTGTTTATCTGAAACAATTTCGTACAAAAAAATTATTAATTACTTATTAATATTTTATTTAATAATGGTTAAAAAAATATGAGTACTATAGTACACCATTTTTCACATCGTTTTAAGGAAGCAAATTTTTCATGATAAATAAAAAATGTGAATGAAATCAGTCAAATAGTTCTCAAGAAATTAAATTTTAATCATATAACTTTTTTTTAGAATTTAAAAACGCAGAAAATATTTAACCGATTTTTCTCAAATTTAGAATTTTGCATTTTAAATGACATTTTTTAAAGTGATGCAAAAAAACTTATGCTTTAAAATTTTGCTTAAAAATTTATGCTTATTTTTTTTAACCATTATTAAATAAATTAAAGAAATATTTTTTTACATATAACTAGTTTTGGATAAACGAATTTTTAAATTGTCTACAAAAATGTTAAAATTTGCTTTAAAAGTTCTTGAGACAAAAAGTAAAATTAACACTAAAGAGTCCCACCTTACAACTGCTTTCCTGACAAACTATTGTGGCTATGTTTCACAGATTGCGGCTACCCCCACATTTTAAATGTCAAAAATCAAATAAAAAAAGATACATTTATTCAAAGAAAGCAAGTTTTTTTGCGTTTGATTTTGTATTTCAAAATATCGTGTGCACTAATTAATAAGCATATTTAAAATAAGGTCCTTAAACCATTAAGATTGAATCCTGGTATGTGAAAATCCCATCATTAGATCAAAAGTTATTTAAGGTGCAAAGATTTTTGCATACAGTACAAAATGATTATTGACAGTTTTTAAGATTCCTTCAAAATTTTTCTGTCTAAAGCAATACAGTTTCAGCTGTATGATGAAACCCNTCGCGATACATCGCTATATCGCGATGCAAAACTGACGATATATCACGATATATAATTTCTAATATCGCCCAGTCCTAATCAAGAATGATTTATTTGTAAAAATATCAAGTAATATATCCCTAATGTAGCAAAATTTCAGATTTAGTATAACCTCTAAAAAAACAAACTTTTTTTGACGTAATTTTTTATTTTAATTATAGAAAAACCATTATGTGTAACTTATTAAATTTCCTTTCCTAAAATTGAGTTTTTTACAGTTGTAGTTTTAATGTTGAAAGGATTAATTACTTAGAACATAAATAAATATAGTTTGTGCTGAAAGAAATAATACATATAACCATAAGCGTTAAAGCACTTACAGCTGTTTCAAACCTACAAAAGATCATTATAATCGGAGTCAGCTCAACTTGGAAATTTAGTTCAACTTGTCTCTAAAGATGATTCATGTTTAAAGCATTGAAACAGCTATATGTCAAAAAACCATCATATTTGTGCTTGTAATGGCTTACTCATGCTAGATGTATCATTATGTTTTAAACTATATTCAGATGAACTATCTTTCTAAAATATATTTTTGATGTCTTGTAGATAATTAAATAGATTTTTAATAAGTATTCAATACATGTAATATCTATATTTTGTACAATTTCCTTTATTTTTAATTGCATGATTGTTTTTATAGAATATTTTAAAACTAAACATTCAAAAACTTTCTATAATTTAAATAAACATGAAATATTCACAATATTTATACAGATAATTAACACAATTAGAATTGAAATTAGATTTAACAAAAATTGAATCCCTTTTAAAAATTCTGAAAATAAAATAAAAACAAATGTATGTAACAAAATGGTAATGGAATTTAAATGTAAATTAAATATTTTAATTTTCTTTATCATTGACAATAATAGAATTAGAACTAAAAAGTTATTCCGAAAAAAATTATTAACGAGCTGATCCTTAATCAAAATTAAATACACATTTTATTAATATACTGTAAAATTATGTACTGTTATTTTAATCCTTAAAAATAAATTGTTCATTTTCTATCTTTCAGACATCAGCAATAAAGATATATCACCTCTATTTGTAGTAATTTGTTAATTTCTTCGTTTTGTTTCATAACTGTGGCATGCAATTTCTCTACAGTTTCTGTCAACAATGCCAAATTTTTTGTTAATTCTTTTATAGGATTCAATGATTCCTCATCTTCATTAAGCAACCAAGGTCTTATGAATTTCTAGAATGAGAAAAACATACATTATTCGCCAGCAGTAATAAAGGTGATATTCAGAACCAGTTCATTAACATTATGAGATATTGGGCCATCTATGATCACTATACTAAAGAGTCATACAAATTCGTTGTCCTAAATAATAATAAAATAAAAATAATATCTCAACTAAACCAGCTTTCAATTTTAAAAACATCATATTTTATTAATAAATTAATTATTATAGTTGAATAAAAAATATATATTCCATGACATTTAATTAAATATACTTATTATTTAAAAATAGATGGAAAGAATGACTTACCAAGTCAAGTCATCATTCTTTTTGGTTTCCTTAAATCTGTTCTTTTTTTACCACTTCCTTTGGCTGTTTTTATATTATTATTTTTTGTCTGATAAAAAATTACAAAATGTAGAAAGACCAAGTTTTAGATGATGAGTTTAATAATTATTGCTGTTTTCAAGTTAGTCCCATGATGAGGATAACATTGTAAGACTTTAATATATAATTGCTTATTTGGATTACTTTATCCGTATTTAAGTTATGATTTAATATTGGAGATTTCCCACAGCAGTTAATTCAATAAGGACTATGAGATCATTTAGAGCAGCGGTTCCAAAATGGTGTTTCGCAAAGCCCTTTAACCCCTCCACGGAAGGAAGGGTTACGAGAATCAGGAATTTTTTTTAACCATTATGATTTTTGAAACCTGTAATTAAATTTATATTTAATTAAGAATCCATTATTTATTTAATATTTCCGTTATTTATATAATATTCCGTTTTTATGAAATTATTTTATTGCAAAGCTTGCACAGAAAGCAATTTCAAAACCATGTTCTTTTCTAATGTATGAGTTATGAAAAGGATAAATGCATTTCTGAAAAATACCATTAGAATTTCAGATTGAATAAAAATAATGAAATTCAACAATGAAGAAGCATGGTTTTCTTACAACCATTCTCAACTATGCCTTTTTTCATATTTATTTTAATGGAAACCATATTTCAGCTAATTCAATTTTCAGTTTATACATACACTAAAATCACTTAAGAACTATATACAGACCTATCAACTGCTACTTTTTCTGCAAAATATTTTATAGAGTGGTAGACATTTAAAAATCAATGCTTTCGGAATGTTTGGTTATTTTGCCAACATTTTAAAAGTCTCACAACAAGAAAGCTGGAACAAAGTGACGTTGCATATGAACTTTTAAATCATATATATGCAGTGGTGTGGAAAATAAATTTAAATGAATAAAAAATAATAACATAAAAGTAACTAACACTAGAATAAATTTTTACAAAAGGTGTAGAAAGTTCTGTGAATTCAACAAAATTTCATTCATTCACTAAATATTTTCAAAATAATTAACTGTGTTTTGCTAATTGATATGGTCACAATCGCTAATGAAATCTATTCATAAAGTTTTGGTGCTCGGCCAAAAGGAGGTCGATTATTTAGGGTTCCACAGCTGAAAAATATTGAGAGACACTGTTCTAGAGAGCTAGTTTTAAACTTTTCTCATTATTTTAATTTTAAGTGGTGATAAGTTTCTAATTTTAAATAACGATGTTTGAAAACCTAATGGACAAAATACCACTTAAAAACTATCTGATGAGCATTTAAAGTTAGAGGAAAAACAAAAACAATAAACAATTTTTAAATAGTAATAAAATGATATAGCTGTTGCTGTTAATAATTATTAGACTTCCTAAATTTAGAGATAATACTTTTACAAGAAAAAAAGAAAAAAAATTCTAGTTTAAAACTTTTTTTATTATACTAACGCAAACAAATCATAATACTTTTCATACTAAAGCTTTAATATATTACTTATATAAAAAAAATTGAGGGATAATAACACTTTCCTCGACTTTTAAGAAGTAAAGTCCTTTGTGAGATAAAATTTTAAAAAAAAACTTTATAAAATAAAACTTATAAAGTAAAATAACTTTTAAACTATAAAATAAAATAAAAAACCTTTTATTTTTCTAAATGTAAGTTAACTTTAATTACATAAAAATTTTGTCTGAATTTTTCTTCTTAGTTTGTTAAATAAAACTGAATATTACCAAACAAAACACTGCATCTATACATATATTTTGCAAATTCTAAAATATTTTTCCAAAAACATTGTAAGTAAATGTTTTTATGCCATTAGAAAAATTATTATTTTGAATTTTTTAAATCCTTACAAAATATTTAAATTAAATAAATAAATAGACTTCAATTTAAATGGAAAACTATTGTTCGTTTTTCAAATTTCTAAAATGCATCTTTTCTGCTGTTTTTAACCCTAATCAACATTCTTTAAGAATTTTGAAAATTATTTCAGATGTTTGTAAATAGTACCTTATAAAATATTACTTTAATTAGATTTTGAAATATAAAACTAAAATAATTTTCTAAATACTTAATCAATCTAGACATATAAAAATATACAGAATTTTAATAGCCACTAATAATCGCATAAGTTCACGAATTTGACTTCACTGAAGTGCATGGTAAAAAAGTGGTGACTTCCAATTTTTAAAATCTCGTAACTTAGCAAATTTACATTAGAAATGAAAATTTCAAAACTGATGCTACTATTGAGATTTACTACTATTATTATTATAAATTTTTCCACAAAAAAAAGAGAAAAACAAAGAATTTCGTAAACTTTTTTGAAAATTTTACAAAGTTTTAAAAAAGAATTGAAAAATCATTAGAAATACATTTTTGTAGTCAAAAATAAGTTAAAGACATGAAAGACGTCTAAAAAAATTAAAACTTATACTTAAAAAAAAATTTAAATATAAAGTACATAATATTTCTTATTGCAAATAAAAGTAGTTTTAAAAATTGGATATCACATTATCAACAAATAATTTCCTTTCTCCTTAAAATTTCTAAACTGAATGCTAAATAAAAACAAATTTGAAGATTAAAAAACTCTAACAGGCCTAATTTAAGTCAAGGAAGTTTTGCTTTTTTTTTCATAACGTTTTGAATGAAAACTCTTTGGCTTAGCCACTTCAGTAAAAGCCCATGTCACATATGCTCCCTGCCATGTCCTTTGCATTGAAGTTCAACTTCTACTCCATCATCCATTAAACCATTGCTTCTTTGCACAGACACTTTAAAGCCCGTGCTTTGCCTTCATTAACCACTACCTGCTTTATAAGCTGGAAGATTGTTGGATAGGATTTAGCTACCACGATAATGAGAAAGGGAGGTTAAATATGACAAATATTAGGCAAATAAACAAATGTTTAGTCTTTAAAATTACTATAATTAATATTAAAGAAAATAAACAGAATTTTTTTATTTTTAAAAAATTGGCTAACCTATTTTAGAAATAAAATTTATTTTTTAAAAAATAAAGTATTCCTGCAACAGCTTGTTGTGAATCAGGGGGGGGGACTGCACAATTTCATGACCACCAGTCATGTGATCAGCATTTTACATTGACCCCCTTTATTTCCCAGATAAGCTTGCACCCACTAATATGAAACTGGGTGGACCTCAGACTGCCATTGGGGAAGAAACAGGGACAGTTCAGTCCCTTAACCACTGAGATAAAGCATCTCATAATTTTTATTTAATTCATCAAAATTAGCATTTCAAAGTACAGAAGAAGAAAAAAATACTTTTCATAAAAAGACAAACTAATTGAAAGAATGAAATTACTTTGTATAGGTGATGTAATCCATAGATAGCAACGCCAAAAATAATTAAAGATGAACTAAGTCCAGTGAGACGAGACAAAAATGAGTAGCCTTGATAAGGAGCTGATGGAACTGTGTGATAAAGTTTGTTTGTAAGATCAGAGGAAACACTTGAATTAGCATATCTTGAATCAAGCTTAACTCTATCAAACGCTGCTGAAATCTCTGCATTTGTTAGACCTAAAATATAAAATGAGTCTCAGATAGAATTAGTAAATTTTGCTATTGGCCAGTTGTAGCATTTTTAACAGTGGCCACTTCTTTAAACAAGTGGATAGTTTTTGAAATAATGAAAATTTTAAACTGTTGATATTAATAATGTAAGATATTTCTTTCGAAGCATTTTTCAAAATATTACAAGGCTCATTTCTAAAATAAAGAAAGACTTCAAGAAACAAGCGTGAAATAAAGTAATTTTAAGAATATTATAAAATATTCATAATAATTCCATACCTATTTCATAAAAAAATAACAATAATAAAATGCACATGAGGTGCATTTTCCTCAAAAAAAATTGGCGAATGGCAGACAGTTTTTCAATCGTCTTTTGTTATTTTAGATGTCATGTGGCCTGTGATAACGGTTAATTTTGCCCTTTAGTCTCAAATAAATAAAAATAAAGATAGCCGATATAATAAAAACATTTCTAAAATAAAATGGGCATTCTTCAAATAAATAGAGGAGAGTATCGGGACGCTTGTTCTTTAGAAACCTAATGACGACTTAAGAATTATTTATATTTATGACCTTAGCCAACAGATGGCAACACAGCTAATGTGAAGATCTGAAGCATTGAAGTCTTGAGGAGAAAGACAAAATTTCATCCTAAAGAAGTACATTTAAAAAATAAAAATAAAAATTTTCATTTTCGGAATATGAATTTCATTGGGTTATAGAAAGTATTTTTGAATGTTTTAGTCATGAAACAATAATAATAGTCCATTTAAATTCACCACAATTTTGATTTCAATAACAATAAATAGTGATTGTACCAAGGGACAATAAAGCTTGTTTTTAGTTAAGGAAAAAACTAAATCACATACTTATTTTTTGAGATTTTCAATATCTTTTGTTGCTAGAGGAAATTTCCTGAATTTGGAGAAATCTTTTTAATTCACAAAATGTCATATTCTATGAATATATTAAAAGGTATTATTCCAAAATAATGTATTATTTTATTTTTAATTTTGGTTCAGTTTAGATATTATGAATTTTAAAGTAATTATTTTGTTCTGTGATATCACAAGTTATTTTTAATTTCTTTTTGTTCTGTGATATTACTAGTTTACAAACAGTTACTGATAACCAAATACAATTTCATAAGTTTAAATAAAAATTCAATTTTTATAAACACCTTAGAGGCTCTTGTTTGCTTTATACAAGAACCTCCATAATTGTTTTAAACTCATCAGTTTTTCTTCCTAAAATAATGGGGGTTTTCACAACAAAAAAAATTTGCAAATAAATACAATTTTTTTTAATCAAATATATTTATCAAGAAATAAACATTTTGTTAATAAAAATTATAATATACCTCAAATAAAAGCTTTTAAATGATGTAGTTGATATTTCATATTTGTCACAAAGTTTATATAACTTTCTTTAATTTTATAATTTTTAAAAAAAATTAAAGTACCCTTTTTCTTTAAAAAGTTGATTTTACTATCATCATGTCGTTGTCTAACATCTGGATTTAGCAAAAAATTAACAGCTGTCTCCACCTGAAAAAGGTTTACATGAAATTACTTCAAAATTAATTAGAAATTAACTGGTACATAAAAAAAAACAGTGCATAAATATGATTAATAAGCAGTAACTATTATTATATAATAAATTGTTTTTCATTATTAATATTTTATAAAATTCAAAGAACTGAAATGCATTGTGATTAATTAATGTCAATACTAACAGCATCCATTATCTTATCTTTCAAACAGATATTTATCAGTTTTGAACATGTTGAATATAAAATAATTTTGTTACATAAAATTCTGCAAAGTGACAAGACTATCCCTTTTCTGAAGATCAGAATTCTTTTTGGGATTAACATTAGTATCATAATCCAAAATTTGTCTGCAACTTTAATTATGTTAGGATCAAACCAATCACAGAAAAAAAATATTTGGCTTAGTATCATTTGTAGTGGCGTCTAAGCTAATTTCACATTTACCAAGGTTTGGAAAAATCACAAAAGTCAAGTATCAAACACTAATTTATGCTCAATATTTAGAGTCAAAAAACATAAACTTATTTTATAAGACCTTTTTCAGCTATTAGTGTTTTCAATCAAAAGTAACCCATTTAGTTTAATAAATATGAATAGATTTTTTCCTTGATAGGAAAAAATGGAGCACTTTGAGACAACATAACATGCACGCTGAAATTTCAAGCTGGTACATAATTGCCACTTATTGACTATTACACACTAGATCCCACATGGGCACAAGATTCGATGTGAAAATGGTAAGTTTCAAATTTAATTTTGTGAATAGGAATTAGTTTTAATAGGACATCATAGTGGGCAGATAAGATAATTGAGAATCAATCTAGTTTCCTTTGTTTTGAAATATCCAGAGTTTCATTTATGGGTAATTTTAAGAAAAATTTTTTTAATCAAACAAAAAATGATTAATTTCATACAGAGCTCATGAAAATTAAAACATGTACTTTAATAAAAAAGAATTTAAAAAAGATTCAGTGATAAAAGTATTGTAATGTAATAATATTGTAAAAGTAATACTGTAACATTGTTTTAGTACTGTAAAATATTGTAATAATTTTGATTTGTTACATGATAATGATCTAAGTGAGGAAAATTAGGACATTATGCAATTCAAAGAGTAATATTTGCTTGCTGTGTCTAAAATTTCGAAATATTCTAAATATGTTAAATCTGTAAAAATGGCTATTATTATTTAGATTTTTTTTTAGGTAAAATATTAAAATGATAACATAGTGAAACAAAATTGGAAATTTCACTGCTATAGGATACCTGCACAAAATATTTGAAATAATAGGTTGTTAATTAGCAAAGCTCGTAAAACACATAGTTTGTATTTTAGGAGCTCTTTTAGGACACATTGTCAACAGTTTCAAAATACATTCTATGCTATTTGGTACAACCCTCTCCCATTACAGTGACCTTTCCATTATAATGACCGACGCAGAGTCTCACTCGCTATTCCATAGCCACAATATTATTTTAATGTCTATTCATTCTAATAAAGCAGGGATGAGATTAGCGAAAAGGCAAAAAAGCTGAATTTCCACAATAGTAAATTTTACGCAAGTACAACCCTTTAATAATAAATTCCAGGCAGTTTAAAGTAATAAATAATCTGTTGACATACAATTGTGTACTAATCTATTATTATATAAATGATTACAATGATACTTAACATTTAGTGAAAATAAAAATTACCAACTGAAAAAATAAAGCTGGAAATTATATTTTCCCTCAGTTCACATAAGAGACAATTATTACTTGNCAAATCGTGTGAATAAGAATCGCAACACGCAAATATGAAAAGCTATGTTTGATATTAAAATCGTATGAATAAGAGTCGAGATGTTAGCAGATTCCAGGCTTGGGACCTCTAAAAGGTTTGTCAGACACAGCGTCGTTTGAACTACGAAAATCGGATATATCTGGAGGGCGGGTAAAAAATTCGGAAAATCTTATCTGCTGCGTGTAAAAGGGGAGAAAATAGCTAAAATAAGTAAAAATGAGAAAGGATTGGTAGCTATATAGTTTAAATTTTCTGTTTCTCTTTGAAAATCGGTGAATTTTCTGAAAAAGCGGAATACTTATAAAAAAANTATGCTATTTGGTACAACCCTCTCCCATTACAGTGACCTTTCCATTATAATGACCGACGCAGAGTCTCGCTCGCTATATCATAGGCACAATATTATTTTAATGTCTGTTCATTCTAATAAAGTGACCAAAATTTATTCATTTGATTGAGAAAAAGTTTTAAATAAATTTTTTAAACCATTATTTCCATTCATATTAGTACTACACAATAAATGTAAAACATCTTTAATCTTTCTTGAATGAAGAATATGACTCCCTAAATTCTTATCTTAAGCTCTAGGTGGTCATTCATAATTTCTGTAGTTTCATTTTCAAATAATACAACAAATTTATCAACCCTATTTCTCTTGTTTGAAAATTATATTCACTCTTTTTATGAAATGTCAGTCTACTTCTGTGGTTTATTTCCAAATTAAAACATGTTTTCTTGACAGTTACCTCAATGCATGATATCTATCAAAAGTCGCAGCCCCTAGCCAGCATATTATTTTTAAGGTTTTTTTCAGCCATGAAGTATTATTTCAATATTATATTAATATTGTTAGAATATCAATAACATTCCTACTAATATTGTGCACCGACTTTTCTATTTAGTTACAAATTCTTACCAAAAAAATAGCAGTCCTTGGAAAAATTGATCTTTTTTCAACTGAGTTAATATTTAAGGTATTTTGTGTGCTCTCAGGATCTTTATAACTTCCGTTTTCGACCGGATCATAAGGGTCGTTATATCAACCGTGATAGTATGAATAATTAAGAGAGGGTGGAAGATCATATTTAGGAACCAATCTTTTGAAAAGGAAAGTATAGTAGGCAGTTTTAAAAAATACTTCACTTTATAAACAAAACAGCAAATAACATTGGTGTAAATGTTCAAGAATTCTTATTCTTATTTCAAATTTCATGAAAATGGATAATTATTTACCCCAGACATGTGGAAATCAGGAATTAACCCAGATCACTCTTTTAACCTGATAATCCTGTGTTAACTTTGGTATGTATATATTGCAACTATTTATTATCCCGAGTAAACTCGCCCATAGCAGAATTCGTCAATGGATGGTGTTTTCAATAGGAATGTAAACAGTAACAATCTCGAACTCGGCACCTACTCTAGTTCCGGTTAAAAAGTTTGCAGCTGCTTACTACATGTTATTCTGATAGGCGATGTTTTCAAACGGATAACTTTGTTTTCAATAAAAGAAATAAATTGGATAATTTCTGAGCTCAAATCTGCCGTATTTCATAAGATATTAATGTTATGATGTAATTCTGGGGAGTTTGGAGTGAAAATTTGTTTCAGTTATTTTGTTATTTATTATTAAAAAAGGTGACATGGTTGCTAGATTTTGAATATCTCGCTTTTTTGGCAGTCTTGATTTGGCTTCTTTCCTTTTGTTTATTACTGTTTGTTCGTGTTACAAGCTGTGCACCATCTTACATTGGTGCTAACACGTTTAGTATTGTAAACACAAGTAGTGTTAGCATTGTAAACATAAGTAATAAATAATCAAATACATTGTTTGAAAGAATCTCAAAACACAATGATGCCAAATGCCTTTAACATACAACTGAAACAGTAACCCGGAAATTTAGGCAGTCCCGAGCTTGCAGCGTTTCCTAGTGTAGAAAACACCATCCACACATTTTGTTTCTTTACGTTTTTAATCGGTCGGAAGTTCAAAACATTTCGACTTATGCTGACGTTTGTTAATGCACAAAAATTTTTCAAAAATGAAGAAAAAAGGTTCATTTTAATAGATCGTAAGTATAGATTAAAATAAATTATCAGCCCAAAAGAATAACTTTAACACTAATTAAAATAACTTTAAGACGAAAGCAGTTTGTATATTAAGAAATTTAGTTACAATCCCTTTGGATTTTAGAACAAAATTTATAAATTAAAAATAACTAACCAAATGATCACGAATTGAAGAATCTGCTATTTTCTCATTATTGGTATAATCTTGATTGTCCGACATATTTAGAAAGATTATTTAAAACAAAGAGTTAAGTTAAACGCTGGGGAAAAGAAGAGGAAGTAAAATCAACAACAAATACTTTTTCGCTTCAACATCAACTAGCCACTTATGAACCTTGATCAACTAAAAATTCGTCAAATATAATTGAATGTGTATATATGATCGCTTTAACCTGAACTATTGGTTCAAATCTTGGCCACCAGAATATATTATTGTTTTCCAAAGTTAAAATATTCTGAATGAGGTTACTTAACTGTAAACTGCTTTTATTAGACACAGAAAAAAGTTCTATAAAACTATTTCTGATTCCCGGTATTTCGCCTTATTTTAATTGTTGAATAATTTTATTATATTTAACGGTATCGTTGTATTTTAATTAATTATTATGTCGAGATCTGATGAAATTGGCGTCCCTCTGAAACTTTTAAGGGAGTATGAAAATAAAAAAGTGGTGGTTGATACAGCCACAGGTGAGGTATTCACTGGGACTCTTCTTGATTCCGAAGATAATATGAGTTTAACTCTCACCAACGTCAAAGCGGTATTCGCTAGTGGACATGAAGTTGAAATGAATAGTGTCTACGTGAAAGGAGCTAAGATCCGATACATCGGACTTCCAACTGAAGCACGAGACCGAGTTCAACAACTCAATCGTGAATGTCGACCCCCAATGCGTGGAGGCAGAGGAGGTCGGGGTGGAAGAGGCGGCCGATTTGGTGGTGGTGGTGGTGATCGTCGTCGTTATTAATTCATCTGTTCCTGTATTTTTTTTTTTTAAAGAAAAGTCATATGAAATGTAATTATGCTTCACTGTGATTGTCTATTCATTAAATGTCTCTTGAAAATCGTATTTTCTGATAGTTTTCATTTATTCACAGTAACTACAATTTCAAATTTATATAATTAATTATGAGTGCAATTATTCCATTTTTTTTTATTTCATTACAGTGATTTATCGGCCATTCCTGTAATACACAATCTCAACTATCGCCTAACAACATGATTGCTTTCAGTTGAAACAAACCAAAAAAAGAAGTGTTGTAATTTTTGTTTTTAAATGTTTGTTTTTTTTTATAAAAATCGTTGTAAAGTTATGTCTGCGTGGATGGTTCGCCAATTAACATTTAGAAATGTTTGTTATGATGGCCTGGACTTATTAAATTCCACTAAAAATGACGTGTATGAGCAGATTATGTTAAAGTAGTTCTGGGGAGGGTGTCAATTTCATGCTCTAAACCAAAATAATAGCCAAGTCTTACTTAATTCTGGGCAGAAACTAATTTTTAAAAAATCATAGGAAGGGACAAACTTTAAGGGTATAACTTGTAGCCACTCTTAAGCAAACCACTATTTATGTATTTTTTAAATTAAAAAGTTTGTAATCCATTTGGTGATTGTAGTTTGCATAACAGATCAAGATACCGAAATAGCCCTTAGTTCAAAAATGAGAAGTCTTTTAACCTACTACGGGCCTGTTCATCTGCACTCTTAAATCTTAAAAATTATTGATTAAACCTGCAAAACTCTTCTTGTAGATATTGTTTTCTACTCTTTCATACAAATTTTTTTTTCAAGAGATTTTGTGCAAATTCTGCTCACTCTTATACTTGTTTAGACGGTTCTTTTTTCTTCACTTTTTCTTGCAAATGCAGTATAATTAGAAAACAGATGTTCAGTTTTGAATTTTTTTTTCTGCGAATTAAGATAGATTTTTGTGTTTGTGATTGACTATTTTTCTTAACGTTTTATGTACCTATGCTTTTTTTCGTCAAATACTATTTTTGGTATTACAGTTTTGTCTTAAGGATAAAAAGAATATTTTTTTTATTTCTCTATTTCTATTTTATTTAACTTTACAACTACAGCTTTTTTTTATAGCTGCTAGTTAGCTTTTTATTTATCTTAAAATGGAAAACTATTATATTTTTCTATTACCAATAATATAGCTAAGTTTTGATAAATTTTCAAAAGTGACTAAATTTATTTATATATAAAAAATGAATGTTTATGAATGATTTTTTTTTATGAAAAAAGAAAATATCATTGGGCCACCTAATATTTGGTATGCAGACGATTTGTTTGGCCGAATAGCCGACTATTCTGCCAAATCACTGTTCATCACATCCCTAATGAAAGCATATTGAGCAATACTTATCAAGGTTTTTTTTTTTTTAGTCACTCTGTATTTGCCATTTGGTGCAATTTCTGAAAGAACTACTGGAAGTAACACATTAAGACATATTTTATTCAGTAAAAACCTTACAGTAGAGCGCCAATTATCCGAATTCTTTTTTTTTTTTTTTAAGTTTAGAATACTTTTTAACTTATTGACAATTTTTCTAAATTTAGAAGAATAAATAATATCCACTACATCTGAAGACTATATTTAATTTACAACCTTTTTTAGTAACTTTCTTATAGTAGCCATACATACATGTATTGTTATACCATATATACATACATGTATTGTTGCATAAATAATAATAATTTAAACTAGATTTTAAACAACTTTCCAATTATCCGAACTTTTTGTTATTCAAACCACGTTCGGTCCCGAGCAGTTCGTAATCGGTGCTCTACTGTATAGTCTATAAGCTAAACATATTATTTTCTCCACATCCATCCTAATTTTATAAACATTTTGTACAAAAACGTTAAAAATTCAAAAATAGTAAACAAAATCTTGCTAAGTTGTTAAAATATATTTAGTTTTTATTTTTTTTTATTTTAATATGTTACATTAAAGTAAAACAATTTAAATAAAATACTTTATAATATTGGTACTTTTCTTGTATCAATCCAACACTTTATGGGAAGGGAAAAAAAACCTTGCTGACCTGTAAATTTCAAGATTTTTACCTGGAAAAATCAGGGAAGTTAGAAACCTGATTTGAGGGGCCAACCGCTTGCATCGACCTCACTCCTAGATATCGCACACCCATCCCTGTTTCATTAACTTTATCCTAATTTTAGACTTGTATTCATAAATATACAAAAATGCTATCTTTGTATGAATCAATTGAATTGGGTCTAATAGCTTTTATCTCAAAGTAAGGAATTTAAACATTCAAGAGGGTGAATACCTATTCCGAGGCTTTAAATTAATATCTGTATCTACCACTAAAGTTTTGTCTTGTACCTCCATAAAAATTTTATCAATGGTTTCCGAAACCAGCAATCAAATGTATTTCCAAAATAATACCTGTTCACATCGCTAAAAGGTAATTTCAAAAGACTTGTGACTTGCCCTGAGATGGCTACCTATTACACCAGAATTCGTTAAAACTCTGAGGTTTTGAGGAAGGAAAGAAAGCACAGCCCCCATGGGTTTTTTTCATGAAACCACCATTTTGGTCCAAGTATAAGTCTAAAATGTAGTATATGCTAAAAAAATATTACTTTATTATTACCAAAAGGATCCAGAAAAGAAATACTTTTTAGAAAAGCTATTTCAGTAATTTTTTTTTTTTTTTGCCTTTTAGCAATGTAATGAGAAAGAATGGTTTATAATTAATTATGAAGTTACTGCAATGAATCTTTTTAAAAAGTAAAACATGTCATTTGATTAGTTTTAAATTATGAATGAACATATAATTTTATGAATGAAATTTCTAGGAGTAGAAACTTTTTTCTAAAAACTAATTGCTTAAAATTTGTTTTCACGGAACCCAAGTCTTCCTAATTGTGAGATTTGAAAGGAAAATTCAAATTACCGTTGCTTAATGCAATGTATTTCAACAAATGTTGAAATGAAGCACCGGGGAAGATCGATTCGTATAAACTGTACATATAATTTTTGTACAAATTTCGAAAATTTCATATATGTTTAGCAGATTTGCATTTAAAGCTCTCGATTTTTTTAAAGCCATTAATTAAAGCAAACTTTTTTTTCATTGTCAGTACATTTATAAAATATTTTTATTCAACATAATTAATAAATGCATTATTTAAGGTGTGATTTTTTGAAAAAAGTCTGATTTCATAGATTATGATGGTATTTTACTAAGAAATGATGAAAGGTACATGCCTATAAATTATTATACATTTACATGCATATCTCTTTCACTATTGCAATAAAAGAAAAGCATTGATTTAAATTGAGTGTGATTTGTTTTAAAAATATCAATTATTTAAGTTATTCATATTCGAAAATTTGCCAATGATTGATTTTGTCGAGTAAAGTAATTTCAGTGTTTAATAATTGCTCTCTTTGATTTAGATAAGTGCAAATTTGAAAAAAATATTGTTCAAAAGTTGACCCTGTTTGGAAGATTTTACCTTTAAAGCAGAGAAAAACAACGGTTTTTAAAGCTATATTTCATAACTATAAATTATTAAAATGTAAATGTAAAAGTATAATGTTTTTCATTTATTTTGGCTAAAATTAATGGAAAAAATATATATTTAATAAAAATTTTGAGTCATAGGGGTAATTTTATACAATATAATTCATGTATTTTCAAGAGTGTTTTTTTTTTTTTTTTTTTTTTAAATATCGATTTCATTGACATTGAATGTTTTTATTCTGAAATAAAAAGAGGAGTGTGCATTTACATGCATATTTCTTTCATCATTTCATTAAAAAACATTGATTTAAATCAACATGATTTTTTAAAAAAATCAATACTTTAAACTAAGTTTAAATTATTGATTTATTGAATAAAATAGTTTTATACTCTAATTAATTAAAACATTTAGATATAGGATTTTTTTAAAATATCATTTCATTAATAAAAAAGGTTATTTAATAAGAAATAACAAAAGGGATATGCTTGTAAATTATTATAATTAAAAAGTGACCAAAAAAATAGACTAAACCTGGATAAGATTGTCATTAAACTTTTAAATTATAATTTTCCATTAATAAAATAATTTATGGGCAAAAAATATATTTTTATGATATCCATTTAGTTTTATGCTTATTTAAATGCAGTTTGTTTAGATCAAGACTTGTTCTACCTAACTTAATTTAAAAATATATTTTTTAGCAAAGTTTTCAGATCTTAACTAATTTGCTTTTCATTAGATATCTAATTAACAAACAGTCACCCGATCTTTAACATTAATTATCAAGTTGAGATTGAAACATTTAATTATTTTAGCTATAATATTGTTCTTAAATAATAAGTATTATTAAATTCTTTTATTAGGTACTTAAGTAAATGTAAAAAAGAAATCAAATTTTTGTTTTTTAAATTATGATTTTTGTCAACCCTGAAAATAAAGTCAAAATTTTATTAATCTTTTTTATTTATTGATTATTATTTTTTTGTGAGCAAGGATTGATACCTAAAACGAAAATCCATATCAATATCTGCACCAAAAAATCCCCGTTGTGCCTTACAAGAAACAAAGAACATCATAGAGGAAAGGGGATTAATTAAAAAACTTTAACTCCTTAACTGTTCTCAAGCAAACTATCACATATTTTATAAAAAAAAAAAGTCTTATATCACAATATCCTTTAGCAGACTTCAAAATAACAACTCACCATATGGCCAGTCACCGAAAAAAGTGGCGATTTATTAAATAAACAACCGGAAATTTTTTTTTTCCCCATTCCTTTTTTTTAAAGAGCGTTTAATAGTAAAATTACATTGATGTAGAGCAGGGTTTCTTAACCTGTGGTTCATGGACCCCTAAGGGGTCCATGAGTCATATTTTGGGGGTCCGCTGACTACTCCTAATTTTAAAAATGTTTGGAAGCCTACCCATTGCTTGTAAAGCGAGCTATGGCAGCTATAGTTC